TCCCAAGACCCCGAGGGCTTAACACTTGTGTCCTCATCAACAACACACTTTGACCTTTCATTCACACCCTGTATTTGTTTCCATCCTCAGTCTTCTCTTGTAGGTAGAATGCAGCTCAAGTGTGCATAGAGATATGGATCCAGGTGATGAGAGGTGCAAAACAGTGGCCAGATGCCTTTCTCAAGGGATGTCGAAGTCGGCAGTGTCTGCAGCAGTGGGCGCAAGACCGTGGTCTCCCGACTTTGGACCCTCGTGAAAGCGTGGCTCAAGCGCGGGCAGTTCGAGATTTCTTGCCTCGCCTGCAGCCCGGTCTGCTGGCCTGCCTCCTTGCTTGCTTGCTTGCATGCCGCGTGCGTGCGTGCGTGCGTGGCTCAAAGGGGGTGTTGGATCCCTCTCTATCTCCCCCTCGCTCCCATCGTTCCGGCCTACCACCATCACCATCACCTCATCCATCGGACTTGCGCTGCTCCGACGCCAGCGTGCGCACCTTCCGACCCTCCTTCCGTTCGTTCGGGACCCGACCACTGCCATTCACCCCCTATGCCGTAGCTCGCCTCCTTCCCGACATCGGAAAACCTCCCTGCCCTGCCCCCACCGCCTCAAGCACCCTCAGCCCCTGATCTCATCCATCTCGTCATCACTGCGCGAGCTCGAGACCATCGCCATCGTCGCCACCATGTCGTCTTTCTCCCAGCAGCGGCAGCGGCGACAGCCGCGAAAGACGCCTGGCTCCACGGTCGATCCGGACGCAGACGATGAGCAGCCCCGCTCGTTCCCCGCCGCCATGTCGCTGCGAAAGCTCCCGACCCGCTTCGCCGACTCGTCTCCTTCTCCGCCCAACTCGCCCACCTACTACCCGCCATTTGCGCCCCAGCCACCCCAGAGCGCAAAGGCCTCGCAGAGATATCTCGCCGCCCTGCTCAAACCGTTGCTCGTGCCCACCGTCATTTTCGGCCTGCCCACCTGGCCGATCCTCGCGGCAACATGCGCCGTTCCCATCATCGGCGTCATGGCCATACCGCTGCTGATCCTCCTCTCGGTGGCGTTGCTCTATGCCATCGCCTGGCTCGCCTACCTCTTCCTTGCCCAGCCCGACCTCCCCGCCGTCTGGTCCTCGCCACGACGGTGGTCGTTCAAGAACCTCGCACCCTTTCTCCCGCTTTCGCCCATCCGCTGCGCCAAAGTCGACCTGGCCACGCTGCGTTATGCCATCACCGCGGTCCGCATCGCCTTTCCCGCCGTGTTTGACTGGAGCTATCGACGTGTGATGGTCCTCGGCACTCCAAAGGGCGCTAGCAGCCTCAAGGAGGGCATCGTCTACGGCAGCCCCTCCAGCCACAAGAAGCTCGATGTCTACCTCCCTTCTGCGCGTGCAGCTAGCTTCAGCGGCGGGTTTGGCGCAGCGGCGAACAGCACAGATAGGGACGGACGCCGGGGACGCAACCATTCTAGCACGTTCGCCGAGGCTAGCGGCACCACCGGCCCTTCTTCGTCGACGGACGCCGGCTCGACGGGTGCGCCCGTCATCGTCGTGGTCCCCTCGGTCTTTGCGCCGCTCTCGATCACGTCAAAGCGGAAGCTTTACCTCCAGCTTGCGCTGCGCTTCCGACGCATGGGCTACTGCGTCATTGTACCCGACATCACCTACTACCCCGAGTCGCGCATCAAGTCGTCGATCATCGACCTCCGCCTGGTCCTGCGGTGGACAGGCAAGAACTGCCAGAGGTACGGAGGCGATCCCACAAAGATCTACGTCATGGGTCACGGCCTCAGCGCGCACCTCGTCATGCTCACTGTGGCGCAGGAAGCCGTGGTCCTGAGTCGCGAGGGCCATCTCGATCGCGCCTACGAGCGCCAGAGGGGTCTCGAGAGGTGGCGCGACAACCCCTACGAGGCTGATGACGGCGACGAGGACAGCGATCGTCACGACCTCTATCGCGATACCAAGTACGCCGGATCGAGGGAGGACGACGACGAGTGGAAGAAGAGCGGCGAGGTCGGCGATGCCGCGCAGCCGATCGCAGCCCAGGTGGCTGGCAAGGACGACAGCATCACGACGCTAGGCGAGGACGACGTGCGGCCGGTCGAGGTGCACGAAGCGGACCGAGCTGATACATCTGCGGCCAGTGGCGATGCCTGGGTCGACGAGGTGGCGGGCTCCTCATCGTCCGTCCACCGGCTACCTGGTGCAGTCATGGGCTCTGCGCGGCGCTTTTCAAGCTCGGCCGGCGGCGGCGGCGTCAGCAGCACCAGCAACACCACCCATCACGGCCCTGGTCCACGACCCGGCATGACGCGTCGTCCGTCCCGTCGACAGGCATCGCCATCCGCGCACATTCTTTCGTCGGCAGGCTACATGGCGGCGGCCTCAGAGGTCGGCAACGGCCTGAAGCGAGTGTCGATCTACGAGCCGGAGATCGAGATACCCCCACTGGCAGGCCTGCTTCTCTTCTCGGGCATCAGCGACGTGATCAAGGGCTTCCGCTCGGAGTCGGAAAGCGGGCTGGAGCACCTCTCCTCGCTCCGCCGCGCCACGGGACCCAGCCACATCCAGTGCCTGCTTCACTCTCCGGCGCACCTCCTCTACGCGGCCAAGAACATCCTCGACACGCGCCTGCTGCCGCCCAAGGTGCTCCTCGTCCACGGCGGCAAGGACAGCGTGGTGCCCGTCGAGCAGAGCACGCTGCTCAAGACGCTCCTCGTCGGCATCGGCGTCGAAAACGTCAAGCTCAGGGCCTACCGCCACCTCGGCCACGCAGAGAGCCTGGCCTGCCTCTTCCTCGGCATGGGCAGGGCCAACACGAGGTATACCCGCCAGATCCTTGACGACGTCGCTGCCTTCATCGGCCAGTAGTACCCTCGTCGTCGGCCGCCCGTTCATCGCGGCCCACCACCCCTTTCTCGACCGGCACAGCTGCCGTCTTTGCAGAACGACTTTACGACGCCCGCCACCCCGTGTCGGGCTGGAGGTTTCCTATAACCTGTACGATACAGCCTTACACGCTCCCTCTTCTTCCGCGACAATGCGGACACGATCCAGTCCACTACGTGGCGTGGAACAAGGCGCGGTTCGAGAGGGGCTTGGAGCTCGGCGTTGGGTCGACGGCAGGTGCGACGACCCGGTATAGTATGCATAGGAGAGTCGATGTGACATGGCACCTCCGCGCTCTCGAGGCGGCGGGAGGAGGACTAGCTGGCTGCTACGAGGGATGCTCAAGGCTCGACGCGATACGGGTCGAGACGCGTCGCTGGCCCGAACGGGGTGGTTGCGATGCTGGGTGACGTTCGCTCGAGACCGCGGTTGCGACGGTCTCGATGAGGGGATGCTTGATGAATTGGTCCGAGAGCAAGGCAAGGCGATTCAACGCCTTGCTTGCTCGCCTTGGTCGGTGCCATGGCGGCGGTTGCCTGCATGCTTGCGTACATGTGCACAGGGCTGCGCATGTGTGGGTGTGTGTGCTTGTGTCTGTTCTTGCTGATTTGCCGTTGCTGTGGTTGATGTGTCGATGGTGGTGTTGGGGGTATCGGAATGCTGTTGATGCGAGTGAAAGACCATGCTTGCTCGAAGCCTTTGAAACGGAGACGGGCGCCGCGGTTGGCCCGCATGCGCAACGTGCGGTGAGCGAAAAACATGGCGGCCTCTGCGTCGTCACGAGGGCGCCTCAAAAGGCTCAGTACCGGCCTGCGGTCGCGTTCGACTTGTAGCCGTACGTCTGCTCGCCAAACGACGAGGCCTCGTGACGGGACGACGACGATGCGTACTCGGATCGCGGGGCATGCAATGCCCGGCTGCGCGCCTCCGGTGCGATCCAGGTATCGGTCATGCTAGCGCTGCTGCCGCCGCTGGCGCCGCCGGCACCTCGGATCGTGAACTGCCTCGGCTGCTCGTGGTCAAAGTCGCGCACGTTGCCGTGGTGATCCACGCCGATGGCCCTGGCCGGCAAGCCGTGTGACTCGTGCTGGCTGCGCAGCCTCCTGCGCGCCTCTTCCATCTCTTCCTGGATCGCCTGCGTCTTGCTGTGGCACTGGCGTCGCTGCTCTTCGTCGAGGTCGCCGTAGGTGACGGGCAGACGTCTACCAGTCGGATCTTCGTCATCATCGCGGGTCGTAGAGCGGGTCTCTCTCGCTTCCGCGGAGCTTCTCCTGATCCTCTTGCTGGCAGGCGACTCGTGCACCTGCGAAGAGTGATAAGAGAGGCGCGATGCGAGCGCATGAGGTGCTCGGTGCGTCGCAGCGCCGTGCCTGTCATCGTGACGGCCCGAGCCCCTCTCGTTGTCCGACCAGCTCTTGCGCTTGCGACCAGCGCTCATACGCTCAATGACAGAGGCGGGCGGAGCGTGTCCGAGACGGCAGAAAGGCCGGAGGAACGTGCAGAGGCCCCGTCTTGTCGGGTCGACGACGCCATACTTGTCGCGTCCTGTCTCCTGGATCGTCAGGATAAACCTTTCGAGGTTGTCCTGGCACAGGACCATGCCGTCGGCCATGCCTGCCTTGAAGCCCGGCATCACGCGAAGCGAGTCGACGATGACAAAGTCCACGCCTCGAAGCTCGAGATGTCCCGCGTCCCTCTCATAAAGCGCTTTGTTGCGAGCGTCGGTGCCGGAATAGGGAAGCGACAGATCAACGCGGAAGACCTCGTCCTGGCCTGTCGCTTTGTCGTACGGAATGATCTGGCATGCGTCTGACCCCAGGCCTTGCTGCGAGGAGACAAGTCGACTGGCATGCTGACGAGAGATGAACGACTTTGGGCAGATCGAAGACTCGCAAATGAGCATAGGGTAGTAGTGTCGGTCCCGGTTGCCGATCCGGATCGATGCCAGGTGCACTCGGGCAGTCTTGTCGGTCTCGTCCGATGGCGCAGCCGGCAGGGATGCGTCCTTTCCCGGACCTCGAGGGGAAGCAAGGTTCTGAGACTTGATCCAGGCGGCTGATTCGGCGCTCTCAAACCAGTCCGCAAGTGCCACCCACTCCGACCCCGAGGGTCCTGCCGTGCCAAGCTGGATGATACCGGCGTTCTGTGCGGCTACAGCGTAGTCGGACCAACGAGTGGCTCGAGCCCGCTGCCAGATGAGGGAGTCGGCCTGCTGCAGTAGGGGGACAACCTTGGAACGAAGCGGCGTTCGCTCCTTTCCCTGCTTGAAGCGCAACAGCACCTTTATGAGGGGACAGTAGGTCTCGAGGTCTTTTGTCAGCGGGCGTCTTATGGACACCGTCTCTGTGCTTGCTGAGGATGATGCGCCGTTCGCATCGCGACTCTCCGACGGTCCAACAGCAGAAGCTTCCGTCGTCGATCTTGGTCCAGCGGTCACCTGGTGGCCGCTCGCCTCTTGTCCGTCTGCCGCTGGTGTCGGAGCTGAGCAGTCAGCTGCTGCATCGTCCGAGGCTGAACCGTTCGACGACTGTTCAGCTGACGGCAGCTGCTGCGGTGGCGGTGGCGGTGGCGGTGGCGGTGGCGGTGGCGGTGGCACCGGCGGCATCGCTGGGCTTTCAGCTGCATCGGTGACGGTCTCTCGCTTGATTGTCGTGACTTGCTCGGGAGCCCGCTTGCCTGCCGCCTTCATCTCTGCCCTGACAAAGACGACGGAGCCAGCCGAGTCACTCCGAGGTCTCTGCTGTCGAGGCGCTTCCGGGAGACCGGCCGCGTTTGTCGGCAGCACCTCTTGAGGCTGTTCATCGCCTGTAGCCTCAGGTCGCCTGTCGACCGCGACCGTGGCCGCGACCTCCGGCTCAGGTTTGAGGTTGACATCTTCTTGACGTTGACTATCTGCCGCTGCTGGCTCGCACGGTAGTTCTACGTTGCTGTTGCTATGGGTCGAGCCTGCTCGGCTCGCAGCCCGTTGTGAAGACTGCAGATGAGCGCTGCTTTCTCGCGAGATACTCCAGACGCTTCCCTCGGTGTCGACGATGTGATCTTGAGCGCTGGTCCCAGGCGTGGAGCGTGCGTCCTGGGAATCTGCTGGTGTGCTCAGATCGGTCAGCTCGCTCGTGCAGCGCCTCAACTGACGAGCTTGGAGGGGTTCGTCCGAGTCTGCTGTGGAGCTTCTGATTGTGCGCGCTTGGTGCGAGCCATCGCCATGGGCCTCCTCGGCGTCGAGCGCAGGCGCAGGCCTCTGTGCCGCTTGCTGAGCGTCACCGTCAGTCCGCGTCGTATCCGAGACGCACGAGACTGCTTGCTGAGCGTCGCCCGATCTTGGCTCCGTGAGCGAAGGGACGGCTTCTTCCTCGGCCTGACGGTCAGACGACGTGACCGGTGCGTATTCGCTGGCGGATCGTGGTTCGCTGCGGGGCTGGTCGGCGAACTTGAGAGAGATCGAGGCGCCTGAAGCGAGCTCAGACTCGACCGGCTCGTCGTTCTCGCCAGGGTTGCCGATGATGATCGAGCCACCGATCCTCTCGAGCCGGATCGCGATGGAGCCGTGGCCTTGCACCAGGGCCTTTCGCATCCCTTCCTCGAGCTGGACAATGCGCTCAAAGCCGCGCTTCTCGGACTCCTGAAACATCAGCTGGTAATGGTCCAGCAGCTTTGTGAGCTTGGCGTTCTCGGTCATCAGCTGCGTAATCTTCGCACCATGGACCTTGTCCTGCGCCTCGATCCGCTCCTCGAGCAACTTGTTGAACTCCTGCGGCAGACCGTTGATCCTGGCCTCGAAGGCATCGAGCCTGGCATTGACCTGCGTGTCGAGCTTCTGTCGGTACGCTCGAGCCTGTGTCTCGAGGTATTGGGTTGCAGAGTTGGTCCTGCGAATGTTTTCCTCGTGAGCTGCAACGCGTTGCCTGACCTGCTCGGTCGATGCTCTCGACTCGTTGAGGGCGGTGTCGTGCTGACCGAGAAGGTGCTGGACCATGACCATGCCCTGCTCGAGCTGCTGCAGGCGGAACTGCATGCTTGCATTCGCCGTGAGCGCCGCCATCAGGGCCTCGTGTGTAACTTCGAGCTGCGCATTGGACGAGGCCGGTGCCGAGGGCGGAGGTCCGTTGTTGCGAGGAGACCACGGCAGGCGGGGATCTTGAGTGACTGACGCGGGAGCGATGCGGGGCACCGTGTTCCTCGATGGAGGTGGGCCCGCCATCGTCGCTGTGGCCTGTCCTCCGAGGATGTTTGCCGGGTGGTGGTGGAAGAGGGGAAGAGAGGGAATAAGAGAGAGAGGGCGGGCCGCGCTTTGGGTCTCGAGCGTTCGCCGCAGATATAGCCTGGCCTGGCGAGAGGGAGCGCTCTGGGCTGAAAGGGAAGCTGCGGCGCAAGGAGGGGAGTTTGGCGGTAGGGGACGAGGTAGGAGGGAGTAGGAGGCGAAAGAGAGATGGCAGGACGGTGGGTGTAAGGCTGCAAATGCCAGGAGCTCAGCTCGACGGCTCGCTGGCCCCCCTTTGTCTAGCCAAGCTGATGTTGGCGTGGCCAGCTGATCCCGTCGACCCACATGGGCCGAGCAGGTAGATGAAGCCGCCCCCTGGCCTTGATACACCGGCCGGCCAGGGAAAAATTCGAGCTGGGTTCGACACAGCGGCCCCTTTGTTGCAGGTAGGCGTGGCTAGGAGCGAGGAGAGGTACGTTCGTTGTGTCTCTCCTGCAGGAGAGGCCTTAGGGTGGCGGAGGTCGGGGCGTTGGGTTGCAGACCGTCCTCTTGCTTGCTTGCCTGCCTGCCTGCCTTCTTGCTTGCTTGCTTGCTGGCTCGCTTCTGCAAGAGGCCTCTGTTTCGGTGAGCCCGGACCTGTCAAAAATCTCGTCAAAGTTGTCCCGCAGAGCAGCTTTTCGCCACGCTGGCGGGCAGGCCCAGCAGGCAGGCAGGCAGGCAGGCAGGCAGGCAGGGTGGAGGCTGGTTGCAGGTCTCGGACCGTTTCCCTTCTTGCGGCTGCTACCGGTAGCTGGCTCTAGCTGGTCACCGAGGCCACCCTTCCGCCTCAATGACTCTCTCTATTCTTCCTCGGCCTATCACGATCAGAAACCAGGCCCAACGGCACATTATTCCTCCTCAGCAGCAGGCCAAACCAGCTTGCACGCCGGCCTAGTGTCAGCGAACGTCATCCTCAAGCCCGCGCGACTTGGAGCTGCGATTGCACGAGGCGAGGCTCAGAGTAGCGATGCAGAGGCACACATGGTGGGTGCGCCGACAAGTCATCGAGGCGCTTGGTGGTCATACAGTAGGCTCGACGGGATGGCTGCCATTGTCATGGCTTCGACGTAGTGTAGATGGGGCGGCACGCCAAGAGTTGCCCAGACGCTGTGACCAATCGTGATGCTGCTCCGGCCGCGGCTGGGAAAGAAGACTAGCTGAACTCGATGCTGTCGGAGGGATCTGCTCTGCTACTGGGTCGGGCGCTTGCTTGATGGCCGAGTCGAAGGCTCTCTCGACCGCTCGCTGGCTTGCTCAGGGAACAGCGCTTCATGCTTGCTCGACGTCGGCTCGTGGACTGGGGTCCAACCGTACGCCCACTTTGCTTGCGCTCTGCCTTTGGAGGACGCGTCGAGCGCAGACGGGTTATTCTTAGTCTCGGGATGTTCTTGGTCTCAGCGGGGAGTCTCGGTGTCGTCGCTGATCAGCGAACGGCCTGATGATCAATCCTGAACGGCGCCGGAGTGCCCGTAGGCGGAGTGATCGTGGGCGTCGTCTTGCCTGCTCGAAGACGAGGAGTCGGGGAGCGATACGGAGATCTGCCTTTCCGGGGCCCTCTCTGCTGGCTCCGCCCTGGCACAGACGTTGCCGCTTCCTGTACCGCGGATGGTAAAGTGCCTCGGCGTCTCTTCGTCAAAGTCCCTCACGAAGCCATTCCGGTCGATGCCGGTCGCTTTGCGGGGCGACTCGTGGGAGGAAGATTCTCGAGACCTCCGGCGAGCCTCTTCCATCTCGTCGCGGACGGCACGAGTCTTGGTATGGCACTGACGGCGTTGTTCCTCGTCCAAGTCACCATAGACGGCGGGCAAAGCAGCGCCCGCTGCGGCTGCGCCTGTCGCGTCTCCGCTGCGTCGCTCGGAAACGAAAGTGGCGTCGATCGCAGGCTCCGTGCTCAGGCAGGTCCTCTTGCCGACCGGCGACTCTCCACGCTCGATGGGGGATTTTGACCAACGCGACGCGGGCCCAACCGATGGAGCATGCTCTGAGCTGCCTTTGCCTGCGTTCGACTTGAAGCCTTGGCTCGCCTCCTCGTAGGACGGGCTCTTGCGCTTGCGACCGGGAGACTCGCCAACGCGCGCACAGGGCGGCACGCTCAGCTGAACGACCGGCTTGATGAGGGTGAGCAGCCCCTGCCTTGTCACGTCGACAAGGGCGGCCTTGCCCTCGGGCAGACTTCGGATGACGAGGTTGTAACGCTCGAGGATATCTCGGCAGATGACCAGGCATGCCTCGATGTTGTCCTCGAAGCCAGGCATAGACCGGATCGACTCCACGACGAGGAACTCGGCTCCCCGCAGCGGAAGGTGAGCGCCGTCCCTGTCGTAGAGCTTCTTGTTGAAGCCCTCGTGACCGGCGTAGGGCACCAGGACATTGGCGCAGAACGTCTCTTGCTGACCCGTGGATGGGTCCGGAGGGATTATCTTGCACGAATCGGTTCCCAACTTCTTCTGCATCGCCAGCAAGTTGTCCGCGTAGCGTCGCGAGATGAAGGAGCGCGGGCAGGCTGGCGAATCGCAGATGAAGACGGGATAGTAGCGGTTGTCCCTGGAACTGACTCGGAGCGCAGCTCGATAGATCATCACTCCTCGGTCGCTACTCCTTTCCGAGTCTCCGGCACCTCCAGCTGCTGGACGCTCGTAACCCGTGGCTGCTGAGCCATGGCGTGCGGCCTCCCGACCGCGCCGATTTTCGAAGATGATGGGCCTCGACCAGACGATCCCTTCGATGGTATCGAACCACTCGGACAGCATGACCCAGGTGCCTTTGACCGTCTTCATGCCGAGCCGAACGATGCCGGCCCTTGCAGCGTCTGCGGCGTAGTCGGCCCAGCGCAGGGCGTGCGCACGCGCGTAGACCATGGGGTCAGCCATCGCAAGGCTGGTGGCCACATGGTAGCGAGCCGGCTCGAAGGAGCCCCGCGTCCGGAGGTAGAGCAACTCGGCAATGAGCGGGCGGTACAGCTCCAAGTCTCTGTCTGCCGGTCGGCGAGGAATCTGGCGATGAGCGGCAGCGTGGCGCTCAGAGTCGTGCGAGGCCCGGTCTGCTGCCGAATGGTCGTCCAGGTACGGATCAGCCACGACCTGGGAGGTCGACGGACTAGAGGCCCGCGTGTCTTCTGGGGACCGAAGGCGAGACGCGGCGTTCTGCAAGCTTTCCTTTTCAAGCTTGCTTGACTTGCTCAGAGCCGATGCCTCTCGCTGTTGCTTGCTCGCGGTAAGCTTCACTGGCTCGCCTGCCGCGCTGATGGTGAGACTGGCCGGTCGGACGGCCCTGGAGGTGACCTCTTCGTCTGCTGCACCGGTTGCCGATTGCATCTCTGCTCCGACGCAGACCACCGAGCCGGTGGAAGCCGTCCGCGGTCGCTGGTGTCGACGCGAATCCGCATCTGCCCGGGTTTCGATGTGCGATACGGCATCGTGAGAGCTCTTCTCCTCGACTGGCTGGCAACGGCGAGCCTCGGCAGAGACAGCGCCTCGAGAAGCCGTCCCGACCCTGCCTTCGCTCCCGAAATGGCATTTACCTCCGTCGGCATTGAGCTCTTCGATTCCTCGTGGCTGCGGAGAGCCTCTCCCGGCCCGCGATCCATTCGATGTGCTTGTTGCGGCGGGGCGAGCGTTGCGTGTCGTTTCCTCTGCGCGGCCAAATGTGCTCGACGCTGTCGGCTTGTCGCCATGCGACGTGGAGGAGGCATCGGCACGGGTGAGACGAGTCAGGCTTTTGGATCCGGCAGCGCGATCGAGCTGCATTGAGGCGTCGGGCGCCAGCTTGGTCTCGACGGGCGGAACGGTCTCGCCTGCATTGCAGACTTTGACGGCTCCCATGCCCTCGACTCGGATGGCAACAGAGCCACGGCTTTGCTCGTGTGCTTCGCGTATGGCGTGCTCGAGCTGGGTGGCGCGGTCGGAAGAGTGCCTTTCGGACTCCTGGAACATGTGTCGGTACTGGTCCAACAGCTTGGTGAGCTCGGCGTTCTCTCTGGCCAGCTCCTGGATCTGAGCGTCGTAGACCTCGGCTTGCTGCTTGAGGCGGCTCTCGACGAGGGCCTCGAAATGCTGGCGCAGCTTTTCGATCTTGCCGTCGAAGGCTTTGAGCCTGCTCTCGATCTTAGCGTCGAGTTCCTGGCGATACGATTCGGCCTTGGACTCGAGGACTTGCTGCTGGCTATCGAAGCTGCTTCTGCTGGCGCCTTGGTCGCTGCTGAGGTCCCTTGCCTGCTCGGTCGAGGCCCTGTGCTCGTTCAAGGCGATATCGTGCTGACTGAGGATATGCTGGGACATGATCATGCCCTGCTCGAGCTGTTGCAGCCGGTACTGCACGCTGGGAATGGCAGAAAGTGCCGTCACCAGGGCGTCGCAGCTGCTGTCGCGCTGGGCACGCGGTGAGGTGGGAGCCGAGGGGGGCGGTCGGCTGCTCCATTGCGGCGAGGAGAGGCGAGGGTCCTGGGTGGCGGACGCAGGAGCTGTGCGCGGCACCATGCTCCTCGACGTGGGTGATGAGCTCGCCATGACTGCGAGAGCGAGGGCCAGCGTACCTGGCGGGAGGCGTGGGTATGAAAGGGGATAGCTTGGCAGTGGCGAGAGGGGAAGAAATGGAGGAGCGGTGGCAAGACGCGTTCTGGCCGCGGCCGAGACGCTCGAGCAGACAGAACAAGAGAGTAGAGTGAGGCAGGCCACGCCAGGGTGGCCCAGGCCTAGCAGCAAGAAGAAACGGCCTAGAGCACATCACGGGCTTGCCAGAGGCAGATCAAAGGCGAGACCAGGCAGGAGGGGCCAAAGCGTCGGGGCGAGCCGGCCAACAGAGATCGACCGCTTTGGCCCCTCCGGCCAGCAGCGGCCCACCCGCCTGCCGCCAGACGCACGGCCAAGCAGGCAGAGCGGTCCTCTGCCAAACGACGGACGCATGCTGCAGGGAAGCCTCCGAGCCACGACACAAGCCCGGCGAGCGAGCCAGCGACAGGTAGGCCGTCAGGCAGGCGGGCAGGCGTGACGGCGGTGCTCCCCTTGGCTTTCTCTTCCTTCTCTCTTGAGCCTGGCGGGTGGTGCAGGCAGGCACGCGCCGCCTTTCTCGCTGGCAGGCCCAGGCTGTCCTGTCAAAACCCTGGCTGGACAGGCCGGCAGGCTAGAGAGCGAGGTCCTCAGGCGAGAAAGCAGGCCAGCCAGGAAAACCCAGCCCAGGCCAGCCAGGCCAGCCTCCACTTTGCTGCAGCTGCAAAGAAGCTTGATGATGATTGCCCGAGCGCCCCTCCGTGGTTGCCCTTCCTCTGCCTTGCTTTCGCTTTCGGAGCTCCCGACGACCACCCTCCATTTCTGTCGATCTCGTCTCAACCTTGGAGTCCTTCGAGCTCGCGCTACCTGCCCCTCACAACTCATCTCTCTTTCTTCCGGTCGAAGCCGACAAACGTCGAGGCCTTCAGCAAGGCACAGCAACGGCCAAGCCAGGCTAGCGCCGCCACAAGCTCCCCCCTCCCCCCTCCGGCCTCCTGCAAAGATGCCAGAGATTGATTCGGACCACCCGAACCCGTGCTATCCGAAGGCGTGCGCCATCCAGAGCTGCCTCACCTCGAACAGCTTCAACCAGTCCAAGTGCGAGCACCTCATCGACGACCTCTACCGCTGCTGCGCACAGTTCTACAAGCAGCGCGGCACCGACGCCGAGGCCGACAGCTGCCCCATCCCCTCGGTCGTCGAGCGTCGGATAAAGAAGATGGAGGCCGAAGGAAAGGGCGGCGACGGAGGCACCTTCCTCGAGACCCGCCGCAAGTCGTAGCAAGTCGTAGGACGCGAAACCTTGGCTCGGCACAAGGCATACGCCCGAGCGGGCAGCCACATGCATGCTGGCTGTGCACACATCCAAGCGTCGGCGTGATGCACATCAAGGGGTTCTCTGTCGCCTAGTCTCAATCTAACTGACGCCGATCCAGCAAGAGGGCCACCTGACGATGCTCAACTGAAGCGATCCGCCAGGCTCCTCTGGCCAGCCGCATCCCCCAGCCTGCTCATCAGGTCGCCGCGCTCGGACTGGGCCGCGCCCAGCCTCGCAGCCAGATCGCCCGAAGCGTGGCTGGCTTCTGCGCCCCGACGTCGTCTGTCCTTTCTCGCCTCGCCGTACCGCTCGGTTCCGTAGTCGGCCCACTGCTCGTCGTCGCCCTCACCTTGCCCTCCCCATGCCATAGAACCGCCACCCGGCGCCTTCATCCGACCTCTGCCCTTGATCTTGACCCGTCCTCCATCGCCACCGCCGCTGCCGCGCGGCACCGGAGATGCCGACCGCCGGCGCTCCCGAGCGTCAAACATGCCGTCGAGGTCGGCATCCAGGGCGTCCCTCGCTCCACGTCCGTCACTGCCTCGTTCGCCCCTGCCACCCCTGCGCCGCGGCTTGTCCAAAGCTTGCCGTTCAAAGTCGTCGTGGCCCCACCTCGTCGCCGACGATCCCGATGGCCGGCCCCGACCCCTGCCGTCCTTGAGCCTGTCGAAGAGGTCGCCACCGGCACTGGCGGTTCCAGCGCCGTCCTCGACCAGGTCGGCCATCATCTGCCCTTCCAGCTTCTGCTCGTGGAGCGCTCCGCCGGCTTGCCGCGAGGCGAGGTGCGCGTCGAGCTCGGAGTCCAGCTCGTCCATGACCGCCCTGCGATCCGATGGGCCCCGTCCTCGCCTCGGCTCGGAGTCGGCTTCCGTTGCAGCGCCGTGGGGTCTTGCGGGCAGGCCGGCCGATCCAAAGGCCCTGTTCTTGGAGCTCGTGCTTGGGAAGAGCTCGACTGCGTCGCTGACCTCGCCAACGTCGAGCAGTCGCGGGACGATCTCCTTGCCAGCCTCCTGCCCGTGCTCCTTGTACCACTGACTCCGGCTGGCCGCCCGAGACGGCTTGACATCCCAATCCTTGACCGCGTGCCGCACGTAGAGCGCCGAGCGAAGCTTGGCGAGCGCCACGTATTCGGGCTTCTCCCGATGTTGCCGCCGATCCGCCTCCTCCATCTCGCGGTAAATCTCCGGCACGTCGTCTGGCAGGGTCGAGGCGCCATTGGTGCTGGAGGATTGGTCGGCCAGTTGTGCCCTCGCGGCCTGCCTTTCGATCGAGGTGTACAGCTTGCCAGGCATCCGATGCGCCTTCCGCGGCGCAACGAGCGATGAAATGACCTCGGGGTCCCACTCCTCGTCCGAAGTCTCGAGGATCGTCTGGAGGTTCGGCAGCGGGATCAGCGGCTCCGTCGACATGTCGGTGGCGGGGCAGAGGTACTCGAGGGCGATGCGGGCCGCCTCTTCGGTGGGGAAGACGATGTTGCAGCGCTCATCGTCGACCCACTCGAGGCCCAGGGGCTGTGCGCCGAAGTGAGCGACGTAAGCGAACAGCCGCGAGGTCGACATCTGCGTGATGGGCAGGCCCTCGATCAGCAGCGTATCCAGGCGAACGTCGCTGCCGCCCTCGACGGGAGGTGGTGATGGGACCTCGCTGGGCTCTGGTGACGGGCAGGGACGAGGGGCAGTGTGAAAGGTCCGTCAGAGACACTTCAAGCAGCGAGGCTGCCGGATTGCGTGGAAGCGATCTAGGACACTCACCTTCCACGCCGACAAGTTTTGCGTCGTCCAGCGCCATGTGCTCCTCTCTGGACAGCGGGCTTGGTCCTCTCCGTGCACCCGCGTCGATACCTTCCTCCCTGGGGACGGCGTAGAGCTTTGCCTGCCTGTCGCGGTTCCCGTCAGCCATGTTCTCATCCTCGATGGCCATCGGATCAGCTTGCTGAGCGGAAGAGGAAGCGGCGTCGGAGGCTGCGCCGTAGTCGAGGGTGACGCTAGCCATCGCGGAGGTGGAAGGTGGATGTTGCGAGCGGGCGCTGGGGTCGAAAGGTACGGGGGTGCCTCGTAGGTTGAACTGTTGACAACGGCGACACTGGTGATGACGACGGAGCAGACCGATGCTGGATTGAAGGTGTAGGGGCAGGCGACAGGAGGAGTGGGAGGATGGCCGTCGTGTTTGAAGCAACGTTGGATGAAGTGCACGTCCGACTCCAGAGAGTGATCGGTTCCTGCTTTTCCGCTTCCCGAGATGCATCCTCCCCCCGCTTCGAGCGTGGACCCCTATCGATGCCCTCGACCCGTGGGGGGCGTCCAGTTGCAGCGGCCGAGCCTTCAGGCCTTCCTATACGGTGCTCGAACTGACCCCTTAGGCTTTGCCTCGACGAGGACTCGGCCACTGCTGTTGTCCGCGACTTTGGCGGCGATACCAGGACCCACAAGGAACTTTGCCACTCGGAGGATGCGGACCGCCGCCGTTGTTTGGCCACGGCTCGAGCGGCCCACGAGGCTGCTGGGTGCATCTCAGCAGATAAGCCTATCTCGAACACCCTGCCTCTAGCTTCGTCGTTGTCGTCGAGTTGTCGCTGCGACGTTGCCCGAAAGGGGTCAACTCGGTATGTTGGCAGCGGAAAGACCAACACGTACGCAAGAAGACGCGCTCGTCGAAGCAAGCTTGCTTTCGCCTCGAGTCGGCAAAGTGGTCCGCGGCCTGTTTGGTGCCGGTGGCCGTGCGCTTTAGACTCGGTCGATGGCGAGGCAGTAGGTGGCGAGGGCGATACGGAGACGGCCGCTGGAATTCAATTTCATGCAAGGCTGGCTGGCTGGCCCCATCTTCTAGGCTTGGCTTGCCCTTGCCAGGATGCTCTCGCTGTCCCCTTCCCACCCCCGCCTGCCACGTCGACTGGGTCGCCGCGTCGTCTTCCCCCTCTCCTTCGTCCACACAACCCTATCTCTATACAGCATCTTGCCGCTGGCATGTCGGCCTGACCCGTCCCACGGCAGCCTCCGGTCCCTCCATCGACTCTCGGAATCACACCGGCGCTCCACCCGATACCCCATCCCTTCTCGCAGCCCTGCCTATAAGCCTTCCAGGTCCAATCGGGCCGCGATCCCCCTCCCCGCTGTCCTCGCTCTCGTCGCAAGCTGCGCCCGGACCTGCCGCTCGTTACCGCCACCAGCAGCAGCCCCTGGTGCTGGCCGAATCATCTCGCTACACGCACCTTCGGCTTTGCCGCTCCCCGACCGAGAACGTTCCATACCCTCCCCGGTCTCCTTGGCAGGCAACCGCGTCTCTGGCTAGGCGGCGGCCCCTCACTGTTGTGTTCGGCGCTTCGAACGGCACCTGACCGCGCGCTTTGGTGATCATGTCGACCAGCAGTGAGTCACGGCGGCAGCAGCACCACCACCCGCTGGCTTTTCGTCGGCCAGGCCGTAGCGACAGGAACACGGACGCTGATCTGAAGCCGTACACCACTGCTTGGCATCCTGCTCTCCGCTCCTCTGCTACAGATGACGCTACGCTCGACGAGCAACACTCGCGCACCCGAAGCTCTTCGCTAGCCGACGTGCAGGGTCACAACGGGCAGGATCAGCAGGCCACGCACAAGGATCGATCCTCGTCGTTCAACCTCTTTGGCTCCTCGACCCGTCAAGCAGATCAATCCTCGCCCGCTGCGGCCGCTGCCTCTGCTTCTCAAAAGTCTGGCGGCGCCGCCACTTTCGACTTCGACACGCGGCGCCCGAGGAATGCCTATGACCCTAACAGCCCTGGCGGCCAAGCCCCGGCTCGCAAGGGAAAGATGTTCCCGCGCTCCGTCACTTTTGAGCCCAACAACTCTTCCTTCCCGCCCAACACGGCCAAGAACCGCTCCAGGATGTCGTCCTATCATCCGACCCAAGACGACAGCCCCTACGACGAGAGCGTCGACCTCGAGAGGCAAGGCTCCGGCGGCGGGAGCGGCATCAGTAGCGGCAACAACCGGGCGAGCAACTCGGCCTTTAGCCACCTCGAAGGTCGCAGCTACCGCTTCCAGCCCGCCCAGGATGCCGGAAGCCTGAGCGCATCGGTCTTGTCGGGCTCCTACACCGCCACCTCGGGCACTATTCGGGACAGCACCGCGCACCTCGCCGAGATGATGCTCATGTCGGACGAAGAGGGGGCCAGCATGAACGGCTCCCGCATCTACGACATCGGCGAGGAGGAGGACGACGAGCTGATCTCGGTAACCAGGCTGCCTGACAGCATCAGCCCGACCGCGTCGCAGCCTGCCACACCAGGCACCGCCCAGACCGGCCCCAGCAACCTCTCGCGAGCCATGGCTGCATCGAGAGGCACCAGTCCCGAGAGCGGCAAGACGCTGGCGGCCGAGGACGGCAGCGAGGCCACTCCTCGACTGTTCACGCCGATCCTCGGCATGGCCCAGCAGCCCGTCGCCACTCCGATGTCGACCGGCGAAGCCGCCGAGGACTACGTGGGCCCCGCCGGCGAAAGGACGCCCTTGCTCGGCGTTGATCCAGGCACGAAAGAGGCCCAAGGACGCGGACGTCAGGGCAGCTCGTTGGCGCCGTCTCGTGCCCACGCTTCCACCAGTCGCTCCAGGTCCGACAGCCGCCAGGGCCGCCGCAGCCAGGACTTCCGCGACCGTGCCACCAGCGTCGACCGCTCAAGCTCCATCGGCGCCGCCGATTCGTCCACCTTCAGCCAATTCAGCGAGAGCGCTCGCGCCGGCATCGGCTACGGCGCCCTCGCGCAGGCGGAGCAGTCGGTCATCGAGCACCGTGTGCCCCCGCATCGAAGGCCAAGCCAGCCTCTGGGCTACCCGTGCGACGAGGCCGAGGAGCTGCTCTCCCCAGCTTGGGCTCTCGTTCCAAGGCGATTCCGGCCTGGTGCGGGTGAGCAGGGCGTCCGGAAGCTGACGGGTCCCAGGCAGCACCTGCACAACCTGACCGCCTCGATGCGGAAGCTTACCTGGCAGACGGCGCTCGAGGCCTCTGCCGAGCCGGTGCGGCTGCTTCCGGCCGTCATCCTGGGCATGCTGATGAACGTGCTCGACGGTGTCTCGTACGGCATGATCATGTTCCCGGCCTCGTACCCGATCTTCAGCAACTTTGGCGGCGACGGCGTGTCGATGTTCTTCCTCACCTGCGTGCTGTCGCAGCTGGTCTACACGCTCGGCGGCTCCATCTTCAAGGGCGGCAACGGCAGCATGATGATCGAGACGGTGCCCTTCTTCCACATCCTGGTCAAGATCATCATCGATACCCTCGGCGACGAGGACCGCGGCGCCATCGTCGCCACCACCATGGTCGCATTTGCGCTGTCGTCGATCCTCATCGGCCTCGCCTTCTTCCTGCTCGGCGCGCTCCGGCTCGGCGTGCTGATCGGCTTCTTCCCGCGCCACATCCTCGTCGGCTGCATCGGAGGCGTCGGCATCTTCCTCATCGAGACCGGGCTCGAGGTCTGCGGCCAGCTCAAGTCCGAGGAGGGTTTTCAGTACAACCTCGAGACGCTGCGCTACTTCTTCCAGTCCGGCCACATGGTCGCCCTCTGGCTGCCGCCGCTGCTGCTCGCCGTCCTGCTGCGCCTAATCACCGCACGCTTCCACCACCCATTCATCTTCCCCGGCTACTTCCTGATGATCCCGGTCGTCTTCTACATCGTGGCCGTCGGCATCCTCCGCGTGCCCATGTCGACGCTGCGCGAGCAGGGCTGGGTGTTTGACATTGGCGAGAGCGCCAGCCAGGCGCCCTTCTACCGCTTCTACACCTACTTCGACTTCCGACAGACGAGCTTCAGGGCGCTGTGGGCCACGATGCCGACCCAGCTGGCGCTCGTCTTCTTCGGCATCCTCCACGTGCCCCTCAACGTGCCGGCGCTCGGCGTCAGCATCAACGAGGACAATGTCGACACCGATCGCGAGCTCGTGGCCCATGGCATCTCCAACGTGCTGGCCGGCCTGATCGGCACCGTGCCCAACTACCTCTGCTACGTCAACAGCGTCCTCTTCTACCGCGTCGGCGGCGGGTCGAGGCTGAGCGGCCTCATGCTCGCGGCGGGCACCAGCGTCATCATGATTGCCGGGCCAGGCACCATCAGCTACATGCCCGTCATGATCGTCGGTGCGCTCATCTTTGTGCTCGGCATCGACCTGGCCAAGGAGGCGCTCTACGACACCGTCGGCCGCGTCAACGGCTGGGAGTACTGGACCATTTGGGTCATCGTCATCGTCATGACCTACTGGGACTTCGTCTACGGCATCCTCGCCGGCATCATCATCGCGTGCTGCTTCTTCGTGGTACAGACATCGCGGCGCAAGACGGTGCGGGCTATTTTCGACGGCAGCGTGGCGCGCAGCACGGTGCGCCGCCACATGACGCAGCGCCACTTCCTCGACGAGGTCGGCACGCAGACCCAGATCATCAAGCTGCAGGGCTTCCTTTTCTTCGGCACCATCAACTCGGTCGAGAATCTGATCCGACGGGCGCTCGACATCGCCGCGTGGAACCAGAACCCAATCCGCTTCCTCATCGTGGACTTCACCTTGGTCAGCGGCGTCGATTTCTCGGCCGCTGAGGCCTTCACCCGCATCAATCGCCTGCTGCTGGCAAAGGACGTGGTCCTCGTCTTTTGCGGCCTGCAGCCCGACGGTGACGTCGGCGTGGCCCTCCGGAGCGTCGGTCTCTGGGCTGATCAAAGCGATAAGCTCGAGGTGTTTGCCAACCTCAACGAGGCCCTGGAATGGACAGAGAGTGAGTGCAGCCGGCTGCCGGCGTCGGACCAAAGAGTCTGAGCACATTGCTGACACCGGCTGCGACCCTCTGTGCCGCCCTCTGACGACCTCGACAGACGAGTACCTCCGCGGCCTGTACGCATCTGATCTGATGGCGGCGAAGGCGTTCGGTCAGGCATCGTTGGCGGCCGCTGGTGGTCTCGGTGAGTCTCTTTTTTCGCTGCGCATCGGCTCCCACTGAACACCGACCTGGACATCTCTGACCTCCCACGCTTGACCTACGCCGCACTCCAAACATCTCAGACGTCCCGGACCAGAAGCGTCGGCCGGCCTTCGTCCTGGACCAGTCGTTTGAGAACTCGCCCCGCCGCCACCACCTGCACGAGGCGGCCAAGACGGCGGTGAGGACCGGCGGCGAGGCGTCGCTGTCTGCAAAGCCGCCGACTTCTGGCACGCCGCCGCCGGCGAGGGCGGTGCACGCGCAGCCGGTGCCGATCCTGCTCATCACCTTCCGTGCCTACCTGCACGACATCACCAGCGAGGAGGACTTCATCGTGCAGCTGGCGCCCTACTTCCAGCAAGTGCGGCTGACGCGGGGCGAGGTGCTGTGGAGCCGGGGCGATCCGGCCGACGGCTTCTACCTGATCGAGTCGGGCATCCTCAAGGCGCGCTACGACTTCCCGCAGGAGCAGTACGAGATCAACGAGGCCATGCTGGCCGGCACGATTGCCGGCGAGCTCACCTTCCTCGCCGAGCGCGAGCGCAACACGACGGTCCACGCCGAGCTCGACGCCACGCTGTGGAAGCTCGACACGGCCTCGCTCCAGAAGATGCGCGACGAAAAGCCCGCCCAGTTTGGCCAATTCGTCAAGGTCCTCCTCCGGATCGCCGGAGAGGAGCAGGAAAGCCTCATGTCGTACCTCGTCTCCCGCCTCAGCTGAAGCGAGATCGAGTCGCAGAGGAAACGCAGAAAAGGCGGAATAGGTCCATCATCATTCTTGTCTCGTCGTCATCATCTTCTCCGTCCTCTCAATTCATGGAAGCGTTCGTGCCGCGAGCAAGAGGCGGGCTGAAGGCGGATCGAACGACGAAGGACGAGGGCGGCGACGGCAGCAGTAGTGTTACAGGGAGGGACTGGGTTGGAATGGGAAGGGAGGCTCGGAGGCTTACGATGGGGACAGAGATGCGGATAGATGCGGACCGTGGGCCTATCGCTTCGCCTCCTTCAACCTGGACTTGAAGCGGTTGAGCCTGCAGGCGCGGGGAAGGGTAAAGGGGGATAGAAGGAGAACCTGTCAGCCGGCAAGCCGGGGCAGAAAGAGGCACGAGACACACGCGGCTGCTGCGAGACTCACCTCTGGTGGTTGGCCAGCCTGGCCTCGTGGCTGCTGTCGCTCTTCTGGCCCGCCGTCGACTGCGGCGCGACGCGGAAGCCGCTGGTGACGGCCTGCGGGATGCTGACGTTCCTCCTGCCGTTGTCGATGATCTGCGTCGAGGTGAGGCCCTGGCTGTTCGACATCTCCGGGTGCCACTCGGCGGCGGCGACGTGGCGGTCGCGGTACGAGGCGGATCGCTTGAGCACGGGTCGAGACCAGACCTCTGTCGTGGAGCGGGAGGCGAACGCGGGACACAAGGAAAGGTCCGGAGCAGCGAGAGCAGGCAAGGAGAGGTCAGCAAGAGCAGAACAAGGGAGCAAGCCGAACTGGAGCTCGGGTACGAACCAATGAGGTGCTCAGCGATCCTCTTGATCCTCGGCTCGACTCGCGGGCACATCGAGTAGAAGACGACGACCTTGCCCAGCCCGCTCATCTTGAGGCTGATGGTGTCGATCGACATCTTCTCCAGGATCTGGAAGAATTGGTTCTGGATGTTGAGCGCCGGCAGACTCTTGTCGGGCAGAGGCTCGAGCCACCTCTTGACGCCCTCGAGCAGGTTGTTGTCGAGGATCGACTGCTGCAGATGCGTCCTGAAGGGTGCAGTGCATTGAAGAAGCCATCGTAAGACTTATGCCCCTTTGACTTTGCCCTGTCAAGACGGGCCAGGCACCTACTTTTGGAGCGTCTGCACCACTCGAGGCAGAAGGCGCAGTTTTGCCACGGCGGGCTTCTTCAGCCTGTTGGCCTCCTCGTCGTCGTCAGCTGCCATGACCATCTCCCTGCGCAGGGCCGATACCTCTTCGTCGGCGAGCAGATCGAGATCCTGGAGGTGATGATAGTCGAGCAGCGACGGCGCGAGAATCGCGGTTAGCCTTGGGCCTCCGCTGCCGCTGCCAGGATCGCCAAAGCGTTGCTCACATCTTCGCCGGCGCGCTTCCTGGGCGCCTTTCTCTTGCCGCTCTTGAGCGCCTCATCGATCAGTGCATCGGTCCTCGACCGGCGGACTATCGCAAGTCGGTCCAACGGTGGGTTTTGGAACGTTCAGCAAAGCTCGCGATCCGCGCATCGCCGACTGCCTCGTTGACACTCACTGTCCTGCGCCGACATTTCAACCCCTTCTCCCTCGTCCCCGCTGATGCCATCCGCATCGTCGCCCGAGCGTCTCGGCGGGGCATCGGGAGAGTGGTGCCTCTTCTTCTTCTTCTTCCTGTGGGATGCAGGGCAGTATCGACCGGGCATCAGCATCCGTTTGCGCGTCTACAGAGGCCTTGGGGGCGCTGAAGGCGGTCGAGGGGAGGCCAGGCGACTCACTTTCGGGGCATGGAGGACGCCGCTTCATCATCGTCACCACCTGCCTCGTCGCGCTCGGTCCGCTGGAAGCTGGGCAGCGCCTCGTCCTCTTCTCCGAACGGGTCTTCTGTGGTGGGCGCTCCGTCCGTTGGCACCTCGATGTGAGTCTGTAGCTCGTCGGCATTGGACTCGGTCAGAGCCGGTGCTGTGGTGCGTAGAAGGTCAAAGACGAGACGAGGAGAGTAATTCAGGCCGGAAAGAAGTCAGATCGATCTATTCTCCGAGGCGTCATGGATGCAGCACCGAGAGGCGCTGCGCGATTGACACCCACGCTCGTCGGGACCTTCGTCGTCGCTGTCCCTGCCAAAGATCTGCTCGTGGGTAGCCTGTTGGTCTTCTTCGTCCGCCATGTCTGCGAGTGTCTTTGACGCTCGTACGCGAACTCGAGGCGGGACGACGATTGGTGGTGGTGGAGGAGGTGACGACGGTGGAGGCTGGCGTCGGCGGGGGAAGTTGTCGTCGCTGGACGTCGAGAGGAGACTTGGGAGAACACGAATTGGGGATCAATTAGCAGCGAAAAAGCGGCGCGGGCAAGCCCGATTCCCGTCGACCGAGCCTCCTTGCTGGCCCTTGCGGCGTTGGGCTGGCTTGAGCGCTCACACTTTTTGGCTGCCCCCTGATGCGGGGAGCTGCAGGCTGCCGTCCTCCCTTGCGCCTACGTCTTCGGTGGTGCTGGCGAGGCTCGACCGACGGACCCTGGCTGTCGAGTCGCGCTCCCCGACCAGCCTGCGCCAGCAAGCCTTCGCTCCTCGCGCCATCCGTCACCGTCTGCTCTTCCAGCCCAGCGCCAGCGCCAACGCCACAGCTGTCGACCCAACCCCAGCTCACCAACTACCCTTCCTTCGACCCCGGCCCGACAACCGTCGGCGTGACGAGGCCATTGACATCGGCTGACGCCCGCCGCCCTCTAGACCAGACGCTGCGAGCTGGCTCGCCCGGATCAACCGCGACACACGACACTACAGTCACAGTCACTTGGCGGCTAGCAGCGGCGATTCGGAAGCTCGGAGGTGCTCCCGTCTCCTCACCAGGACCGAACACGCTCCCTGTCTCTGAGATTCAGGGGTCTAGGCGCTTTGTGCAGCGCGCATCTGGCCTTTCGGAAGGCGAGCCGACAGCGAGGCGGTTACACGTTCGTCTGCTTGCAACTCTCAACCGCTGCCAAGGCCTGGCCCGCCAGACCCACGCCTTTCCCAACATTTCCACCCTTCCACCATCACCATCACGATCGCTCGGCCTCCGGACCGACCCTTGATAGCATCACCACGAGCACGAGCACCAGCACCAGCACGAGCACCAGCATCAGCTACATCTGCATACGATGAACGCCCTCACCGAGGCCAGGAGAGCCAACAGGAACACGGAGCGCGTCCAGATCAAGGAGGCCACAGAGACACGCACCATCCTCTTCGAGTGGCCGCTCACGAATCTCAAGTCCCACTTCGACTCGTCAAAGTCCGATGCAAAGTCCAAGGTCATCAAGTCGGTCCCCTTTGGAGGTGGCAGGTGGACCGTCCTCTTTTACGCGCAGTCCGGCATCGACCAGTTCTGTTCGCTCTACCTCAACGCCGAGCCGTCACAGGAGGAAAGGAACCAGGCCGTCGAGTACCGCGGCCCATCCACGCCGGGCGAGAGCGGCGCGGTCAAGGAGGACAAGTGGGCCAGGGAGGGCCTCTACGGCTTCACCTTCCAGATCCAGACCATCGACCGGGCCACCATCCTCGGCACCAAGGAGGCCCACGACCATGCCTTTTCCGACAAGACCTCGAACTGGGGCTGGGCCCAGTTTGCCAAGCGCGACGCCGTCTACTACAGCAACTCGGCAGTGAGGGCCGCCGATGCGTTCCTCATCAGTGTCAGCGTCACCGACAGCCCCGAAAGGCCGCGCATCCAGCGCTCGCTCGGCCACACTGTCCCGCCGGTCCTTGTCCAGGCTATGGGCTCGCTGCTCGACGATCCGGACCACAGCGACATCGTATTCGTCATCCACCCCCGGCGCCGCACGCCCAATGGCAACCGGCGCCCCAAGCAGAAGGTCTACGCCATCAAAAAGATCCTCGCGGCAAGATGCGAGTACTTTCGCGACATGTTCGAGGGCGGCTTCCTCGAAGCCGAGACGGTCGGCACGTCCGACGACGACGACTCGGTCGCCTCACCGCGCTCGTCTCCCTCCAACGACCGTCAGCAGAGCCCGCTTCGCGGCGGAGTCGGGACGCGGGCCTCGCCGGCGTCTGGGGCCCGCCAAGACGGCAATGACTTCGACGACGACCTCGACGACGACCAGTCTGACGCGATCCTCGACGATTCGGACGAGGAGCTCGAGTATCTCGAAAGTCGGAAACTCGACCTGGCAGCTGGACGTGACCAGTACCTTGGCCGAAAGAGCGGTATCGCTGGTGGCGCCCACAATGCCTCGACCGAAGAAGGCTGTGGCCGCCACGGCGACAATGACGATGATGACGACGATTTTGTCGACGACGACGAAGTCATCGCCGTCTCTGGCGGTGGCGGGGGCGGGGGCGGGGGCGGTGCTGACCCCGGTGATGCCATGGCAACAATGGGCGATCAGGACCAGATCGAGGAGTACATGGACACGTCGTCGTCCTTTCCCGCGTTTCACCCGGGCTCGCCGATCCAGCCCCTCTCGGCTGGCGCCGCCTCGTTCAGCGTAAAGGCCGAACCTGGCAGCGAAGGCGTACCGCAGAGGCAGCTCTCGGGCGGCCGCACGCAGCCTATGGACAAACTCGACGCCTCTGGCTCCTCCGCAGATCGGGCGATGGTCCGTCAAAACTCGGTCGGTCAGAACACACGGCCCGAGATCCGCACGCCACAGAAGCCTCAGCCGACCCAGAAGAGGTCGCGCGCCAACACCTTTGAGACCCACGACAGCAAAAAGGTCGGATCCAGCTTCGCATCGCAGAAGAAGCGCCGCAAGGTGGTGAGTACATTGCGCAGGGCGACCATCGCGCGAGGGCGGCGCTCGGCAGACTGTCGGGTCGCAAAGCACGCCGTCACCATATCGACGTTCGACTGACGAAACTTCAGAACCCACGTCGTGTCCACAAACGCTTGCCGGTCCAGGTCGTTCGCGATTCCGCCTACCTCACCTTCAAAGCGCTCCTCTACTACCTCTATACGGACACGGTCGAGTTCTCGCCGCTCACATCGAGCTTCCTGTCGACCGAAGCGGCGGCCGAGGAGTCCAGCTCCGGCAGCGGCGTCTGCATGGCCAATGGGGACGTGCGCTGGGGCAGCAGCAGCACAGATGTCTTCAACGACGAGATGCGAAAGGCACACGCGATGTAGGTGTGGTCCCTATCCTCGTCCTCGACACGACATGCACCCATACACGTCAAACCTCTGCCGACCTCGTCATTCCTTTCTGACCCCTTCCAACGTCTTCGCCTTTTCCTCCCCAGGCGCAAGGAACACATCGACATGTGGTGCGCACGCTTCCCCGACAAGCCCGTCCCCTGTTCGGCCAAGGCCATGTATCGCCTGGCCGACAAGCTGCAGATCACCGACCTCAAGCGACGCGCGCAGGAGCACATTGCCAACAGTCTGACGGTCAAGAACATTGTCTGGGAGGTCTTTTCCGGCTTCAACACGCAGTTCAAGGACATCCGAAAGGTGAGCACGAAGGCGCCGTGCGTGGGATTGATGGTTGGCGCGCCTCGGGCTTTTATCGCTGATCGTAGGCGCATGACGGCTGCTCCGTTCCTGGCGCGCTTCAGATCGAGACCGATTACCTACTCAAGCACTGGAAGGAGGTGAAGAAGTCGAGGGCGATGAAGACGATCTTCTTCCGCTCCAGCGCGCACCCGGGCCTCGCAGAGGGTAAGTCGGCCGTGACACCCTTGCATGGTCCTGATCCGACGCGCAGCAATGCAACGGATGCTGAACCGAGCTCCCCATCACCGCGCCCATCACCGCCGCCCCGCTGCAACAGTGTGGCCTTACCTGCTCAGCCAGCTCGAGTACAAGGCGACGCCCGACGAGGGCGCCATCGAGGCCTCGGACAGCGAGTGATCTGCGCGCTGCCTGGCTCTCGCGGGCCAACGCCGGGCAGCTTCGCATCTCGGCATGCCTGCCCGTATCGCGCCCGCCCCGTCGCGCCACAGCGCTACCATCCCTTCTCCGACCAAACTTACTTGTTTTCCATGACCGTTTCCGCACCGTTTCCGCCCCGACTAATCCGTCCCAGCATGTCAGCAAGAATTCTCGGCGCCCTCATCTGTACAACCCCTCTTCGTCTAGCAAGCCAAATGAACTCCTCTCCACTCTACGTAGGATGTGGGGCTGAGTGCGGGCCGCGGGAGAGACGGTGGGGCCCGCTTCTGCTTTTGCTCCGCCGCAGGCTGAGCCCCCTGCGCCTGGTCATTTGAGCGTCCGATTTGAAAATTTTGAATTCGACCAGGCCCCCTTTGTATTCGCCCTTGTGCGATCGGGAAGTCAAGGCAGGCGGGGCGGATGCTGCACGCACGTCCCCCACCGCACTTGTCTCTGCCTGGCCTGGCCTCCCTGCCTGGCTGCTGGGTCTTTCAAACGAGCCAGAGCGCGGGCGGGCGGGCGAGCGGGCGGCCGGGGGAGAGAGCAACAAACACACCCGGCCGGTGAGTGAAGCAGGCAGGCAGGGCCCCTCTTTGACTCAGGCAGGCAGGCAGGCAGGCAGCTGGGCCGGCCAGGAGGTGGGCGAGGTCGTGCGGGTCTCGTCGTCGAGGTGGAACGCACGCTGCGACGCACCGTACGTAGGTTTATCGCCGACGTCTCCGCCAGTCTTCCAGCACGCCTCTTGAGGTCTGCCAGCCACCATCACCACCTCCCTCCGACACCATCTCCCGTCGAGACCATCATTCCGGTCTGCGCCAGCTTTTCTTCGACAGACAGGCGCCGGCACTCGTTTTCTCGTCGGCCGTCCCTGGTCGGTTTCTGCATCTCGTCTTCGGACCCGCTAAGCGCTGCGCTCAACAGAGCCATCTCGGGATTCGACGTCTTTCTCCGTTCCTCGCTCAGACCACCATCCGACGTCTCTACAAGCATTCCAGCATTGCACAACGGATCAGCATCATCGACAGCTTCTCGACGTTCCGACACCTCTCCACGAGCCTACCACCAGCATCGATCGCTTTGCGCGGCCACCCATCACGCTCGTCTGATCGACGCGGATCGCTCGATCCTCGAAAGACCACGGGCGATCGCTCATCGGCAGAGTCTTCCTTGCCCGCCCTTCCGCCTCCGCTTGACCGACGTCAGCTTCAGGGGCGACAGAGCTTGGCCTAGCCCGCCATCCTAGCTTCGATGTCGGGGATGCAAGGGAGCTTCGCTTTCCGCAACATGGGCGGGATGCAGGGCAACCAAGGGGGCGAAGGAGGCCAAGGCATGTTCATCAGCAACAGCGGCAGCATGATGCTTGGTGGAGGCGGTGGAGGCAATGGCGGCCTGCCTGGCGGCCAGCCTGGATCTGGTGGGCTTGGTGTTGGCGTCGGTGCCGGCAACAATGGCCAAGGGAACGGCGCCAACGGCGTTCCCGCTCAGGAAACGGGCAACTCGGTCGCTCCGGCAGAGTATACGCTTCCTGGCATCCTACACTTCCTTCAGAGCGAATGGCGAAGGTACGAGCGCGATCGCAACGAGTGGGAGATTGAGCGCGCCGAGATGAGGGTGAGTGCTTGCGACCAGATCGACCGCAGGCCTTGGCGCAGGAGCCCCCCGTTGACGTATCTTTACTGGGCCTCCTTCAATCCGTGCAGGCCCGGATCGCTCTGCTCGAAGGCGAGAGGCGGGGCGTCGAGAACCTCAAGACTGACTTGATGCGTCGAGTCAAGATGCTCGAGTATGCCCTCAGACAGGAGCGGTAAGTCCCCAGCTACACTCGTCCTCCTTGCCAGCCCTCAAGGCGGAACGATGCTGAATGTATCCTCACTCCCGCTTCCGCTGCACTACACCACAGCTCAAAGTACCTTTCGTCGAGCTCGGCCAGCGCATCGACTTCTCAGCCTGCGGTCGCCAAGAACCCTTTGCTCCAGGGCCTCGAGAAGTCGACCTCTGCCAGCGGACGAAGCTCGCCGGCGAGGAGCGAGGACATGCGTAAGTACTCACCGCTGCGTGACACCGCCTCCTGTCGAACCAATTGTCGTCCGACGCAGACAGCGCCGCTCACACACGCGCCCTGCCATGCCTCCCTCCCTCTTGACTCGACGAGATAGCAGGCCCCATGGACGGCGGCACCCTCCATCTCGCGAGGGGCACCGGTACCCTGTCGTCCCTCTCCTACAACCCCAGCACCATCGGAGCCGGCACCATCAACGGCAGCACCTTCGGCAGCACAGGTACCGGCACCATCGGCGGATCCAACCTGGCGGCTCAGCTTTCGCGCGCTTCTTCCGGAGCCAAGTTCCCGCAGTCCCGCGCCAAGAGCCGCGACTACCTCAAACAATGCCTGCAGGAGATCTCGTACCTGACGAGCGCAAGCACGCTCAATCCGCTGCCGGACCGCGGCGTCGCAGCCTCTGCCAATGCGGCTGGCGGGGCCCAGGCGCAGGGCACACAGCAGCCCCGACCTCGCATGACGATGCTCGAGAACGTACCAGCCACCGCGCCTGCATACCAGGAGGTGCAGGACAGGCCGGCGAGCGGCTCGCCGCGTCGTGGCGCTGGAACGGGAGCGGCATCTGGCGGCATGGGCACCCAGAAGGGCGGCAAGATCGGGCGTTCCCCGCTCTACGCGTCCGAGCCGGTGCCTGAAGAGTCGGCCGAGGACGAGACGGCTGACGAAGCTGGCGGAGAGGCAGAGTCGTCCAAGAACGATGTGGACCCGCTTGGCGCCGTCTCGGGTGGCAGTATCGTAGCCCGCGACGCCTTGACCGACGAAGCTGGCTCGGCACGCGGCGATGCGACAGATGCCGCTGCAGAGGGCTCGACCGCGCACAACAGCGATGACTCCCAGCAGGCTCCTGATTCGGGCTCCGGTGAACACGACGAGACCGCCATGTCAAGTTCGTCGTCTCAGGGCTCCGACTCGTCCGACTCTGCCGGCTCCTATCAGTCATGCGGATCTCGGGGGTCTTCGAACGACAGCATGACGGATCCCGAGCGAGACGACGACGGCGAGCAGGTCACGGCCATCTTCAAGCCCGGCGGACGCGATTGGGAGAAGCTCAAGGAGGCCGGACTGAGGGGCCGGGAGAGGCGGGAAGAGGAGCGAAAGAGGCAGCAGCAGTCCGACGATTCTGCCATCGTCTCGGAGGCGCAAGCTCAACTCGCCCTCACCACCGAGCGCGTCAACCAGCTCATGAGCCGCAGCGGGCGCAACGTCGGTGCCACCGCCGACAAGCACGAGGAGGACGAGCTGGCCAACCTCAGCTTCAACCCCGAGGACGAAGAGGCGGCCAAGGCTGCTGCTGCCGACGCTGCTGCCGACAGCCAGATGTGGAAGTCAAAGAAGGTCCTCCGCAGCCACCTGGACGCCGTCCGTGCGGTGGCCTTCGACCAGTCCAACCTCAGCCTGATCTCGGCGTCGGATGACAACACCATCAAGTTCTGGAAGCTCGACCCTCAGAGCATCAACCAGCCCAGGTGAGTTGAGCTTTCGGGCGATTTGCAGCAGACCACGCCCGCAGGTTGACTGCGTTGCGCGGGATTGTCGAGGCCCCCAAGCTGACAAGCCTCGCCCAATCTGCTCCCATCCCTCTTGCAGCGGCAAGGCGGGCGCGGACAGTGATCCGCTCGTGACTTTCCGTGGCCACTCGGCCGCCGTCACCTGCCTCGCCGTGTCCCACCATCAGCGACGCATCTACAGCGGCAGCATTGACTCGTCTGTCCGCGTCTGGCAGCTGCCAGACAGCAACGTCGAGGCCTACCCGCCGTATGACAAGTCGGTCGAGCTGGGCTGTCTCGTGGGCCACACTCAGCCGGTGTGGGACCTTGCGCTGCTGCCGGACAAGTCAGACGACGAGGCCTACCTTGCCACCGCCTCGGCCGACGGCACCATCAAGATCTGGGCGACTCAGCAAACCGACAGCGGTAGGGCGCCTGCCGAGCTGCGTCTCAGCTGGGACTACTTTGGCGTGGACCCGCCGAGCGACGTCAGCAAGGAGCGCGAGAACCTCGAAAAGACGGGCGGGCTGCCGGTGCCGACCTCGGTCGACATGTGCCGCTCGGACCTGCGGCTGTGCGCCGTTGCCTATTCGAACTCGGTCGTCAAGCTGTTCGAGGTCGAGACGGGCAAGCAGGTGCGGCAGCTCAAGAGCGACCAGACCTACGACAACACGCTCAGCACGCAGATCAACAAGCTGGTCACACACCCGACGCTGCCGCTCGTCATTACGGCGCACGAGGACCGCTACATCCGCATGTTTGATCTCGATTCGAGCGAGTGCACCCTCTCGATGATTGCCCACCTGGATGCCGTCACCTCGCTCGACATTGACGCCTCGGGCCTGACGCTGGTATCGGGCGGGCACGACTGCAGCGTGCGCTTCTGGGACATCGCCGGCGGCTCTCTGTCTCCGCGCGAGGGCCCCAATAGCAGCGGCAGCGGCGCTGCTCCCGCGACCGGGTCTGCCGACGAGGTTGTCTCGAACGGTACCACGGCCGTCTGCCGGCAGGAGATTACCTCGCACCGTCGCAAGGCGGCCGAAGGCGTGCTGGCCGTCAAGTACCACCCGACGGCGCCCTACTTTGCATCGGCCGGCGCCGACGGCGTCATCCGCATCTACGGATAGGAGCGAGGTGCCGTCTTCGCTGCTTGCGACGCCTCGACTCTGCGGGTCGGCCCCCCACGCTCCCTCTTGTCCCCCGCCCCTCCACGTCGTCTTCTTCCACTTTGCTTCCGAGTTCCCCTTGTGTCTGGTCCAGAACGAATCACCAACGCTTTTCCTGTTGCCATGCGTGGATTGAACTGGTCGAACAGGTGCCCGGTCGGGACGACACGGGGCAGCACGGACCTCGTGGCGAGGCCTGACCGGAACGTACGGCTGACCGTTGCTTCCGGAGCGGAGCGGGGCCGGGTCCGAGGTGCTGCCCTCGCTTGCGTTGGGTTCGAGGGTCAAGGCGGAGGAGCCGACCGCTGGCTTGGTCGCAGTAGTAGTCAGGGGGGCCCAAAGAGGAGACCCGGGGTTCGTTGCGTGGCTTTGCTGCTGTTGAAGCAGGTGCTGACGACGACGTCGTCTTGCGAGATTTTTGCGTCGGGCTACCCGTACTCGAAACGCTCGGGCCATTCCACAGACGTGCCACCGCCCACCGGGCGCCGCGGCGGGGGGCACCGTGCGTGCGTTTCCTGAGCGGAGCGAGAGGGGCCCTTGCTTGCCTGCCTGGCCTCGAGATGCAAGGTGCACGCCCTGACCCCCTCAACATCGTGGTCCCGCTCGTCAGCATGCTGGCCTGCCTGCTCTACTGTTCGGTCGCTCTTTGGCCAGCTCGTCTCATTCGCAGCCGCCGCGCTGCGCTGCTCTGCTTTGCTGGCACTCCCACCACCAAGCGGAAGCGGGAAGGCGGCGCCTCGCTCGTCGGCATTCCGGAAAGGGCGGTCTGAGCGCCTAGCTTCTCGCTCGACTCTCCTTTGATCCCAGACGACGTCGAGCTCGGACCGCTCCCGCGAGCCCTACGTCGGCCGTCATCTAACCTCTTAGGGCGGGGGCGTGCGCACAGGCTAAGGTGAGGTTGTGGCGCCTAGAACGAGAAAGCCAGATAGAGGCCTACGGACGATCGATTGTCGTCGAGGCGAGACCGTCGGTCGCCATGCGCCCTCCCTCATGCTTGCTTGCTGGGGACGGGCAAGATCCTGCAGGTGCCTCACGAGCCCGCGCAAGCAGAGCAGCCCTGCTTGCTTTGCCTGACCTAGCCTGTGATGGCTTGAATAGGTGAGGGGCCAGCGCACGCAGTCAAACCTAGCTTAGCTTGGAGTTTGGGGCGGTCTATGGGTTACGAGGGCCCACGGCGTTCTGCCCAGAAGGCTTACCACTAGCTAGAGCGGCGTCCAGCGTAGCGGGTCCGGGCGACGGCAAAGTGGACGCCATCTCGTTCGCCAGACGGAGCATCGTCGCTGTGCTTGGATGGCCCACACAGAACAGAGCTACGTAGCAGCGTCACAGGTGTCGGTGTGAGTGCTGCTGTCGTTGACATGGAGAGCTCACACCGGGCCCAGCTAGCATGGTCGGTTGACGGGTCGATGGGCAGGAGGGGGGTTGAAGCGGTGCAGGTAACCCGGCACGGAGCTGCGCCAGGGGAGTGGCGGCAACTGCAGACCTGCTTTGCCCTGCCTCGCCTTAGCTTGCCTGCCTGCCTCGCCCCGCCCTGGCCTAGCCTGCCTGGCCTCACCGTCGCCGTCGTCGCCGCCGTCGTCGTCGTTGCTCTGGTCGTCGTTGTCGCCGCCACCCGCCCGGCTGGTGCATGCTGCACGCACCTTGCCTGCCAGCCTGCGTGCGTGCGGCACGGGCATTTTTCTCCCCTGCCTCTCTCTTTCTTGCTGGCGTGTGACTGGCCCAAGGCCGGCAGGGCAGGGCGGGGCAGGACCGGCCGGAGGGCAAAGGGCGGGCGGGGCTTTTTTCGAGCGCAGGCAGGCAGCAGGCAAAGTGGGCAGGCAGCCAGACGCAGAAAGGGAGGCAGGCGGCCAGGCCAGCCAGCCAGCTCTTTGGCCCGCCGCTTGGCTCGCTTTGCACGAGCCCCCTCGCCAGGCCAGGCCTTCTGGTGGCTCCAGCAGCTGACTCGCTCCCTGCCCGTACTTCTTGGCTGGCCAGCATGGCGCCCCTCCTGGCTCCTCTTCACCACCACCCATCCTTCGCTCTCCCCCCCGCCTTCTCCTAACGACTAGGATCACGTCCACCCACCCGTCCGTCGCTTCGTGCCACCTTTGATTGCCGTCTTCACCACCGCCACTCTCCTCCTCATCACCACCACCACCACCACCACCACCACCACCACCACCATCATCACCACCAGCGACCCCCCTCTCCCACAGCTTCGGCGCATATAACTCGTCTCACCATCTCCCCCATCAACGAACGCCACGCAACGACCTCAGTGTCCTGACGCTCGCGACGACGGTACGACTGCCTCATACCCCCGCAACCGCTTTGGTCTCTTTTTCACCCGACGCATCGCTGCGCCCGCTCGACGCAACGCCCCCCCCAGACCTGACTGAACCCACTCACTAGCAGGTCATCAGCCCGCGACTAGCCAGCCTGGTCCTCTCTCCCCTCGCATCCCGCTTCAGCCCGTTCATCGGCCTCTCGCTTTGTCCACTCCATCTTCGACCTTCATCGACCCTCGACTAGGCTCCCTGTTGCAGGCACTGGAGCTCGTTCCCTTCAATCTCGTCTCCATTTCAACACCTTTCCCCGCTGTCCATCCGGCCAGCAGCTAACCTTCTTCCCGAGCTGCTCGACACACTCCACTGCAAGAGCCGCACCGTCTTCCCGTCTTTTCTCCGACCCGAGCGCAAACAGCATCCACCGCCCCGTCCCTTTTTCATCGACGCATCAAGAAAGCCGCCCCTCATCCCTGTAGCAATCCTCATTATTCTTCCGAACGGCTTCTCCTCCCATTAGCAAGCCTCGCATTCTCCTCGCTCGCGGAGACGAAAAAGGCAGGGCAGCTCATCCCAGCGGCCTTCCAACCCTCTCTCGTCTGCTGTATTTCTGCTGCTAGCCGACGCTTCGCTCCCGTCGATAGCCCTCTCGCATACTCCTCTCTCCTGTTTCTGGCTTCAAGCCCCATCAGTTCGGCTCACAAGACTCCCTTTCAACAACTCAAATCTCACCGGCGAACTTCCACCAGCTATCTGCCAACCGCCGAGCCAAGACACACGCAGCCATGACTGATCAACAGCTCGAGCGCACCTTCAACTCGCTCAACCTTGGCGATTCGCAGCAGGAGGCCCAACACTACGCCTCTTCCCAGAGGCAGCAGGGCTCGGCTTCCCTGCGGTCGCCCACCGGCCTCGGCCCCACCGACCTTTCAGGGCACAGCAACGGCTTCTCGCAGCAACAGCAGCAGCAGCAGCAAGCGTCCGCGGCGGCCGCCCAGAGCGCCTCGGCTCGCTTTGAGCGCTTCTTTCCCTCGTCTTCGCCCGGTCAGACGGCTGCGCAGCCGTCCGGTCTTGCCTACAATAGCAACCTCGGCGCCAATGGCGGCCTCGCCGGCAACAGCGCCTTTGGCGGCTTCGGCCACAACCTCGGAGCCGGTACAATTGGAGGAGCTTCGAGCGGCAGCGGCAACTTTGGCTCGACTGCCGGTGCACGCAAGACTTCGCGCGCAGGCATCCCTTCGCAGTGGGGCTCAAACACCGACCCTTCGCTGAGCCCAGCCTCGGGAGACTCGCCGCCGACGTCGATGGCGTCGCCGGCCAGCTTCTACCAATCGCACGCTGGCGCCAACTTTGGCCAGCCGGCCCCCGGCTCTCTGCTCGCCAACCCTGGGATCGAAGACGACATCATCCCCACCGCCATCGTCGTCAAGAACATCCCCTTCAGCGTCAAGAAGGAGCAGCTGCTGCAGATCATTGTGAGTGTGCTGCACGGAGCTTCGCCGTCACGAAGCCTCGCTCGTTGCTAAGACATCGCCTCTTCCCCGTCTCTGTCGTCGCGTCGCTGTCGACAGGAGGACCTTTCTATCCCGATGCCGTACGCTTTCAACTACCACTTTGACCAGGGCGTCTTCCGCGGCCTTGCTTTTGCCAACTTCCGCACTGGCGAGGAGGCCGACGCAGTCGTCGCCGCCCTCAACGGCTTCGACGTCAGCGGGCGCAAGCTCCGGGTCGAGTACAAGAAGGTGCTGCAGGCCGGTGAAAAGGAGCGGATCGAAAAGGAGAAGGCCATTAAGCGGATGCAGAGCATGCAGCTCGAAAAGGAGCGCGAACGCGAGAGGCGGCGCCAGGAAGAGTATGGCGCCAACGCCTACCTCATGCCCGGGGCAGCCGTGCAGGGCTACATGCCCAACGCCTTTGGCGACGTGAGCAACGGCCAGTCGCACGCCTTCGATGGCGGCAGCATGGGAGGCCCTCGCGCCCCGCTCACTGCCGACACTCTCAAGGCGGTACCCAGCGCCTCCAGCGGGCCTGCCATTGGCGCTCCCTCGGAACTGTCCTCGAACGCGGCGGCCAACGCCAAGAAGGAAGAGCTGAACCTCAACGACGCTGCCACGCTCGAGATCTACTCGAGGGTGCTTCTGTTCAAGGACGACCGCATGCGCGACGAGCTCTCGTTTTCGCGGAGCCTCAGCCCGCTCGAAAGGCGCACGGTCCATCTGGTGGCGCAGAGGCTTGGTCTCTACCACTATTCGATGGGCGAGGGCGACGAGCGCTACGTCATTGTCACCAAGAACGAGGTGCCCGCCCAGAACAAGCCTCTCCGCACCCAGGCCTCGACCATCGGACGCTCGCACCGCGGCGGCGGCGACATCTATGGCAACGGCATGCTTGCACCCGGAAGCAGCGCCACAATGGGCCGATCTGCGCTCCGCATGAAGAAGTCAGCCCCAGACATGAAGCGGGCCCTCGGATCGGACCGTGACGGCGTATCGAACGGAACCTACAGCTCCGGGATGCTCGCACCCGGCTCAAACAGCCTCGCCGGACGTCGCTCGCAGGTCAACCTGCGCGAAGGCTACTCGGCGACGATGGGAAGGCGGCCGCAGGCGGGCGGCGTTGGAGGGGCTGCCGGTCTGCAGAGCCTCTTCGCTTCTCCTTTTGACGTTCCCCCTGTCCCGTCGCTCGGCAGCTCTGGCATGGGAGACGGCAGCAACGGCGCCAACGGATCGTCGCCCGGCTCCAACCTCCTGCGACAGCCTCGCGGCCCGCCCACCCCTGGCTCTTCGGAGTCGAGGAACTTTGCGCACCGCTCCCGTGTCCAGGTCAACGGCAACGGCAACGGCAACGGCAGCAGCGCGACGAGCCCGCAGGCGTCCACGTTCCGCCTCCACGTCGACGACAGCAAGGCCCATGGCCACTCGCACATGGGCTTGGCCGACGTCGAGGCGACCACCCACTCGCCGCTCGAGATCTGAGTGCAGCCTCGTCTGCCCCTTTGGCATCCTCCAGGCGACAATCAAGCGCACGAGAAGAAGAGTAGGGTGCAATAACCCGCTGTCCCATGTCGCAAACACATCACAGCACCACCCCCCATCGCGGGCGGCAAACTGGGCAGCCTGGCCCGGGCCGATCCTCTGGCCCTCGTCCCGGCCGGGTCCTCCCACACAGTATCCACATGACCCGTCGAGTCGTCAATCTGTCGTCCTCTCCATCCCGTCCATCCCCTATCTTATCCTTCCGTCGACCCGATCCCAATCAGATTCTCCAGAACAACGCTAGCGTAGGTTCCCCTCTTTGTCACTGGTCCAAGCAGTCGAAATTCCAGAGTTCCCCATTTCTCCTTTCTCCCTTTCGGTTCGGCCGCCTCTGCGTGGCTGTTCGGGCTCGCTGATCACGCTCGCCGGCTTCCAGCAACGGGTCGCGGCGCATGGCTGCTCGCATCTCCGATGCCAAGTTCGAAAAAGGGCGTGGCGATTGCATTCGAAAATAAGGATAACCAGACGGCATCATCGCATCGAGATCGACCCTTGCCCCGGTCCCCAGAGACGGCTCTGGTCTGACGGTACGAGCACCGTCCTGGGTCTGTGTCTGGGTCTCAAAAGATGGCTGCGGCGTTGGCGGTGCTTGCGACGCCGCCGTAGAGGTTGAGGGGCCACGAGGAGAAGAAAAACGTCCAGCGGCGGTGCTGGGCCGCGTGCTGGGCCAGGGCTTCCAGGTCAAACATCTCGCCGATGGGCATACCCCACAGCCCCAGCAGCGTCTCGTGCAGCATCGCGTGCTTGGGCAGCGAAGGTCGCGCTTCGAAGGCTGGTGCATCGCCGGCCACCTGCGGTGCGGTCGACGGGACCATGAGTGGTAACGTCAGTCGAGTGCGGGAGAGGGGAAAAGGGGATCATGGAAGCGAGCACGAGTACGTACGGCGGCAAAGTGGTTGTCCCACAGGAAGGCCTTCATTTCCTCGCTCTGGTCGACGCCGGCAAAGGTGAGACGCTGCACCCATTCCTTGCGCTCCTCGGGCGTCGAGTCGTAGTACCGCACCGTGAACCCGGACCGCACCAGCAGAATGTCGCCCTGCGGGTTCGCGCAAAGATCGAGGAGAAGCCGGAAGCGTCAGTCGTGTCAATCAGGCCGGGTATTGATGGCGGCATGCATGGCCAGTCGAGGTTCATGGCAACGCGCGGCGGCTGCTCACCTTCCTGAACGTGACGCCCTGCGCCTTGGCCGTCTCCTTGAGGTCGTCGACGGTGATGAAGTAGGTCTTGCTGGGATCGTAGGCGTACTCCTTCCACCTCTCGTGGCCGCCGGGCTTGCTCGAGAGGTAGGCAAAGACGTCGAGCAGCACCCCTCGTCCACAGACGCCGCGCTCGGCGAGATGGTGGATGCCGAGCTGGTTCCGCTGCCGGCTCTCCTCCGAGTTGAGCTGCTCGGGCGTGGCACCCTGCGGCTCGCGGTTGGCAAACGTATCCTGCAGCGTCTTGCGGTCCACGCCTCCATAGAAGCAGTTCAAGGGCATGTGCCCCATGTGGCGAAGGCCGTCCCACTGCGATCCCGACTGCGTGTTGAGGTGCAACGTGTCGTCAGTGACCGGCACCGAGTCTGGAGCAGAGATGATCGTGTCGGTCGGTGGACATGTCAGCTGCGGCGCTGTGCCCAGTCTCGTTCGGGCAGCTCTCACTCCGACTCACCTTCGCCGCGGTTGACGACGTCCTTGCCCTGCTTGCGCAGGTCCTCGACGGCGGCATCGCGCGGCTTGGTGTAATACTCGCCGCCCTTGCCCTTGATCTCGTGGTGGACCGCCTGGCGCTTGAAAAAGGGGTCTTGGGGCAGGTGAAGGGGCCAGTTGAGGCTGATGCGCGTGCCGGTGCGCACCTCGTCCCGCGCGCTTCGAGCGACGACGGCGTCGGTGAGGAGGTTGGTGGTGCCCAGCTGGTCTCCCTCGCCCCAGACTGACCAGGCGCATCCTGGGTATCCGCCCTCGCTGGGCAGATCCTTGTACCTGGGGAGGTGGTTCCACTTGGATTTGTCCTCGGCATGGGTCGACTGCGAGACCGACGCGTAGTGAGAAGAGGTAGACGACTGGGTGGCTGTCGAGGTGGCCAGACCGAGCTGGGTGGCGATGGCGGCCAGACGGCGGCGCGCACGCAGGGGCGACTCGTAGTGGTGGCGTTCGTCGTCGTGTGAGGCATCGCCGCTGGAGGCTGAGATGGCTTCGACGGCGTCCTTGCCCGAGGCGGCCATCGCGCTGAGGATGCTGGCCGACTGCCTTGCCGTCACGCTGGCAGCCGAAGTGACGGCGTTGGCAGGGGCTGATGCGCTGTGCGGGTTGTCGCCGTGGGTCTGGGCGGGTTTGTGCTGCTCATGGTGGTAGGAGTGCGAGCTAAAGGCGCGGCCGATGAGCTCCTTGATCCTCTTTCGCTTCGAGAGCTCCTCGTTGTCGTCGGTCTTCATGGCGAGGGGTCGGTGCTAAGGCTGGAGGCGGGTATGGGCAGGGCGGGAAGAGACTGTGATGGCAGTGAGGGCGGCTGGCTTCCCGTTTCGAGGATGATGGAGGAGGAGAAGCGGTCGAGGTTGGCCGTGGGGAGGAGAGGTAGAGAGCTGGGTGCCAGCCGGTGCCAGCAGCATCGAGGCGGGGGGGGGGGGGGGTGGGGTGGTCCGTCCGCTCATGCGTGGGGCCGGCTGCGTGAAAGGCGAGCCGAGTGCCCTATGGTCGAGGCGGCAGGGCCAAGCTAGGGATCGGAAGCCTCTCGAGCTCTCTGGCTCAGCTTGCGTGCCAGGCCAGGGCGAGCATGTGGGGCCGCCCGCCCAGCTGGTTATGTGGGGCCCCGCCAACGAGCCGCGGCCGCTGGCTTTTGTCTTTTTCTTCTCGTCCGAGAGAGCTGCGTCCGGCAATCTGGCTCTCGGTCCACGCCCAGGAAGAAACCACCAGCGCGCAGAGGCAGCGTCCCCAGAGTCGGGCAGGCTGGTACTATGCTCAACCTCCTTCACTCCGATCCTCGACGTGGCCTGCCCTCAGCTCCTTTTGCATCTGCTTCAGCCCTACCTTCGCGCATGGGCAAGGGTCACATCGTCCCAGCACGGCTCCATAGAACAGCCACTCGCTTCTTCGCACGCCAGGCTGCATCCGCTTTGCGCGTCGCCCCACCGCCGCTGGATCCACGTCGCTTCAGCAACCTGCCGCCTGCCGCTCCTGGCGCATTACTCGGCCGCATCGCGCCTCTCGCCATCCGTACAAAGGTCACCATGGCGGCACCTTCTTCCTCCGACAGAGGCTATGCGGCCGCCGTCGATGCACTCAACACGCTGCAGTCCAACGCCGCAACGCTCGAGGCCATCCGCAAGAATGGCGGAAAGATGAACGACCTCTTCATCCCCGAGATGGTCGAGTACGTATCCCGCATCGGCTATACCCAGGACGACCTCAACAGGCTCAACGTCGTGCACATCACCGGCACAAAGGGCAAGGGATCCACGTCGGCCTTCTGCGACTCGCTCTTCCGACAGCTCGACGTGCACAAGCCCGGCGGCCAGCCCGCAAAGGTCGGCCTCTTTACCTCGCCCCACATGTGCGCCGTCCGGGAGCGCATTCGCATCAACGGCCTACCGATCCCCGAGGACATGTTTGCAAAGTACTTTTGGCAGGTCTGGGACAGGCTCGCCGAGAACCCGCAACGCAAGCACGAGATCACGCCGCTGCGCCCTGTCTACTTCCGCTTCCTCACGCTGCTCGCCTACCACGTCTTCCTCCAGGAAGAGGTCGATGCCACCATCCTCGAGGTGGGCATCGGTGGCAAGTACGACTCCACCAACGTCGTTCCAAAGCCCCTCGTCACAGCCATCACCCAGCTCGGGCTCGACCACACTGCGCTACTGGGCAACACGGTCGAGGAGATTGCGGTGCAAAAGGGCGGCATCTTCAAAAAGGGCGCACCAGCCCTTAGCTGGGCCAGGCAGCCGGGCAGGGCGATTCAGGAGCTGGAACGGGTGGCAAAAGAGGCCGGCACCCAGCTCGAGACGGTCGACCTTCGCCCCGAGATCTCGACGGGCGACATCAAGCTCGGCCTGCCCGGCGTCCACCAGCGTTCGAATGCGTCCCTGGCGGTGGTCATCCTGGAGCGCTTCCTCGAGAGCGAGGCAGCCAGAGCCGTCTTTTCCGCGCCTTCGTCTTCGTCGGAGCCCAGCCAGTCGCTGGCAGAGTGGCAGAGGCGAGGCATCGAGCAGGCGAGGTGGCCCGGACGGTGCCAGACGGTGCCTTCCAAGCAGGACCCGCAAGTCACGTGGTTCCTCGACGGTGCGCACACGACAGACAGCCTGTCAGTCTGCCTCAACTGGTTTGTGGACTCGCAGCTGTCGTCACCGGCCAAGCAGAAGCAGAGGACATTCATCTTCAACTGCACCAACGGTCGATCGGCGCCAGAGCTTCTGACCGCCGTCCTTTCGCGCATCGAGTCGGACCTGGAGGCGCAAGGGGTGTCGCCGAGCTCTGGCGACGAGGGCGGCGCCTACCCACGGGCGCGGGGCTTCTTTGACCGCGTCATCTTTTGCACCAACATCACGTTCTCTAGCGGAGGATGGGCGAGCGACTTGGCGTCCAAGGCGATTGATCCCAACGACCTTTCGGCGCTGGTGGTGCAGCGCGACCTCGAGTCGGCGTGGAAGTCGCTGCTGGGCTCTGGATCGCCGGGGCCCGAGGTGCTGATCAAGGCGTCGATCCAGGATGCCATCGGTCATGTGCGAGAGGTGGCGAGAAAGGCTGGCGACGGCGTGACACAGGATGTGCTCGTGACGGGCAGCCTGCACCTCGTCGGCGGTGTCATGGCCCATCTCAAGGAGGAAGGCAGCCTGGACGACGCGCTCGTCTCGACCGTGTCTCCTTGAGCGACTCTAGGGCTCGACGTGGTTGCCTGCAGTAATGGAAACTAGAGACAGCTCGCCCTCGCCAGCCCGGAATGGCCAGTCGTGGGTCAGGACGTTATGCGTTTGTCCCAACTCCAGAGACGAGCGGCGTGCGGGACCGATAAGAGACAGATGGCAAGCAACCTGGGCGAGAGGCGAGGACCAGCGAGGCGCCGTCGAGTCAGAACGCACGCGTACATACGGAGCCGGTGACGGTCTGAAACGGAATCAGATAACGCACGGGTCCCGGCCAGCGCGCGGCTGCCTACGAGCGCGAGTGCAGAGCTGGCCGGGCCATGGCGCCACCTCTCTGCAACGCAACCTCCACACGCTGGCTGGGCCACGCAAGGCAAGGCGAGGCAAGGCAAGGCAGGCGTGCAGGCAGGCAGGCAGGTCAGCGTCGGGCGCTGGCCGGCCAGCGCTCGGCGACTCACAGCCGCGCCACCCGTCATCCGGGCGGTGCCGGCCCAAACCCACCTCCCGCTTATCTGAGAGGAGGCTCCCACCACCGGACAAACCCCCCTGTCCTGAGTGCGCGGCTCTTTCACATTTCACCACCATCCAAACACATCCACAGAGACAATCACACAAGCTACCGCTGCTACACTCTACCTTCAGCCGGACCTATACATCGTCGTCACCTCTCCTCGAATCGCAAAGGCAGCTCGAACCCTTGACGCCCGCCACAGCCGTCAGCCATGCACGCCTCTGCCAGAGCTTCCACGTCCGCCTCGAGGCTGGGCCGCGCTGCCGTCTCAAAGGCGCGACCTCATCCGCCCTTCTATGCCGTACCGTTTGCGGGCAACCTCGCTGCGCAACAGAAGCGAAGCTACGCCGTGCCCGTCAACCCGGGCAGCTCGGTCGACGCCATGCTCGGCACCTCGGTCCCACCGCCACCTCGCGAGGGCGCAGAGATCCAGACCTCCAAGTACTACCGCCCGAACAACCCAAACGACCTCTCCGACCTACTCAACCCTTCCAAGTCGAACCCCTTCGGGGCCAAGAACGATCGCGGCTCTGGTGGCCCCAAGCGCGACGGCGGCGCACGGTATGCAGAGATCCAACGCATCAAGGGCACCGCCATCGGGGCTGAGCGCAAGGGCACGCCGATACCTTCGCGCGACGAGATGCTCGACGAGATGTTCAAGCGTCCCTTCCGGGAGCTCGAAGAGTCAAAGGACATCGTCGACCGAGAGCATCCGCATCCCATCGACGCCATGAAGGGGAGAAACGAGCTCGACGAGCGCGTGCTGGCCGCCGCCAGAGCACTCCACGCCGCCGGCACTCTGTCAAAGACGCCGAGCGCTGCCACCGACAAGGAATCGGCACCGGCTTCCAAACTCAAAGCAGCGTCCATCTCGGAACTGCTCGACCTCTTCGAGGAGCGGGCGGGCGCGCAGCTCTCCATCGAGCTCCCCTACGAGTCTACACCATCCGACTCGCGCAAGGTCAAGCTCACATCAGCGTCGAGCTCCGAGGAGGAGCTGCAGCATGCGCAAGACGACGGTGTCCTCCTGCTTGCCTACATCACGAACCTCCATGGAGGCAGGGGCAAGGAACGCATCAGCGTCTGCTCTGGGTTCGCAATCGACGGCGGTGACCGAATGGCCGACAACGAGGGCGATGGCAAGGGACACCTCGTCGTCTCCTGCGCGCACACGGTAAGTCTCGACAATGCTGCCTCTTGAAGCCTTTTCATCGCTTTCCACGGCCACAGTGCCCTGACCACACCCTCGTCTTGCTCCTTTGACTGATTACAGCTGCGTGCGGCCGGATTGAGTGCGCCCAAGTCCAAGTCGGGCAAGGCGGCCTCTGCCAGCGATGACGCCAGCATCGCGTTCGCCATCACGAGGACGGGCGCCATCTACCCGATCCGCACCCTCATCAGCAGTCTGGGCGCCTCGGACATCGTCCTTCTTCAGCTCGGCGAGGAGCCGCTGACGCTGCACGAAGGCGCCCGACCCAGCATCCGAACGCTGCCGATCTCGCCCTACCCTGCCACGGTCAACACGGAGCTATCAGTCTCGTCGTTCTGGGGGTGGGAGGACGACTCTGGCGCTGTACTGCCAGCCTACAGCTACGATGAGCAGCAGCAGAAGCTTAGGGCTTCACGCTCGCCGCCACCGCCCGCTGGACGCGAGCCTGAGCAGGTCAAGCTCGAGAGGGATGACGCCGGCCGATCGCGCTGGGGCCGGGCTCGACTGGTCGAGTACAAGGACCCTTGCGGTGGTCAAGCTCTCGTGAGTCTCGCGCGCCTCGTCGGGCTCGTCCTACAGCTCCCGAACTTGCACGCTGACCCAGCACCGCTTCCTCTTTCTGCACTGCCCGTCGCTCCCTAGGTGGGGACGTACGACGAGCTGGCGCAGCTCGACTACAAGCTGCTGATCTCCTCGCCAGCCAACCCGCCCGCTCTGCAGGGCAACACGGCGATGCAGATGTCGTCGAGCGTCAGCGCGTCGTCGCAGCCTACGGTGGTGGCCACATCGGCGACGTCGTCGGGACAGGCAATGCCGCGTCGTCAACCGCTGCCCAACTTTCCGCCCCCCGGGTCGTCGGGTGGTCCCGTGGTCGACGTCGAGTCCGGCAGCGTCGTGGGCGTGGTGCGTGGCCACAAGATGAGCCCGCTCGAGGGTCGGCGGGGCGACGCGATCCCTGCTGAGAAGATCTTTGAATGTGAGTAGTCGCCTGGTCGGCAACTCGATTCCACAGGGTGGCAGCCGAGCTGACGCCGCGTTGATCGCCTTGCCCTGTTCGCATCGCAGTCTTTGCGCTGCCCGGCCTTGGCAAGAAGAACTAGCCGCTCGTATCTCATGCTGCCTGTACATTCTGTGCGGACAAGAATGCCATCCCTCTCACCATACCTCGATGTCGATTGGGTGTGACCGGCTGGTCGCAGAGCTCCTCGTCTCTTAGCATGCAAGCTGGCGGCGGGGATTTCTGGCCTCGCATCAATGAGGCGAGCGCATGTGTCCAGACGATTCAGGCTGCTGCACCCTTGAACCCTCCTGCCTGACTGATTGAGTGAACGCCGGTGGTCAAGGCGATCGGGCTGAGTCCGCTGCCAAGTGGCGAGCAGGATCTTCCCCGTTCTCGAGATTATAGGTTAGACGGGCGCAAAGATGGCATTGGGCTCCTCGGCGAGGCCAGCGGAGATTTTCGAAATAGACGCGCTTGCGTGGAAGAAAGGGCCTGGCGGGTCGAGCGACGGCAAGGGAGAGCAAGCTGGGGCCGGGAGAAGAGGCAGGGCGGCGGCAGCGGCGGGGCTCCTCGCTCGCCCGTCCGCCGACGCCAGAAAACGTCGACGCACGCACGCACGCACGCACGCACCCGCCTGCCTGCCTGCCCACGCCCGCTCGATTTTCGCCGACGGAAGGCGGGCGGGTGCCAAGCAGACAGCTCCACCGCCCGCCGGCTTCTCGCCTTTCAACCACCACCACCACCACCGTCACTGCTCTCACCTTCGTCTGCCCGTCTCAAACAACACCACACACACAGCTGCAACGACACCCTGCGGATCTTTCCCCCTTTGAGCCTCTGGTAGGCACCTCCCGATCGCATCTTCCTCGGCCCAGTCCGCATTGACGGGACAACCCGAGACCGCCTTAACTCTGCTCTGGACTGGCCATCGGCTTCTTGCCGCTCCCTTCGACCACGACCAAACTAGCTCCGTTAGCAGCAGCACTCCTGACCGCACGGGCACCGTCCGTCTGAAGGACTCCGACTCTTCTCCTTTGGCCCAGCACGCCTAGAAACGGCCCAGCTAGCACTGCCTCGTCCCCTCCTGCAGGCTCAGACCCAGACCGACTCAGAGCCTCGTCGCATCACTTCGGCCTCAGCATCGTCGCTTCTCCCACGGCTGCCTGCTCTGCTCCTGCTTGAAGCATCGCACGCGCGCTCCTCATCGCCCACTGAAAACGGACGGCTCTGCACCTAGCCGCATTGCCGAAGCGCCTCACCGGCCACCGACCACCACGCACAAATGCTTCCAAGACCATCTGGCTCGCTGCTCTCCGCCTCCCGCAAGACGGGCATCTCGCTCGCGCTGAGCGGCAACTCGGGGCAGCCGGGCAGCATCTCGCTGCATGACCGGCTCTCGTCGCGCTCGCGGGTGACGAATCTAGGCATCGTGCTGCTGCTTGGGTTCGCCTCGCTCTCGGCGCTCCTCAACCTGCGATACATGATCTTTGGTGCACATGGCTCAGGTCAGGCACCACCTCCGCCCGGGTTCGCCAGCTGGGCCACCTTCCATGGCTACACACCCGACAGCCTCAAGGAGGTCGTCCCAGCACCGCGCAACGGCACCTCGAACCTCAACCACCTCGTCCTCGTGCCCGGTCACGCTGTGTGGGCGGGCTGCGACGTCCGGCAACGGGACAATGACGAAAACTGGATCCTCGAAGACTATCAGCGCGGAGGGAGCGTCAAGACGTTCTTCAAGCACATCGAAAAGGGCGTCCAGATCGCCAACAGCGACCCGCAGGCACTCGTCGTCTTCAGCGGCGGCCAGACCAGGCCCTCGTCGCTGCAGACCGAGGCCGAGTCCTACTTCTCCCTCGCAGTGGCCGCAGACCTCGAGCTGCCCGTCATCGCCGGCAGCCTCTTGGAGTCGGACCTCAACGGCGGCAAGTCTTCGCCCGCATCCTCGTCCACGTCCAACAGCGGCGTCCAGGGCAGCAAGACGACGGTCGGCAGCCTGGCGCACGCCAACGCCGCGGTGGCCACCCGCCACGGGCTGCAGGATGTGCGCATGACGACGGAGAACTTTGCGCTCGACAGCTTCGAGAACCTGCTCTTCTCCATTGCCCGCTTCCGCGAGTACACGGGCTTCTACCCGGAGCGCATCACCGTGGTCGGGTACGGGTTCAAGAAGGATCGCTTCGAGCAGCTGCACGCCAAGGCGGTGCGGTGGCCCACCAAGGCGTACGTCGGCGGAGGCGGAGGGCCCACGTTCCAGTACGTCGGCATCGACGACGAGGGCGACGACATTGAGCTGCAGTACAAGGGCGAGGTGAGTCATTGGCGCGGGGCCCCAGACGGCGCGTGCGGCAAACTTGCTGAGCTTGATCGTCTCCCCGCATTCTCACTCGGCCCGTTGCACGACTCAACGCCGCCGCAACCAGAAAGTCAAGGCGTTCTCACTCTTCGACAAGGACATGTATGGGTGCCACAATGCGCTCAAGGTAGGTTGCCCCGTTCTCGCTTCTCTCCACTCCTGCATCGCCGAGCTCGAATCTGACGCACGTCGACCTGGTCGCGAACCCCACACAGGCCAAGCGGATCCAGCGCAACCCGACACGTCGTTTCCACCCCTACTTCTCCTCGGCGCCCGAGATTGCAGACCTGCTCAACTGGTGCCCCGCCGACATGTCCGGCCTGCAGGGCATCTACCCGCACAACCTGCCGTGGGACCTCCGCGTCACCGGTTCCGGCTGGGGCAGGGGCGCGCTCGCCGTCAAGGCTAGCGGCAAGAAGGGCTTCCTTCCCGACAGCAGGTGGCTGCAGATCGGCAGGGAGGGCCACTGAGCCCCCTCGGCGGGTCCACAACTGGCTGTGGATATGGACGTGGGCACAGAACCGCTGTGCTGTGCAGGCGAGGGTGTGGTGCTAGGGCGAGGTGTCTGCTTTGGGTCTTGGGGTCGTTTCTGTTGGCCCCGCTTGCTCCCCTTGAATCGATCGGTCAAGTCTCTCTTCGCGAATGCGATGGAGTCCACAGGACGCGTGCCACCGTCATCGTCGGACTCAGCGTGAGCCTCAAGGCAGGGCAATGGGAGAAAGGATGTGGTATTTGCGCGCGCGGCGGAAGCTCTATGATGAAAAGGACGACGGTGGTGATGGTGGTGGTGGTATGGCTGCTGCGGATATCAGGGGTGGACACTCGTCGGTCCACCTACTTGATGACGAGGACGGGGGCGGTGCTGTGCGAGACGAGGTAGGACGAGACGGTTCCGCTGGTAAGGCCCTTCTTCCAGTTGCGGTTGCGCTTGCCGCTGCATTCGTGGTCATCAGGCAGGAGGAGAGAGGTCGAGTCAGCCGACAAGCTTCGTTTGAGGTCTTACGGCGCAAGTCATGGGCCGGCGTGGAGCCGGGCGAGGTCAGGGTCAGGGGGAAGGGCACTCACACGACGAGGAGGTCGACGGAGTGGAAGGTGGCGACGCGGAGGAGCGAGGCGCGGGCGTCGCCGTGGAGGACGTGGATGGTGACGCTGTAGCCCTTGGACTTGAGCTGCGACTTGTACGGCTCGAGCTTGTCGATGGCCTGCAGCCGGATCTGCTTGAGCAGCTCGTTCTGCTTCTTGGTGTCGATCGTCAGCGGGCCGGCGACCCAGGGCGTCGAGACGACGTTGGCGGGCAGGACGGTGCAGACTGTGGAGTCGGCCACGGATCAAGGCAAGCAAGGCAAGGACCGAATGGGCCAGGGTCGATGTCAGCAGCCGCCGTGCTTTTCGGATCCCAGCCACCTCGCCACGACTCCGACTCACGGAAGATGTGGCTGTTCTTGGACATGACCTTGTTCTCCATGACAAACTTGAACGCGCGGTCTCCGGCATCGGTGCCGTCGAGTGCGAGGAGGACTTTGGCGGTGTCGTCGTCGAGCTTCTCGCCGTGGAGGCCGACAATGTGCTGCTCGCGCGCCTCCGAGGGGATGTTGACCTTGTCCATGGGGTTGTGCGACTCGAGGATGGGCGTCTGGGCGATCTGGGTAATGTGGCCCCCGGGCGTCTGGGCGCCGCTGCCGCTGGGGGGCGTCACATCGCCCGCGTTGGCCTTCTTGAGGTTGAGGCCGGGCAGGCTGAACAGGCCGCGGCGCGGGCTCGAGGGGACGCTGTTGCTCGGCGAGCTGACGGGGGACGTCATGGTGGCGGGTGCTGCGAGGGAGGGGGGTGGTGGAGATGGTATAGCTTCGCTTGCGCGGAGGGGTATAGGAGATTCGATGATGAGGGTTGGGGTGATGTTAGAGATGGATGTGGCAAAGAGAGGTCCGCTTGATAAAGCCTATTCCAGGTCAACACCGAACGGTGGCACAGACCGCCGCGAGGAAAGCAAAGTTTTGGCCGCAGAGGGCATCACCCTGTACCCAGCTCGACCGGGTGGCAGGGGCCAGCCAGCCAGCCGCAGACGATCTTCAAGCCGAACAAGACAAAGCGTCTGCCCAGCTGGCTCATGCGTCGCTCGCCCAGGTCGGGATGGTCCGGCCTCGCCCGCCTGCGCCCGCGCCCGCACCTTGAGCCAAAGCCGAGCAGAGTTTGCCGGCCATACGAGGGCGGGGCCACCGAAACTACTACTAATTGGCCGTTGGGACGTGGAGTATGCTCAGGCAGCACGACGGAGAAGCAGGCGGACCAGGGCTTTCATGGTTCGATAGCGGCCTGGCAAGAGGAGGGCAAGGCACGCCAGGCGGTCCATACGTGCGTGCGTGGCGTCGGAAGATCGCCCGAAAGTCGACCCTCGGCGACTTTAGCCTGCTCGTCACGCCGAGATCGGCCGGAGAATTAAAATTCGCCGCGACCCGCGCACTCGAACTACGGCCAGCAAGCGGGTAGGCAGGCCGGCCAAGGCAAGGCAGGCGAGGCCAGGTACTGTACCGCCCTCGATGACGATCCGGCGAGCAAGATCGAGATGGTGATCCCGATCTTTGTCCACGCCAGGGTGAGTGCTCGATGTTGAAGATGGTCTGAGCATTCGTGTGGCTGAGCCTGGTAGGTACTACAGTAGGCCAGCTCGCCTCAGGGGCTTGCCGTCGACACTCTCGTCGGACGTTTCCCGAGCCGGCTGGACCCGAACCCGCAAACCTACTCGGCTGAGCCGTGATCGTCGTCGGTCAAGCCACAGTGCAAGCTCTCTTTGCCAGAGGTTCGGGGCTGATAGCCGCAGCACACCTGGTCGCTGCGCTGAAGATAGGTAGCTGTAGCACCAACGCGACGACCGGCAGTGGTCAAGTGTCGATCGATCGGGGCTCGACATGGATCGGGCAGGTGTTCGTCGGCATCCGCCGTCCGCCGATTGCCCGCGCATTCCACCGCAATCTCCATGATCCGGACGACTTGCCACCGTCTTGAACGGTGTGCCAGAAGCCTCGAGCATCCGACCAATCATGTCATGCCTGGCCTGGCCAGTCACGCCATGCAGCTTCCTGCTGCCGCGTCGTGACTTGCAGCCTGCTTGCTTTCGCGACGCGCGACCTTGCTTGTCTCAGTTGCCGCAGCACGCTTGGCTCGCCCTCCCGACTCGACCGTTTTGCCTCGACCAACGAGTCATCGCATCGAGCGATGAGCTGAGCTGGACATTCACTTTTCTTTTCGCGCTGCGCAGCAGGCTTCACATGACAAGATTGCTCCCCGAACCTGCACGATCTGGCGGCCGGTCCTCGCAACAATAACGCGGATGGTGGGTGGAAAGTCTGTGCGGCTGCGGCAGGCATGCAAGTAGAGTGATGGGTGCTGCTGTGGGAACCAAGCAGAGACGACCGGTTCGAGCTCAGTCCGACACCCTTGGGCGTATGGCACGCGCTCTCGTCGGACTTTGACCGCCATTCGCGGCGCGGCGCCCACGCGCTGGGCGTCCACATCTCACGCCGCCAGTTCCGTCAAAGGGAACACACGCGGTCGCGAGGGCGGCCCGGCTGCCATCCACACCGGCGATGACGGACCAGCAGGCCAAGCACCATACCATGTCAGCCATATGTACATAGCCTCTGGTGTCAAGATCGGACACCCTCCTGCGCATAGCCGCGACGGCACGTCGAGTTCATCTAGCGGCCGCTTCACAGTCTAAAACCCGATCAGAAGGCAACGAAGGCCGGATCGCAGAACTGCCAAAACGGTCTGCAGCTACGATGATCCATTTCTTCCTACAGTGCACTGTAGCTGTATCGAGCCAGTCTCCGCGCCTCTCTACGCGTGGCTGCTCGCACACGGTTGCGCTTCCATGTGTGATACGTTCGCCAGCAAGCGCAGTCACGGCAACCGTATGTGTACATATCGTCTCGAGAGGTTGGCCGTACGTTATGCAAGCAGGCAGGCGATGCGACCGGCTTCCACACGGTCAAACCTGGGCCCCTCTTGCGCGCCCTCGCTTGCTCGACGAGGTGGGCGCCTCTTTCCGAATGCAGCAGCGTCGCGCCCAGCCAGCCTGCCAGCCTTTGCTTCTGCAAGGGGAGCATTGAACAAACATCGGAATAGAAGTTCTCTTTGCCGCCGCCGCCACCTCGTCAAGTCCCTTTCCACGGCGCTCGCTGTCCCAGAGGAGCCTCGAAGACCGTACCTTTTCTTTGGAGATATGGCGAGTGATCAGGGCTGGTTCCGTATGGGGCAGGACGCCCTGCAGGCTGCCCTTCTCTGCAAAATTGTGTGTTTGCGGCCCGCCTGGTGGGCTTGTGCCGTGTCCCCGCGAGATGCGGTGCCTACCCGTCGATTTGCGGCCGCTCGCCTATGACTTGACCTGCAGGTGCCAGCGGCTGCTGTGAGAGGGAGCGAGGTGGGTCGAGCGGGTCTGGCCTCGCCTGCCTATCGGCTGCTCTATCAAGGTGGATGATGGATGCAGGTTGCTGCGACCAGGAAGCGGGTTCCGACCGCGGCCGTTGTACGACCAGGCCTTCGCCGCGTCGTCGCCTGTGAGCCGCGACGCTGCGCGTTCCTGAAGGCAAAGGCTCCCACGAAACCCCATCTATCGACCAGGCAGGGTAACGATTGATGCGAAGGCCTGTCGTGGATGTACGGGCCTGCAGGTGCGAGCAGCGATCTACTGCGCACTCAAGACATACGGCAGGGTATGTTGCTACACCTGGTAGGTGCTCCGCAGCCGCAACGGGCTGCTACCCCAGCGCAGGTATGCCGCTTTTTGCGGTCTCTCGTTGGTCTTCGTCTTCGATCCGGGATGGCCGTCGTCTTCTCTCACATGTACGACAGTTGTCCGCGACGCTTGCAATCCATCCGCCCCTCCTTCCATCCATCCATCCGTACCATCTCTCGACTCTTCATCCATCCATCTCCAAGCTCTCTCACCCGTGGCCTTCCCCATCCCCTCCCTTTTCGTTCGAGAGCCACGTCCTCCCCTCCTCGTCGAGCCATCCACGCTCCACACTCCACACGGCAGACCTCTGCCGCCATCGCCAACCCCACCTTGCAACGGCTGCGCCAAAGACGCACGAGCTGGACTTGTTGCGCCCGACGGCTGCCCCTTCAGCAAGAGCCTTGCTTGCCACTTCATCGCTGGCCCTCGCTGCCAACGGAGACGACCCCAACCTCCGAAAGTGCTCGCTCCCGCACCTGGATGTCTCACTGCTCACTTTGACCACGCTCCGGCTTTTTTCGCGCTCGCTGCGAAGGCGCTACGGCACTACGTCCACATCGGCTCGGCCCATCCGTCCCAGGTGAGACATCAGGGGCTCAACTCTGGAATTTGCCCATCGTCACGTCTCGAGTCCTTCCGGGCTGCCAAGAGGACACCTCCCGCCACGCAGTCCGCCATCGCAGGGGTGCCCCTCGCCTCGACTTCATCCTGCCGCGGCCGACGATATCATCCTCTCGAAGGAGGATAGGATCTGCGGACCCCAACCGTTCGACATTGAGCACCAAAGCATCGCGATCCACTACCATTCTAGCCTCGGCGTCGTCGCTTCTTGATCCCACTGTCGGCATTTGACACCATCGACATCAGCTGCCATCATCCTTCGATTCTTCGCTGCGGAGCGACCGGGGCACCGCTGCCATGGGCCAATCTCAGTCGGCCTCGTACCATCCCTCAGCCGTGGGCTCTCACAACTTCGAGGCGGTGCTGCCTTCGGATCACGACCCGAAGCACCAATCTTCCTCGCAGAGGCTAAACGTGCCTCGGTCACTCGCCGAGAGCGGCATACCGAGGCACAACTACAGATCCTCCTCGCCCAGCAGCAACTATCAACCCCTCATCCCTCGGGAACTTCGCCGCAGCGGAGCAGGTCCGATCCGACACCGGCCAACGCCGCCCGAATACGCAGCGGCTGGAGAGCTCTCCGACCAGGGTGGCCGGGCATGGCCGGCCTCTCCGACAGAGGACGATTATGCCGCGGCGCAGAAACGGCGCTCCGTCCGTCGCATCAGCGCGACGCCCCGGGACCCTCCGCTCCTCGAGGAATCCGAATCGGTGCGCGACCACGAAAGCGTCATCAGCGCCGCCGCCGAGCCGATCGAGTCCGACCATGGTCACGCCCCGACCCCCATCTCTCCTAGCCTCGCTCTGGCTCTCAAGGCCGGTCTTGGCTCGGGCTCGCTGAGGCTCACTACCGAGGGTCAACTGGCCGTACAGACCGATGCGGACACGTCGGGCGAAGACGTGGGCCTCGGCATTGGCGAAATCAGCTACCAGGACGACACTCTTCGAGAGCCGGTGTTGGCGGCCACAATCCAGGACGCCGGCACCTCGGCGGAAAAGGGGCGCGCTCACCTGCTGTCGTTCTGGGAGAGACGGCCATCGACCGAGACAGCGCCAGCAGACGAGGAGCCTGTCGAGGATATGGAGACGCTGGATCGCGACGTCGATGCCACGCCGCGCGGACTCGATGCGGAAGCGCGCTGGCAGTCGGACTGGGAAGACCGGCGCCAATATTCCAGCAACGCGTCCTCGGATCCCTCGCCAGAGAAGCGCCGGGACGCCGCGCCTGGGCTGACCCAGCCTGCCAGCCGATTCTCACTCTCGAGCTATGAGCTGTCGCATCAACAGGATCTACAGTCGGGCGAGTCTGACCGGGACGCTTTTGGCCCACGAAGCCGCTTCAGCTACACCACCACCGATAGCAGCGGATCCTACGGGCAAAAGGACCAAGCGCGAAACAGCATCGAGACCAATCCTGATCTCCGGCCAATCCGCTCGTCTGACGAACGAGCGCAAAGATCTCAAGCCGAGCCGGGCAGCTCTTCGGGTGCCAACAGGACCCATCTGACTGCCCACCATCCAACCCGCGAGCAGTCGCAAAGCACGATGTACTCGGCCGCAGCACCATCGTCCGACTTCGAGCCGCCGAGATCGTCGCAGGGTGGCGATGCAGACGAACGCACGGCCGTCTCGCCCGATCCCTACGAGTACGCAGCCCTTGTCACGGCGTCGACGCGAGCCGCGGAACCCGAATCTGGCGTGACGGCAACGTCCGATGACGATTCCCGCTCAGATCCTCGCAGCTTCGCGCCGCCATCTACGGGCGATGCGAATGGATCGGACCATGCACAGCCGGCTGCGGGTTCGGTCGGCCGACGACCCAGGGCATTTAGCTTGATGGACTTGCTCCGGGGCCGGGGGCGAAGACCATCGGACGCCTCTCAGCCTTCAATGTCCCTCGAGTCGAGCAGTCCGCTCGTCTTGGCAGAGAATGCGTCGACCGATGCCGATAGGAACGCATCTCGACCGCGACAGCTTGGTCCGAGCTCACCAAGCGTCCTGCGAGACTTGGCGACAGACCTCACGCCAAAGTTGGGCACAATGCAGATGCCTCGAGACCCCGATCGCGCCTCCCTCGCCACTGCAAAGCCGTCTCTCCACGGTCGACAACGCTCGGCAGGCGGCGCTTCGGATCACGGCGAGAGACGCGCGCCGGGATCGAGGACCGGGAGCGTGTACAGCGCAAGTACATTGAGGAGCCGACGAAGCTCGACGATGAGCCTCAGGGCCAAGAACTCTCAGCAGGCCCAAGGCAAGAAGCGGTTGGCGGGAGCGGCCATGCTGCCCTGGTGGAAGCAGAGCAGCCTCAAGCGCAAGGTCTCTGCTAGCCCGCCAGAGGACAGCCGAGGCAAGTCCCTACGCATCGCGGCCAGGAAGCAGCCGGCCGCCAAGGTCAGCGCAGACGAAGACCACTGGGTGGACGTGGACGAGGCCGAGGCGCGAGCCGCCGCCGTCGTCGTCAATCATGGCGGTGTCGAAGGTCTTCAAAATACGCAGGCCACCGCAAGCAGAGCTGCCAGGCAAGCATCCAGCGCATGGCCGTGGGCGCGCAGGTACGATCAGCAAAAGCCTCCTACAGAAGTAAGAGCTGCATCCGAGCCAGTGGAGCGGAGCGTTCCAGCCTCTCCGCACGCTGCTGCTCCGATCTCGGTCTCGGGATCCGACAGGGGCAGAGTCTCGCCTGCACTCGAGGTACCCATTGCCATCGTGTCGCGCGACCCCTCGGTCACGGGGATACCGACAGCGAACAACTCGTCCGCTTCGTCGTTCTCCTCCTTAGCCCCGCCGAAACCGCCAGCGCCTGTACCGCCGCTGCGCCGACCGCGACGTCCCTCACGCCGTCAATCCCTCCATACGGAAGACGGAGCAGCTGGATCCGAGGCGTCAACCGCCAGCGGAGTCAGCGGAGCCGCTCAGATTGGAGCCATTGCCGGTCGATCGAGGCAGGACAGTCGGACAAGTCCCAACCCCAGCGAGGCCGCTTCCACGTGCGGATTCACGGAAACTTCGGGCGCCGACACGTACAACGCTCGCCAGTCCACTCCCGGTACCAGCCTGGCGGATGCCGTCAGTCACAAGGCGAGCCAGAGGCCGTTGCCTGAATTGACGCTCGAAAAGGGGATGGGAAGCCAGACGGTGTACATTGCCGGACCTGGCGGATTCGCTCCCGCAGTTTCGCCCTTATCGCCGGCGTTCACCGATGTCCTATCCTCGGACGGCGTCCAAAGCCGCGTCGGCTCAGACTCGGGCACAAAGGAGGTGCTGCTCTCCGACAAGGAGTCAGATGCCGATCGCGATGCCCAGTACCCGTCTCGTCTGCCAGACGCCTCAAAGACGCCAAAGACGCCCACAGTCGTCATGCAGGACGAGCAGCATCCAGACGTGCACGTGCTCGTCCCCGGCAGCGGCAGCTTTTCGCGCAACATCCAGATCAGCGGAATGCCGGCTGCTTTCGCAGCAGAACGGACGTATGAGCCCAGGGCTTTCTCGCGATCGGCATCCCTCGATGCCGCTTCGCCCCTCCCCTCGACCGGTGACTCCCGCTTCCACAACCGAAGCGGTACCGACGGCATCTCGTTCCATCCAGCGACAGGCAGCTTAGATGAGTCTTTCGGGTCTCCCAGGATGCCCTTGGGACGCCGAGGCTCAACCGACTCGAGACCGGCGCCGCGCAGGGAGCCATCCGGACCCGCCGAGTCCTTCGTCACGGCCCGCTCACGCGACACCAGCGAGGCACAGGACTTCGGCGGCATCGACTCGGCTTACCAGACACGGTACACTGTGCGGCCCGAGGAGCTCGCTGGCCTCTACTCTGGCTCTACCGAGGAACAACATCCGGCCCAGATTGGATCGCACCGATCGTCAAGATCGCGGCCTTTACCGCAAATCCCAGAGCCGCATGGCCAGGCTGAGCGACGCAACTCGGCTGGCCCTTCCGAGAGCGGTCCGCCCCTTTCGCCTTCGGCGGTGTATCCTGGCATGGGACATGGCATCAAGCTCGACGGTCGTCAGAGCTGGTCCTCCTCTGATGGTCCCTGGTCAGCCGAGGTGGTCTCGCAGAGCCAGGCGCTGGCACCGGCGCGGGGTCTTGCGGTGGCCCAGCAAGCCTCCCTGGGACGCCAGGCGGCGCATGCGTCGCATTTGGATGCGCTGTTGAGTCCTGGTAACGCTGACTCTCGAGTCGGTCGACCTTTGCCAGCTCAACTTGCTGGAGTGATGGAAGCGTCGATCGAAGACCGGTCTTCTCTCCTGGCCCGTCAATCGTCTTCGGGATCGACCTCCGGGGGCTCTGGCAAGGCGCCTTTTGCCGATACGGGCGTGCAGGCGAGCCTGGCTGCGCTGAAAGCGCTCGAGTCCCCGGGCAGCGACCCGCGAACCTTCTGGGCTCGACAGCGCATCCTCGGCGAGCGAGATACGAGCGCACAGGCCTCGACCTTCAATGGCGACCCTCCGACAAATGAAGCTTCGGACGAGCTGCTTGGCTCGCGTCAGCGCAGGAGAATGGACCCGTACTCCACGGCACGGTCTCTGCGGTCTTCGGACGGCTTTTCCTCCTCTGGCAGCCGACAGGTGAGGCGAAGGCGGAACACCGACACGTCGAGGGTGTCGAGAGGCGATCGACGCCACGTATGGGACCAGACCGGCATGGCGGAAATGTCCAGCGCGTCTTTGGCCGACACGAGCGGTGCGGCCTCGGATTCCGACGTCGCCGGGTCGCTCCTCGCGCGCAAACTGCAGGCGCAGCGCAGGAGGATGGCTTCGCAGCGCAAGGCGTCGCCCTTTCTGCGCGAACAAGGCCGAAGCCGGACCATGGCAATCGAACTGAACGGCTCGGAAGAAGTCGCCGAGCAGCAGACCGATCGCCTCGCACACGCAACATCGCCCAGGACCAACGCGCAGCATCCCTTGCGAGAGGGGCTGCCTCAGGTCGAGGTGACATCTCCTTTCGCCCAGGCTGGTCTTCGGATCCACGACGTGCAGGATCGATCGGCGAGCAACGAATGGGACGAGACCATCGTGCCGGCCGTCAGGAAGCGAATGGAGCGGGAGGCTCAGGCCGCTGCGGCCAAGTCGACTACAATGCCGTATTCAACCAGTCCGAGCACGGCGACAGCCGTGTCACCCAGCTTCAGTCCCGGGCGCCTTCGCAAGCACGAGTACCTTCCGGCGACGGGCTCGCGCGCATCGCACATCCCGTTTCCGAGCGAAGCATCGGCTCCGCAAGGCTCGTACCTCGAGGTGGACCCCTATTCGTTGGCCAAGGCGGATCGTGAGGCATACCGCCGCGCGCTAGAACGGCAACTGCAGGAGCTCGAACGGGCAGAGAGGGATAGTGCGCCGCGCTCCCGTCGCCCCACCGAGGCGCCAGCATCTCATGGCGCGGAGAAGGTGGTGCGAGCCAAGTCCCGCTCGCGCACGCACCGAAACAGCGAAGGTTCCCGCTCGCACTCCCAATCTCACTCCCACGTCCGTCGCGGCGATCCGGCCAACGCCTACGGCAAGCGAGACTCGACGCCGTCTCACCACTATCCCCGCGAAAAAGCGGCGGGCAGCGAGGCCGCTCATCACACCGCCGCTGGCGCCGCTGCGGCCGAATCTCGCAAGGCTTCGTCGACGTCACGGTCCAAGGGCAAAGGTCGACGCCCGTCCAAGCAGGGCTACACCGGCGACGACATCCGTGCATGGCTGGGCATGGACCTCGCGAACGGTCCGCCGCCCGACAGCCTCGCAGAGCCGGCGCTGCGTGGCGTCGTGGCTTGATCCTGTCGCAGACGCGAGCCGCCCCTCTTTCGGCTGGACCGGGAGGGCGCACCGGCCGCCTGCGTACCTATCCCGGAATGTTCTCGGTTTGCACAGTCGTAGGGGGCTCGAAATGTACACATATACGGATTCGATCTGCTCTCTAATCGCACGCCATCGCCACCTGCGGCCAGACGGCCCATTCATCTGCTAGCCTTGCAGGGCTGCCCCGCTCCGCCGTGCGAAGCGCTTGATTTCAGCACGAAGTCCAGGTCGAAGCGTCGAGTGGCCCAACACGCTCTGTTTGTTGACGATCAAGCCGGCCAAGCAACGGATGTGACAGCGCACGAGCGATCCAAGTCGGTCGACACCAGCGATATGGTGCCGAATTTTGCAGAAAAATTCTGTTCCGATTATGCGGGACGGGGCCAACGATGCCCTTCGCACTCGGTCCACCCCAACCGGGCAACTCGAGCCGCAATCTTCTCACAAGGCTACATACGCAGCTACATCGTCGATATGGGCTGGATACAGACGACATCAGGTCTGCTTGTAGGTGGGTCGGACCGAGCATCTGCAGTCGCGGGACAAAGGTGGGTCGCTGTAAGTACGTACGCACCGACCCCCACGTCCCTAACTAGGTTTCTTAAGCACGGTGCTTTGGCTTACAGTAGCGGGAGGCCCGCTCGCGAAGGACTTATGTATGTGACTTGTGCAGCCAGAGCTTGTGTGACACGACACACCCACATGATGCGCAGCATGCAGGGTCGGACACGCTAACTCACGCACAGTGGTGGGTCCGTGCCGTCTGTCGATTGTCTGCGGGCCTGGGGGCCGAGTCGCCATTCGTCCTCATTTTGTCCATAGAAAAGGCCCAACTACAGACTACTGCACCAGTAGGGGGTCTGGGCGCTAATCGACAGTTAGGACTATGCACAAAGCAAAGCTCCCTCTCTGCTCCGAAGACAGCGCCGCAACGTTGCCTTCCCAACGAAGGGATACTTTCCTGCACGCGTTAAGGCCGCCCTCTTGCCTTCCTTGCTCGCGTCTAGATAGCGGCCGTGTGTGTGCTCTCGAAGGCCCGAGCTCAGATCGGAGAAGAATGGCAGGCAGCAATCGCCGAATGTGGCGCTTCGAGGTGGGTGCGGCGGGACAACCTTCTAGCCTCGTTGGGCGCGTGCAGGGGAACATTCATGAACCACGCTCCTGATAGCTTGTCACACGGGAGAGCCTCGAGTGTTGGTCGTAGACGCCGTACCGACGAGTTTGCGCACGCGAAGTCCCCCTTGGGTACCGGAGCAGGTACAGGGACGGTGCTGCTCAATCATAGGCGAACCAGGCCTGTCCTTGGATCACATCTGGTTCTGCGGCTGGAGCTGCGAGCTCCAGAGGATATAAGAAACGGAGAGGTCGCCGCCATCTCCATCTCTCGCTCCTCAACCTCAATCCTCACTTGCTCTCCTCTCCCAAGCTTTTTTCCCTACCTTCATCCTCATAATTCAGACCTTCCTCAACCTCACTCGGACTATCCCTCTACCCTCTCAACGTTGCCCCCGACCCACATTCTTTGACACGCTCCTTCCCCAATCTGCACGATGAAGTCCTCTCTCCTCACCCTCGCCCTTTCTTCGGCTCCTCTGGCCGCCTTCGCTCTCCCCGCCCTCGACGGCGTGACTGGCGGCTTGCCTGTCAACATCAACGGCTTGACTGATGGTCTTCCCGTCAACGACCTAACCGGAGGCCTGCCCTTGGGCGATGCCACCAACAGCCTCAAGCTCGACTCCGTCACCGGCAGTGTTGAGCAGGGCCTCGGCCGCCGCGACCTGCCCGTCAACTCGGTGCTCGACAGCGTCCCTGCGCTCAAGGGCGTTTCGACTGGCGGGCTGCTCGCCCGCCACGTCGAGATCGCGGCCAAGCAGAAGGCCGCCAACGTCAACCTCCAGGCGCGCCACTCGCAGGCCACGCTCGCCAGCAGCTGCCACACCCTCGCTGCTACGCTCTCGTCGCAGGTCGAATCGCTCAAGGCCGCCCAGAAGTCGGGATCGATCGAGAAGGTGACGTCCACCGTGACCGAGATCAAGAAGACCGTCACCGTGACCACCGAGCAGGTCAAGACGATCAAGGTCGAGAAGACAACGAGCTCGGTCGTGTCCCACGACGAGGTGGCAAACGTCACCAAGGTCTCGGACAGCCTCAAGGGTCTCAAGGTCGAGGAGGTCAGGACCATCCTCGGCAACACCAAGGTCGTCGACGCTTTCAGGACCGTCAAGGGTGCCCAAACCATCGTCTCGGCCGTGCTCAAGCTCGACGTCGCCGGTGCCGTCAAGGTCATCACCGCTTTCTCCGCCGTCCGGTCTGTTGAGAAGCTCCTTGCCGCCCTGCACGGCCTCGACCTGGCCGCCGTCGTCGCCACTGCCGGCAAGCTGGAGCTGCTCGAGAAGGTTGAGGGTGCCACCGCGCTCGTCAAGCTCTGCCACTCCGACGTCAAGGTGCTCGAGCTCATCTCGGTCTTCAGCACGGTCAAGGGTGTCGTTGCGCTGCTCGAGGTCCTCGTCTCGGTCGTCGTCTCGGACGTCGTCGCCCTGCTCGCCGTCCTGGTCAAGGTGACCAACCTCTCGCAGCTCCTCGTCGCACTCGGCAAGATCCACGACCTCAATGCCTTCTTCGTCGCCCTCCGCCTCGTCTCGTCCGTCTACAGCAGCCAGTCCCTGCTCCAGGCCGTCGTCTCGATCCTCTTCGCCGTCGTCGGTGGTGTCGAGGAGACCATCAGCGCTGCCCTCGATGAACTGCAGGGCGTCCTCGCCACCCTTATCGAGACTGTCGAGGGCGTCGTGGCCACGGCCGTCTACGATGTCGACGAGGTCCTCGACGTCGTCGCTGACCTCCACGGCACCCTCCAGGGCCTGACCGCGGTGATTCACACTGTCGTCGGTGGCGTTGCTCCTGGCCTTCTTGGCCTCGTCGGCGGCCTTCTCGCCGTCGTTGGCAAGCTCGTCGCCGTCATCGTCTAAGCGATCCAGCTGCCTCGCTGGGCTCCCCTTCGTCGTCGCACACTGCATCCCTACCCCATCGCGTAGCCTTTCGAGATTTCCCGCTTCCCCATCCTTGCTTGGCAAGAGCTTCTGTCGAGTCACCTCCCACTCTTGCGGGTCGAGGTGCACCTTCACCCTCGTTCTGAGAGCTATACTATCCCCGGCAACCCACACCCGGCACTTCAACCATACACAGCTCCTCTCCGGGAGCCGTCGATCCGACGTGCGTGCGTTCAGGGACTATCGTGCTCATAGGTGCCGCACAAATGCGTTGTGACATTCGCCGATCGAGGCCGCTTCTGCGTCTATCTACATGCCGAGGATGACCCTGCTCGGCGGGCCCGCAAGCTTGCCAAGCTCGTCCGCGAGGTCAAGCGTGTGCTTCTGCGCCCAGTTGGACTCTTGCAGCGTGGTCTGGTCCGCCGCCTCTTCCCTGCCAAGGTCGAGGTGTGCAAACACGTCGATGACCTCGTCGACCTTTTGGCTCTGGACTTGCTGGAGCACCTCCTTCCTCGCCTCTGCCCGGATCCGATCCACCACCTCTCGGATCTTCTCGTCCTCGGGCGTCATGATGGGGTCGTGCGGACCGCGCTTCCTTTGTCGCTTGATCCGGAGCAGTTCTCGCCGCCGCGAGGCCGGGTCCGAGAGCACGCCTGTCTCTCGCGCCTGCCGTAGCAGGGTGCGACAGGACTCGAGGTCCACAAGGTGGTCCCAACGGGTACGCAGCAGGTCGGCGAAGAGGGCCGCAGTGCAACCGAGGACGTACGACTCGATGCCGAGCGACCGCGTCAGGTCGTAAACGGCAAGTGCGCTGTGCGGGGAGCGGTAGCGGTCCCTAAGCGTGAGGAATACGAGATGCAGCACTGGGGCAAAGTACGGGGTTTCCTTGCCGAACCGAGGCGGCGGTGGTGGCTTGCTGTCGGCTGTGCCCGTGCTGGATTCCGTCGCGGCCAAATCCTGCCCTGACGGTTCGCTGCTGACGAGTGAAGCGTCTTCTGCGTCCTCGATGTTGGAAGGCGAGTCCTCCGTCGTTGTGGCGTCTGTTGCAGCGCCTTCAGGCGTAGAGTCCGAAACCTCGCTCGTCGGCTGCGCTTTCGCCGAGCGGCCAACGCCCTGCTGAGTCTGCATGGAAAGCGGAAGGAGGGCGTCGAAGCTGCTCCCCAGGCCCCACACCTCCTTCTTTGCCCACTCCCACACCTCAAACTCGTTCTCGCACATCGAGAGCTCCTCTCTCGCCTCGTCGATACCGGCATCGAGCTGGGCTTGGGACACCTGGGCCGCCAGTCCTTCTCTTGCCGACTTTCGCGCCCGCGCCATCCTGCTCTCCTCGAATCTCGGTCGCAGCCGGTTGCGGCTGAGGTAGGCCTCGAGCTGGTACCTGGTCTTTTCTCGAGGCGATTCGTGGGAGATGAGGTCGGTGTAGGCGCCAAACGGCTGTGGCTTACCCTCGTTGCGGGGTCCAAAGAGGTTATCGCCCGTCGTGGTGCTGGAGTTCGACGAGATGTTGACATCGAGCGCCGAGTGCAGAAGGCTGGCGAACGCATCGGCCTCGCTGCGAGAAAGCGGTGTCCGATCGTAGGTGCCGCGGCCACGACGTGGTGGCGGCTGCCTGTGCCCTCTCGAATCGTTTTCAGGGGTGAAGAGCACCGATCGTGGCACCGTCTCCTTGCCCCGTCCGCGGCGATCCCTCCCGCGGTCCATAGAGTCGGTGAGCCAGCGCGGCTCGGTCGCGGCGCGAGGAAACGGATCGTCTCCGGAGAAGATGTCATCGAAGGGGTTCTTCTTGTTTACGATCGAGCCTCCTTCAGAGGTCGCCGACGTCTGCGATGCCTGTCCGGCAGAGCCCGAGGCAGTCTGATTAGATGAGGAGGGCTCCGATGATGGCGAGGAAGAGGACGATGATGGATCCACCGTGCGTGAGCCTTGGTCTTCCTCGGCGGCTAGGCTCGTTGTCGAGACTCCTGCGGCATCCTTTGGCGCTGAGCGGGCGGTGCGGAGATGTGGCGGTGCCAAGCTGCTTCTGGCCACGGGGCGGCGAGCGGCAGCGTGCAGAGCCTGTAGAAGCGCAGAATGTGCGAACAGCGCACTGAATATCGGCCGCATGGCCCTGGTTGATCGATGCAGCCAGCTGGTGCGGCTGGCGAGTCGGCGAGGTGATTAGTATATTGGGTGCCGGGGTGGTGGTGAGGGAGGTTTGGACAGAAGGAAGCGTCGGCCGCGAAGGAAAAATCCCGACAGAAGGAAAACTCCACTTCGCTGACCCGCCAAGTCAAAGCTCGCGGACCGACAGACCATCGGGCGCAGCGATCACGATTCGCACCGCCCGATCTACAAGAAGGGCACCCGAGTGGCCATGGTGGGACACCACACTGCAGAGAGACGATCGATTGACACAGATCTCAAGATACAGTGAGTCGAGCTGGATAACAGGGATGCGTTGCTCAGGCGGACGCGGCCGTCTTCTTTCGAAGCACGCAGACGCCCTCGACGTGACTGTGAGGAAGGCGGTGTCGAGGGACAAGGGGAGGGGCAACAACCGGGTGTCAGCTCAACTCGATCGTTCGCGACTAAACATGCGAGCCCGCCGACGCCCCGCCAACGACTGAGCCTACTCACTGCGTCTGTGGGAAGAGATCCGCCCCGCGAACGCTCAGGATTTCATACTCGGGCGCCTTGCGCAGCAGCTGCCCCACGTCTCGTGCCTGCGTGTGAACGTTGCACGAGACATAGACAATGTCCGAGGGTCCCAGCTTGACCAGCTGCTCAATGAAGGCCTCGTCGCAACCGCGTCGCGGAGGGTCGATGATGACCGTCGTCCGCTCCGGCGGGTAGTCGATGCGGCCGAAGATGTCCTCGGCGTTGCCCGCCAGGAACTTGGCGTTGGCGATGCCGTTGAGGTCGGCATTCTTCTTGGCGTACTTGATCGACTCGGAGCTTATCTCGACTCCCGAGACCTCCTTGAAGAGCGATGCGAGACAAAGACTGAAGAGGCCAGAGCCGCAGTAGGCATCGACCAGGTAGCTATGCGCCGCCACCGCCTCGGCCGGCTCGCCGTTGCGGCTGCGGCTCGCAACGATCTGCTCCCGGACGTAGTCGAGCAGCGACGGCAGGATGGAGCGGTTGTTCTGGAAGAAGGTGCCCGCGGGCGACTCAAACTTGGTCTTCCACACCCGCTCCTTGACCGTGGCCTTGTGGTTGGTGACGACCTCGGTGTCGGGCTCGATGCCCTCTCCGGCATCGAGCTGGACCAGCGTGTCCTCGGCGACTGATTCATAGGACTTCAGCGAGTCCCTCAAGAGAATCGTGGCGCCGTTCTTGTACGTGTGGATGGTATCCTTGACCCTCTGCTTTTCAACCGGCAGAGCTCGGTTGATGGTGACCGTGGCGATTGGGCACTCTTCGATGTCCATCACCCGCTTGGTGCCGATCGAGTCGAAGCCGATCGGGAAGTCAAACTTCTGGTCGGCCGCCTTGGCGTTGACGCCGTCGCCGTGCCGCCCATGCCTCCCGCGGCGCAGCTCGAAGGGGAGGTTGAAGTGCGGCGTCAGCTTGGTTCGGTAGTTGTACTGCTTGGGCGACGGCATGGTCGGCAGCACCTCGGGGACCAGGCTCGGGTCGAGCTCAGAGTAGTGCTTGAACGCCCGCTCCACCACCCCTTGCTTGATGCGCAGCTGCTCCTCGTACGTCAGCATCTGGTACTGGCAGCCTCCGCAGCTCCCAAAGTACTTGCAGCCGACCAGGTCATCCCGGCGCTTTTCCGAGTTGCCCTCGATGATCTTTACCAGCTTTGCCCGCGACCACATCCGCTCGTTGGATGTGACCTGCGCCACGACTCGCTCTCCCGGCAGCGTGTTCGGCACGGCGATGACCCAGTCTCCGTCCACGTTCTTGGCCAGACCGTCTCCGTGCGAGTTGAGCCGCTCAATGACCAGCTCGACCTCCTGGTCGCGCGGGAACTTGCTCTCAAATTCGCGGCCCTCTGACAGGATGTCGGTCACCTTCCGGCGGCCAAGGAGCTCTTCAATGTCAAACTCGATCGGCTCCCTTCCGCTCTTTGAGAGGGTCCTCTGATAGTCTTTCCGCTTGTTGCGAGCGCGCCTAGCCTCTTCCTTCCGGTGCTGCTTGTCGGCTCCGCCATCGTCCTTTGCGCGCGCGGAGCCGTTGGCATTGGTGGACGGACCAGCAGCGGCAGCGTCGCCGGCCTGAGAGACGAGACCAGCTGGCCCGGCATCTGCTTCTTCGTGGACGGGCGACTTCGACCGAGCGCGCTTTGCCGGCGGGAGCGAGGGTGAAGACGAGGCGGACATGCTGCGAACCGGCAGAAGCCCAGGTGATGGAATCTGCGGAAGGCGGGATAGGAGCTGCGGGATCGCGGACTTGGTGGATCGGACGCTAGCGCAGCAGGCCCTCAGCATCGACTGTCGGGCTAGTTCTGGGGTAGCCGCTGGTTGCTCAGGCGGGAAGTTTGTCGCAGAGAGGGAGGAGGAGGTGGTGGTGTTGGTGCAGGAGAGGCACGGGAAGAAGCAACCCTGGCCACCGATATGTGGGGCTGCAACGAGAAGGGAAAAAAAGTTCGGCCATCGGGGCTGGCCCATCCCGCCCCGATTCTTGGCTGCTTGGCTTTGGCCGTGGTGCTCCACACGCCGCCTCCGCCGCCTCCGCCTCTCTGGCAGGCCCCGGCCAAGCTCGACGAGCCAGCACCCGTCCCGCCCCATCCTTGCTCGTTCCCCACCCTCCTTCACGCGACCATCAAGCGCACGTCAGAACATCTCGGGCTCCGTCAATCGACGGGCAAGATCACCGCGTCCATCATGGCCGACGCGTCTATGCAGTCCAGCAAGCCGCAGTCGTCGCGAGGCACCAATCCCAACACCGACTACAAGGTGCACTACCTCAGGTGCAAGGACAAGTTTGACAGAGTGACGACGGTGAGTGCCTCGCGCCACGCTACCTCATGGTTTGCGCAGACGGAGGGACTGCACTGCGTGATGCCTCCGGCGATGTACTGTCGCTGACGGTCTGCACTCGATCGTGCTGCGTGCGGTCTTTCGCTGCCACGCAGGAGCAAGCCGAGTTCAAGGCCAACATCAGCCGCGCCTCGAAGAAGCAGCAGAAGCTCCGCGACGAGATCATGTGAGTGCGAAGCAGATCGATTCCTTTGCGTTGCAACATACAGCCGGTCATTCTCTGACCTGCCTGCTGCTGCTTCGAATCCCAGCTTTCTCCTCGATGCCATCGCCGCAAAGCAGGCACAGAGGGCCGCGGACGCCGCTGCGTACCACCCACCCCCTCCGCCTGCCATGCCTGCTCGGGACCCACGCCGGCTCTACGCGTCTCCGACAAAGGCAGAGCCCTACGAGACTCGCCCACAGGCCTACGGCTATGACCACGGACCCTCGGAACGTCAGGAGTACCGAGCCGGATCGGCGCAGTCACCGCCCGCGCCAGGGTTTGGCGGCACTTACAAGCGGCCGAGGCCGCCTTCGGCCGACTTCGAGCGTCCGGCACGCTATCAAGACGAGGCAGATGCGACACACGCCGAGGGCGATCCAGCAAGGCAGCGCTATGACGAGGCCGAACTCCCAGAGCCCCCGGCACTCAAGCGAGCGAGAAACCACTGACCGCCCATGCGTCCGCCGCGCCTTGTCTTGACGTCTCCGGCGTCTCGCCGACCTGTCCCTGTACTTGTACGCAATGCATCGTCCCGATCGCTTTTCGACTCGATGTGGGAGCGACTCTACCCGCACCGCGTGCTTCGGATGAAGCCGAACGGCCCGTCGGACTTGCCGAGACGGACCTTCGCCTTCGCCCGCAGAGCAGCAAAGGCGTGGGCTACCCGCGACAATGCTAGGGGTGCGGGTCGATCCGAAGAGGGGGCAGTGAGCCGCTGCAGCCGCGTCCTCTCCTCGGCCCTGCCGGTCACGCCGACGGAGTTCTGGGACTGCCACGGGGGACGACTTCAGTGAAGAGATGATCGCACTCACGTCTGCATTCGCAGTCACCGGCAGCCTCCGACATGACTGCCTCGATAGTTCCGAATCACCCCTCGGCGGGGTGCCCCAGCGATGGATGGGCTCACAAGAATAGGTCGGCTCAGAGGGCGTTTGAGGACAGTGCAGGGGGCCGGACGCTTCCCACATGGCAACCGGCTTTCTTCCGAAGGGGCGCAGTCCGCTGATGGGCAGGCTCGGCGATGCTGCTCCTCCTGCCGGTGGCGAAAAGCGGCTCTGCAACGGTTCAAGGGGCTGCCCACTGTCCACTTTGAGCTGGTATGGCCCGGCCTCTCAAGATAAAAGCCGCTCGATCCAGTCAATCCCCCTTCGGCACGTCGCCCTCTTCGCTCGCACCCGAGCTCTTGACCCTACAGCATCAGAGCGGCCTTCGATATGCTTGACCAGCCTCGAGAAGCCCGAGAGACTGTCGATGCCTCGCAGCCCAGGTCCTCTGGCAAAGCGGGTAGTGCAGCCGCTGACCTGCAGAGCCTCTGGGGTATATCGGAGCACAGCTATCTCGAGGACTGGCTCTTCGAGACTGGCGACGACGACGAAGACGACCTTGACGGAGTCACTAGCGACGCTCCTAATCGCAAGTTCTCCGCCCTTTCAAGGCGGTGCATCATCAACATCGGCACGCTCGTCCTCCTCACGGTCTCGCTGATCCTGATTTTCGTCAGTGAGTGACCACGCATCGCGCAACTCTCCTCGCCGCCCTTGCGCTCGATCTTCGGCCGCCCTCGCTATAAAACTTTCGATTCGTATTGTCGCTGTCGATCACAGGCTATCCGCTCGCAGTGGTCCGCGATATTGGCACGAGGAGCCTGATCGGCGCCAACGGGACGGGCCAGATCGCCGACATTCCCAACATCATGCGTCTCATCGACCCCAAGACGCCCATCGAGGCCCGGACGTGGACAAAGCCGCTGGCGGATCGCTCTTCCTTCCATCTGGTCTTTTCCGACGAGTTCGAAACGGAGGGGAGGACGTTCTGGCCCGGCGACGATCCCTTCTGGGAGGCCGTCGATCTCCATTACGCAGGGTGAGCCTCATTCCTGGCTCGTGCTCGTCGATTCAAGCATCCGGGACGCTCACACGTGGCACTTACCCTTGCTCTGGCGTCGCAAAGTACCGAGGACTACGAGTGGTACACGCCCGAAGCGGTCAACACGAGCAGGGGCTTCCTCAACATAGCCCTAGAGGAGCACGCGACCCGCGGCCGCAACTTTCGCTCCGGCATGCTGCAGTCGTGGAACAAATTCTGCTTCCAAGGCGGCTACATCGAAGGTAGGCCTCCGCCTCCAAGCGTCACGCTCCGCCCACCACCTAAAATTGACGAGGATCCGCAGGCTGACCATGCCCGCTCCATCCTCGTGTCCATAAAAGTGTCGGTCATCCTCCCCGGTAGCCGATTCATGAGCGGCCTGTGGCCTGCCATATGGACCATGGGCAACCTGGGAAGGCCAGGCTACCTGGGCTCAACGCACGGCATGTGGTGAGAGACAGCTCGGTCTCCCTGTATTTGCTCAGCGATTGATGGCGGCCGATGTCGCTGACGGAGTGTCGTCGACGTCCATCGCCCGGCGCCCCCAGGCCGTACTCGTACAGCAGCTGCGATGTCGGCATACTGCCTAATCAGACGTGGCTCAACAAGACAGGGCCGCCGGCCAATCTGGAACGATTGACCAAGACAGGCGTCCCCTTGAGCCATCTGGACGGAATGAGGACGCCGGCCTGCACCTGCCCCGATGAGGACCATCCCGGTCCGACCATTCATGTCGGACGCAGCGCCCCGGAGCTCGACATCGTCGAGGTGCTGAGCACTGGCGGCATCGGCACCGCATCTCAGTCTTTCCAGCTGGGCCCCTTCGATGCCGACTACAACTGGACGCAGTCGGCTCCCACCACGGTCCTCCACCAGAACTCAACCACATTCAACCCATGGCCCGGCGGTCCGTTTCAAGAGTCGATCTCTGGGCTGACTCCGGTGCCGAACGACGCCTTTGAGCACGATGGAGGGAGAGCCACCACATTCGCCATAGACTTCGAGCCCGACTGGCTCGGGGACGGGTCGGGTCACGTCACATGGTACGTCGACGGCAAGCCGACCTGGACCGTCACGGGCAAGGCGATTGGTCCTCGAGCCGACGTCGAGGTCGGCCAGCGGCTCATTCCAGTGGAGCCGCTCGCGCTGGTCATCAATCTCGGCCTGAGCCCCGGCTGGAATGCGCTGGAGTGGGACAAGCTGCGCTTTCCTGCGACGCTGAGGGTCGACTACGTGCGCGTCTACCAACGAGACGGCCGGCCGGACCGCATTACGTGCGATCCGCCCGACCACCCGACTGCGCGGTACATTCAGGACCACATGGACATCTACACCGACTCTGACCTCGCCGTGTTCCCTCGAGATGCCCATCGGTGAGCAGATCAAGCCATCAACGTTTCATTTGGCAGGGCACGATGGCTCCTGGAAGAGGACAAGGCTGAACGCGACGCCACACTCATGCTCCTCTGCGACCCCTTCTGCGCAGATGGCCGAAGAACAGGCTGACGCACAATTGCAGCACCGGTCAGCCCCTCACCTCATAGCCCGACCATCCACGACCGCTGTAATCGTAGCATGCTGGCCTGTTACGGATGTCAATCGCGGCTGGGGAGCGACGAGCACCTGCGCTGCGTGCCTGAGGAGATATCAGCCCCCTGATGGGGGCGGCTGGCCTGCCAGCGTGCGTGGCGGGCCAGGCCGAGCGGCGTGGAGGAGCCGGGACCCTGGCCATTTTTTTCTGGCTCGAAGTTTTGAGGTCAAGCCGGCTCCTTCTCACAGCTCCCTCACATCTACCCCTCCCCCCTGCATCATCCTCACCCACCTTTGACAAGGTCTCGCAGCCTTTACACAATCCGATATGGTCGACGCTGCTTCTGGACCGGCGACCGCTGAGAACCCTCGCAAGCGCTTCGGCGCAGGCAACGGGAATGGGAACGGGGCCGGTGGCAGTGCCGGCGCCAGTAGCGGCAACGTCTCGACCTCTGCCTCTTCGGTGGCAGGCCCCTCGACGCCGCGGCTAGCCAATGCGGTGCCGCAGTCAATCCTCGAGGATGTCTCGCTCAACGCCGCCATCGCCGCCATCCTTCCGGCCAACTACAGCTTCGAGATCCACAAGACGATCCACCATATCCGCAAGAACGGCTCGACCTGTGTGGCGCTCCAGATGCCCGAGGGCTTGACGCTGTGGGCGACGGGTATCGCCGACATCATCGAGAGGTTCACCGACGCCACCACCGTCATCATGGGCGATGTGACCTACGGCGCCTGCTGCGTCGACGACTACACGGCCATGGCGCTCGGCTGCGACATGCTCGTCCACTACGGCCACAGCTGCCTCATCCCCGTCGACCAGACAAAGATCAAGACGCTCTACGTCTTTGTCGAGATCTCGATTGACCCGGCGCACCTGGCCGCCACCGTCAGGGCCAACTTTCCGGACCAGAAGGCTCTGTTCAGGCAGAGGATCCTCGGCGGCAGTCAGGAGGGCGACGAGGACGGCGGCGCCAAGCCTCAGATCCAGGTCGGCCTGGAGGACGAGGATGGCAACGCGAGTGCCGGTAGCCTTACGCCCGGCACGGCGCCCACGCATCTCGTACTCGTCGGCACGGTCCAATTCATCAACGCCATCCACGGTCTACGGGAGGCTCTCGAAGCCGAGCAGCACCGACACGCGGACGGGTCCGTCAGCTCGGGACCCCTTCCAGATCGACTACGAATCACCGCCGGGCCCGACGGCTCCTCCTCTGCTCCATCTGCTGATTCGCCCGCCGCCGAATCTAGCCCACTTGGCTGGCACTCGGGCAGCTACCGCATCACGGTGCCGCAGGTAAAGCCGCTCAGTCCGGGCGAGATCCTGGGCTGCACGTCGCCCAAGCTGAGCGACACCGACGTCGATGCCATCATCTACATCGGCGACGGCCGCTTCCACCTCGAGTCGATCATGATTGGCAACCCGCGCATCCCGGCGTTCCGGTACGACCCGTACACGAAGCGTTTCGTGCGCGAGCTCTACGACCACGCCGAGATGCGCAAGATGCGCGCCGAGGCCGTCCGCACTGCCCAGGCCAGCGTCGGAGACATGGAACTGCGTCCCGAGGAGACTGTTTCTCCGCCGCCGCCGCCGCCATCGCAGGGGACCGAGCATTTGATCACGCGGCCACAACCGGTCGACGAGCCTCAGCGTGACGACAAGGCGGTCGCCCCCACCAAGGCGACGGGATGGGGCGTGGTTCTGGGTACGCTGGGGCGTCAGGGCTCGCTGCGGGTGCTCGACTCGCTCACCTCGTCGCTGTCGGCGCACAGCCCGCCCATTCCATTCGTGCCCATCCTGCTTTCGGAGCTATCTCCGCAGAAGCTCTCGCTGTTCGGCGGCCACCTCTCGGTCTACATCCAGTCGTCGTGTCCGCGTCTCTCGATAGACTGGGGATCGGCGTTCCCCAAGCCCCTCCTCTCGCCCTACGAGGCGGCCGTCAGCGTCGGCCGCGTCAAGGGGTGGCAGGAGGACGTCGACGGACTCGGACTCAGTCGCCAGCCGGCGCGCGACGGCTCGTTGAAGCTGCAGCCGCAGCAGAAGGACATGCTCCTCAACGGCGACTACCCCATGGACTTCTACGCCGACGACTCGTTGGGCAGCTGGACGCCGCGCCATGGCATGGGCGTCAAGAAGGTCGGCAAAGGTGGCAACAGGGAGCTGTTAAAGAGGCTCAGGAATCGCGGCAAGGCCGAGGTCCCCCAGGCGGCTTAGCTAACGTCGATCCCGTCTCTGCTTCGCACCTGGAACATGATGCATGGACCTGCCGAGGCTGCTGCTGCTCTGGGAGCGTGGATGTGTTTGCGAGCGGAATCTCGGACGGTGTCGGTACAAGTACAATCGATTGAACGATGGGGGGAGGGGGGCACGAGACAACACAAGACGGGGCGCGCCGCCGGGTCATGCCACCTTCTTGAAGCCGCGGAAGTTGATGCCGACGCAGCTGACCATGATCTCCTCCGGTACGATCCGCTTCGGGTGGTTGTCCGCCTCGTCTTCATCCTCCTCCTCCTCGTCGTCGTCGTCATCCTGCTGTGCGCTGGTCTGGTCCTCGTCCTGCACCCGCTTGACCTTGAACGTGACGCCGAGACCCTCCTTGATGTCTCGCATCGTCTGGATGGCGTTGGGCGTGAGCTTACCCATCCTGCACCTGGCCACGTCCTGCGGTCCCAGGGCCATGAGCGTGAGGACCATGGGCTGGTGTGCCGGGTCGATGCATCCCCTCTTTGCGACCTCCTCGAGCAGTTGCCGCGCCGCGAGGGCGGCCACGTCTTCGGGCGTCAGGGCCTCTTCGCCCGTCTCCTGGTTCGAAGGCCGGCTGATGGCCTCGGACGAGTAGATGGCGCCCGTCGTGCTGCTCGCGACGAGCGAGAGGCCGAACCCGGGCGACTTGCCCGAGTCGTCGCCGCGGTAGACGTCGGCAAAGAGGTAGAGGTCGGGGATGTAGCGCTGCAGGATGGAGCGGGCGTGGTCAATCATCCGGTTGGCCATCTGCGGCGAGACGCGCGTGGCGTTGGCGATGCCACGGATCTTTTTGATGCGGCCCGGTGCGATAAAGTTGAGCGTCGAGAGGTGGGCGAGCGTCGGGCAGCGCAGGTGGATCTCTCCCCCTCCGAGCGGCGGGGAACCGCGCTTGAGGATGCGCAGCTCGAGGGCAGACGAGAGGGTCGAGAGGGTATCGAGGGGCAGAAAGAGGGAGAGGTGGGGCAGCGTCACGGTCCTCAACGTGTCGACGCCGAGGTCGCCCTGTCGAGCCGTGAGGCCGCGCAAGGTGAGGCTGAGCTCCTTCTTGGCAAAGGGGGCGAGGACCATGATCCACTCTGCAAAGTAGCCGACGCTGCGAGACGTGGGGCAGTCGTGGCTCACGTTGCCACCGGCAATGACGCCAGGCCGCAACAGCACGCTGGTACCCGTGTAGCTGATCTCGACGTGGCTGCCGTTGGTGACCTTTTCGATGAGACGCAGGAACGACGCCTCAAAGTCGCAGAGACCGGGCGAGGAGGCGTCGGAGCGGATCGAATCGATGCGGACGGGCCGGCCCGAGAGGAGCGAGAGGACCAGGCGCTGCCGAAAGTAGCTGTGCCCCGTGAAGCGCAGCAGCCGCGACTTTTCCACGGGCGTCGGGTTGGACGCTGTCGTCGAGGGCATCGTGGTGTGTGCAGGGCTACAGGTCGGTTGTGGTGATGGGGGAAGATGGCGGTGGCGGCAGTAGCGGTCGATCGAGAGGGGAGAAGCTGCGCTTGGAAATAGGCGGGGGGTTAGGGGAGAAGGAAGGTGGAGTGCCAAGGTCGCGAAGCCTCCAGAGCTGCTGGCGGGCCCAAGGGCGAAAAAGAAAAAATCCACCAGGCCCCGCTGCATCAGAGCGGGGGTTTGGGTCCACCACCTCGGCATCCGAATTCCGAATATTCTTCCAACTCCTGCCACGCACCATGCCGCCCAGCATCTCCCCGTCCTGCCATGCCTCTGCTCGACCGCTCAGCATCCCACACGACGGTATGAATGAGTGGATGAATGCAAGTCCCTGTCATAGAAAGATAAGATGGAAATACAATACAAGAGATGTGTACAGGTTCCGGGTGGCGGCGATACAGGGGGCGAGACGGAAGCGAGGTCCGGGGAGCAAGCTTGAGGAAGTGGGAGCAACGCCGCGTCGCTCTCAGTGGTCCTGCTCGGGGCAGTTGAAGTACTCGCGGAACATGGCCTCGGTGCGGATGACGGGCAGCGCAGTCACAACGCCATGGACGTGGAGAAAAAGCTCGGGGAAGCGGCGGGTGAAGTAGCCCAGGAAGCCGTCGGGCAGCGAACCCAGCATCCGGCGCAGGTGCGGCGGCATGTCCTGGTAGTGGTGCTTCTTGTTGCGCATCGCCCGCAGCAGGTCCTGGACCGAAGTAGGGTCGTACTTGCGGAACTTGCCCAGGTTCTCGAGGAACGCCTTGTCGCACCGCCGATGCCAGTCGTGCCCCACGACCTTGGTCGCCTTGGCCTCGAGCATCACGAGCGCCGGCGCCGGCGGATCCTTCTCCATGATTTCGAACCGGTCGCTGGCGTCCTGCAGGAAGTTGAGACGCTTGTTGGCGTCCCAAAAGTAGGGATGGGCAAGTACGTCGTTGGCAGAAGGCCGCCGCCGCGGGTCGTTGTCGACCATCTTGAGCACCAGATCCTGAGCCTCGTGCCCTTCCTCGCCGAGCCCGTCGAGCCGACCGGTGTCGACGTGGCGCCGGATAATGTTCATCTCACGTTCAAAGCGGCTGCCGAACGGGTGATCGCCGTTGGACAGCACGTAGTAGGCGAGGCAGCCTAGCGCAAAGATGTCGACGGCGCGCGTCAGCCGCTGCTTCTCCTCGGTACCGCTGCCGCCGGCCCGCCGGTTGCCAGACGAGTTGCCCAGCGACGATTCGCTCTCGGACCCGGCGTCGAGGTTGATATCCCCTCGGAGGATCTCGGGCGCACGCCAGCCCACCGTGCCTCCAGGATTGTTCATCGTCTGGCTGAAGCTCGTCTGTGCCAGGCCGTCCAGTCGCTTCGACAGTCCAAAGTCGGACAGCAGCATCTTGAGGCTGCGCCCGCTCGACGATGTCGACACCAGGATGTTCTGAGGCTTGATGTCCCGGTGGACGATCGAGAGCGAATGCAGGTGCCGCAGGCCCGACGTGATCTGGCTCAAGCTTCGTTTCGGCTCCAAAAGCACGCTGAGCTCGCGGTAGTCGTTGGGGCGCTCGACGACGTCGGCAAGCGACGCGGGGCACAGCTCGAGCGCGATAAAGAGGAAGCTCGGCGTCAGCTCCTTGTAGAAGTAGCGGATCACGTTGGGGTGATTGTCGGCGGACTCGAGCAGCGAAACCTCCTTGGAGGCGACGTGAACAAAGTCGCGCAGCAGCCGCTTGACGGCCACCGCACGTCCTTGGAACGTGCCCTTGAAGACGACGGTGCCCGAGGAGCCGTAGCCAAGCACCTCGTCCGAGATTGTGAGAGACGAGCTCTTGAGGCCGTTGGTGGCTGAGCTGCTCGATGCGCCAGCAGCTGCGATCTTTGCGGCCTGCTCGCCCAGCGCCGTAGGCACCGAATCGTCTCCATCCGCAGCGAGGGGCCAGCCGGACTCCATCAACGCTGACGTGTTGAGCTTTGGCGACATGAGTGCCTGGGTCAGCTGCGGTGTTCCGCTCGTAGATATTGGCGGCGGCATGGGCGCGTCTCGTGTAGCCCGGGCTCCGACCTTGCCCTTGGCCCCGTTAACCAGGTTTGTCGGCGCTGTTGGTTGCTTCTTGGCGCTCTGCTTCGACTTCTTCGGCGTACCGTCGACCGCGTCTCGCCCCGTCGCAGAGTCGTCGGACGCGGTCGCAATGCTCGCCGAACGGGGACAGCCATTCTCCGCGGGCAGCCCTGCGTGTACGTCGACCTTCACGTCGGCATCGTCGACGCTCGAGGTGTCCTTCGGCAGAGGCGGATCCGGCTGAGCTTCGTCTTCCTCTTCACCGCTATCGTCTGCGCCGTCGTCGCCATCTTCAGCCTCGCCGTTCTTGTTGGCTTTCGCCGCTTTCGCAGCTGCCGCAGCTCCCGCGCGCTTGCCCCTTCGTCTCCGCTTGTTGGCACGCCTCTTTGCTGCGGCCGCCCCGCCAGGCAGACCGTCATCCGCCAGGTCAAGTCCGAGCCCATCGGTGCCTTCGCCCGCATTGCCCGGCAATGCAGACCCGCCGGCGCTTGGACCGGCGGATCCGTTCGCGCTGGTTTTGTCTGCGGCTCCGATATCTTGCTTGGATCGCCGCAGCGCCTCCTCGAGCTGCTCCGCTTCGGTCCGGGTGAGCTTGTCGGCGTCCGAGCCCGTCGTTGCAAAGCCGGCCTCTTGCTCCTTGAGCGCCGGCACCCACACAACGCCCTTGGCGATCATGGCGGCCTCCTGTTCGCTTCGCTGCTTCTGCTGCTGGAAGCCCAGGTAGGTGGTCCCAGAGAGGACGCCGATAACGAGGACACCGATGAGCTGCAGCAGGATGACGGCCAGGCGCGATTTCCAAGGTCGTACGTAGACGGCCGCCTCCTCGTTTGTCGTGGGCGGCGGCGGCACAACGGACGGCGTCTCGAACTCGTCTCTGCCGGGACGCTTCTTGTCTCTGCCCTTGCCCTTACCCTTGCCCTTGCCGGACTGGGGCGTCTTGCGCGGGGACGACTGACTCTTGCCGGGAGTGGATGCCGATCCACGCGGGCCTTTGTCGGGACGAGCAGCTTCCAGCTCGTCCTCCTCGGGATAGGCCGGTCGGTCTCCGAGTGCCAACTTGGGCCGGTCCGAGCGATCCCCGTCAATCTCGAGCAGACGGTCGGATCCCAAGAGCGACTCCTGCATCACACCTTCTGCCGAGGTGTCGACCTCGAGCGTGTAGCTGCCGAGCCAGCATCCGAAAGACGCGCACTTCTTCTCGCTTGCCCAGCTGCTCTCGGAAGGTGGGAGGGCAGATCCGCTCTGCCGATCCTCGACCGCCTGGCCGTCGGGCAGGCCGGCAACAGCCTTCGAAGTGAAGGCGACCAGGGGAAAGCGGTTGCCGCTCATGGCAAAGAGGCTACTGCCAGCGATTCCGAGATAGGCGGATCTCTTTTTCTTCGTCAATCCACCTTCGAACGACGGCATCTCATCAGAATGCCCGTCGCCGATCTGGGGAAAGAGGCGGTTGATGGGGACGGGGGGATGCGAGACCAGGATGGGGCGGCTCATCGACTTGGAGTTCTGAAGGTGAGGCCCGGGGTAGACAACATCAAAGATGCCGGCGACGCTGGCGCGCAGGTCGCTCATCCACAGCGTCTTCTTGTCGTCCTCGGCATCGGAGCTGGTCAGGTTGAAGCAGACGACGCTGCCATCCTCGGGCATGCCGAGTATGGCGCGGTCGTCCGGGTGATCGGCCCGGTACCAGATCGACTGGATGTCCCGATCGCCGGCGTTGGGTGCAAAGGTGCTGAAGTGCAGCGTCTGTAGCAGCTCTGGAGAGTTGCGCGAATGGATGTTGAGCGTGTAGTCGGTGCGGCCGACGTAAGCCCACTCGTTGGCTTCGGTCGTGCTGCTAAAGGTCGACTCATCGTCAATGCAGGCCTCGGCATCCGGGGCCATCGAGGCTCCCTTGGTCCCCTTGAAAGGCGAGCTCGACGGCTCATCGGCCTGGGCGCCACACCACACGCCGCCCTCGCGACCGCCAAAGACAGCGCCGAGCTTGCCTGTGCGGACATCGAGTTCGACAAGGGTGGTCTGCTTCTGGCCGACAAAGACGCGCGTGTCGTCCCCGGCAAAGGAGAAGGGGCTGAGCTCGACCAACTGGGGCACCGTCAGGGGCAGCTTGTCCAGCTGAACCTGCCGTGCCGGATCGGATCCGCCGCCAGCACGGTGCGCGCCCGGATCCTTGGGAGTGAGCACGTAGATGTCGCCAGCCGAGGACGGCTCGACTACGTAGATGCCGCCAGCCTCGAGTTCTGCGATGGACCCCGCAGCGAGGTTGGCAAAGGCAGACTGGTCGCCGAAGCCTTGAGCAATGTCGGCGAAGCTCTTCTGGTCCTTGCCATAGAGCGCAGTGACAAGGGGTCTCAGCAGGGAGTCGGAGTTGTGGCTAGTCTGGGGCGAGAGAGTCCAGAGCTGGTGGCCAGTCTTGCGATCGAGAGCGTAAAGTCCTCCTTCGACACTGGTGAGGACGACGATGTCGGACAGTATGAGGTCCGAAGATGATGTGGGCCGTGCAGTGGCTGGTAGCGATCGATGCTGGGTCGATGCGGCGCTACCTGCATGGTCGTACCGTAGCCGTGGCACAATGTCTTTGGACGGGGAGCGGGCGGATGCTGCAACGGGTGCGCCAAAGGATGCTGGGCCCGACGGGAAGGTGCTGCGATTGCTGTCGTCGTTGGATGGTGCTGCGTCGATGACGAGCGCAAACAGCGCCAAGAAGGTGACCAAGAGGAGCCGTAGCTCGAGCAAGGTACTCCCTTTCGCTCCCTTCGCGCTGGATGTCATGGTGGCAGGCATGCGGCTCGAGGATCACGAGGCGATGTCGATGGTGAGTCGGTGGAAGGCAGCGGTCGCCACGAGGGCCGAATCTGGCGCAGACGCGCCTAGGTGAGGCGCTGAAAGCTCAAGCGCTGACCGGGTACGGAGGGGTACGACCGCAGCCCAGTCGGGAGGGGCACGGGCGCATTGATGCGAATGGCGCGAAGATGACAGTCAGGAGGGCCACGGGATCAAGTCATGAGGGTATGGCGCCCGATGGCAGGGCGATCGCACGTCGAGGCTGGTCGGGCCGTAGAGAATAGAATCCGCAGATGAAGATGAAGATCGCAGGCGATGGTGGGGGTGCGCTGGGTTGACGGCGACTGCAGCCATGCGTGTGGCCGAGTCAGTCCTGGTGCAGATGGTGGGCCAGGTGTGAGTGTGGAGCGAGGGCCCCCAAAAAAGAGAGCTCAAGCAGCTCGGGTCAAGGCAAAAGGGCCGACGAGGTTCCGCCCGCTTCCCCCACGCTGCAGCGAAGCCAGCGACAGCGCACAGCCTCGCCTGCCGACTGCCGCGCCCCGCCAGCCGGCCACCGCCGGGCGACGCCAGGTCAGACGAGGGGACCCTCTGCGGAACCGAGACCGGCTCGCCCGGAAGAAGAGAGGAGCGCTCCACTTCTAGCCCTCGGCCTCTCGCTCTTCAACCTTCGCCACCACCCACCGGATCACCCGACGCAACAGCCCCCGCCAGCCATGACTTCCCTTCCGCTTCCTTCGCTCGCCCGACGGACGGCCACTGCTCTGCTCCCCAGCCTGCAGGCCGGCCCCTCCCGGCTTCCGTTCCATGCCCTTCCAAAGGCGGCCGCGACAGCTCGACTCGGATGCTGCCGATACGCCCACGTCTCGGCGCCGCACCCCTTCCAGCACCAGGCTGAGGACTCACAGACGCCGGCACAGCGCGCGCGATGGGAGCAGGCGAGTCCAGAGGAGCGCAAGAGCATGCTCGAGCAGCGCCGCGACCGCAAGCTGGCAGAGTACCAGAGCAAGCTCAAGCTCAAGGCGATGCAGGAGGGCGTCTCGTCGGTCGAAGAGCTGCGACAAAAGAAGCTGCAGGAAGCCAAGGCCGCCTCGATGTCCTCTCTCAAGCCGGCCTCGTCGGATGCGCCGAACGCGGACGATCGGGCTGCCTGTACGTCCGAGGTCGAGAGAAAGGACGCAGAGGTTGCCGCCAAGATCCGCGCCCAGTCAGAGGCCGAGGCGCGGAGGAAGCTCGAATCCGGCCAGCTCGGTTCCAGCCCGCACGGCAGCGAGTCGGAAGGGCCCGTCAAGCCGCTGCACAAGATCCTCGACGTCGAGAAGCTCGCAAAGGAGTCGCCAGATACGATTGGCAAGCTCTGGACCGGCTACCACACCCTCAAGGGCAAGCTCTCGGCCGTCATCCCCACGGCCTCCTACCTCGAGCTCACCGCAAACGCCCGCAAGTACCCACAGTTCGTCCTGCCGCTCCCGCGCGAGATCATCGGCGGTGAAGAGACAGTAGAGGGCAGCGACGCCACCGAGCAGCCCCAGAAGCAGCAGGGCTACGAGATCCAATACCTCGAGTGGGGCTTCCTGCCCAAGCCGGCCACCCACAAGGTGGGCGGCGACCCAGCAGAAGCCATCCCGGACCCCACCACTGTCCTCTTCACGCCGCTGGCCGAGTACAAGATGCGCCAGGAGTTTGCCCAGCCTGCCCTCATCCTCTCGCACTACACCGACCTGGCCGACAGCAAGGGCATCGTCCTGATGCGCGGCGAGATCACGGGCGCAGACGAGGCTGCCGACGACGCCTCCGCCGCCACGACGACCGAAGGCGAGGGACCCAAGGGCAACAAGGTCTCGACGCGCATCTCGCAGGCCGACGCGCAGCTCCTCTCCATGACCCTGCAGCGCTTCTATCTCGCCCCCAAGATGGCCGAAAACGGCATGGAGTCCCGCATTAAGCTGCTCGAGACGTTCCACGCCAAGCCCGAAGACTTCAAGGTGGACCAGCTGGTCAAGGCCTCGTTTGAGTTCTAGGGTCGCGCGTGCGCGCAGCAACGAGCATCGGCATTACTTTTGGAGCATCCATGCTCCCGCCAGCCGGTCTTGGACCACCTAGCAATGCAACTGAATTGATAGACGCCACTGGAAGCGATATGCTGACATAGACGAGGGCTGTGTTTTTCCGCCGATCTGCTTCTGCTCTCCGGCTGAATCTACGCATCCTCTCTGTCGTCGCTCGTCTCGTCCTGATCCGTCTGCTCCTCCTCCTCCTCCTCCCCGCCCTCGCCGTTCTGCGCCAGGTCCTGGCAGATGGCCTCCCAGCCCCTCTCCAGCGCTCGAATTTCCTGGGCGGCTCGGTCCTCGTCCGTACGAGCAGCACCACGCCTTGCGAAAGCGCCCTTGAGGTTGCGCTTGGCGTTCTCGAGCACCTCAAGCACCGCGCCCATCTCTTGGCCCTTGACCTTGACGAGGTAGGACAGGTACTCGGTCCACATCCCCACCAGGTCCCCGCCTGTCGTGGCTGCCTCGTCGCTCGATGACGAGGATCGACGCGTGGAGGATGTCGAGAGGCGGGACGAGTGCAGGTCGATGCTGCGTTGGTAGAGGTGCGAGATGCGGTTGTCCAGCTTGGCCACGGTTGCCCTCGTGGTCTCTGACGCGGTCTCTTCTTCGGTTTCAGCGCCGTCCGTGGAGGCGGCGAGGGTGGATCGGAGCTCGGTGAGGAGATCGATGACAAACTTGTAAAAGCCCTGACTTCCGAACGACGACGAGAGGCAGTGGTCGATTGCTCGGTCCAGGCTGGACGCCTTCGTGCCGGACGACGGCGAGCGACGGGCATCCAGCTCGGCGCAGAGTGCGACGTAGCGCTTGAGGACAAGGTCGTGCGTCGACTGCTTCTTCGCTTGCAGGGTCGCCAGGTTGGATGTGGCGCGCACCGACGATACCGTGGAACGGGAGAGGAGCGAAGAGGTGGTGCGGATCGCCGTCTACGCCGTGAAGTCGGGCACGAAGAGGAGGGCGTCAAGAACTTTGTCAGTGAGACATTCTCCGTGCATCGCTGTTGACCGCCGACGAACAGCAAGCTTACCTCGTACTCGGCATGCATCCACTTGGTGGCCTTCTTGACCGCCTTGGCTTCCTTGGCACCGCCCTCGACGATCATCTGCTCAACCTCGCCTTGGACCCACTCGAGGTAGGCGTTCCAGAGCCCGCCTTGCAGGGCGGAAACATCGTCGCCAACCTCTTCGCCATCGACCAGCTCCGAGTCGAGCTCGGAATTCGAGCAAGCCAGAAGGCCGCGATTCCACTCCGCCGACAGCTTCTGCCGCCTCGCCTCGGCGTCGTCGTCTTCGAGCGACGTCAGAGCCAGCTTGAGCTCAATGCGCAGGCGCCAGAGATCCTCGTTGCCCGGGAAGCCGCCCTTGGATGCTGGCGCCGTAGCTTCCTCGGCCTCTTTGATCGCCTTGAGGAGTTTCTTGCGTCGCTTGTCGCCGGTCTCAGCCGCCTCGACGTCGTCGGAGCCGACAAGAGCGCCGAACTTGCGCCTCAGCATCGATGCGCGCATCTGTCCGCTCTCGACGCCGTGGCCGACCTTGCGAGCTTCGGCAATCAGCTCCGTCCGTACCGCGTCGATGTATTTGAGCAGGTTAGGCTCGTCGATCGACGACCGCGTCGGATCGCTCAGCAGGTTGAGCAGCAGCGTGGCGGCAGTGTAGAAGTCCGACTTGGCATTGAAAGAGCTGAGCAGCGAGGCGGCGGACGTCGGGAGAGGCGCTGCGGCGCAAAGCGGCCGCATCGTCTCGACCACCTGCTGGACCGCCTGCGGAACCAAACCATTCCTCGCCAACCTCAGCGAGAGGAGCGATGGTTCCGTCTTACCGCTCTCGCCCTCGACTGGATCGACCAAAGCGGCCTCGAGCAAGTGCAGCGTGAGGCGGAGAGCGGTGGAGCTGCTCGACGAAGCCGAGCGGTGACCTCCGCCCATGCGGATCCATTCCGCCAGGTCCAGCAGCGCATCCGAATCTTCGGAGAACGTGGTGCGCAGCGTGCTGGCCTTCGTGAGCCGCTGGCCATCGCGAAGCTCGTCTTGGGCCTCGGCCTCGACCTCCATCTCCTCCTCGACCGACAGGAGCTTCTCGACGGGGTCGCGGAACGTACGGGTGGCGACCAACGTGGCGACGGGCGCATAGTACCTCCATCCCCAGCGCTCGCGGTCCGAGAGGAAGCCGTAGACGGTATCAATCAGCCTCCTTCGCAGCTTTTCTCCACTCCGGGTGGCGTGGGTCTGGACGGTCGCCTTAGCTTTGGAAGACTGCTGGCCCGAGATCGTCCCACCTGCCGAGTCGGCAAAGGGAAAGTTGCGGAAGAGCTCGAGCAGGGCCAGCAGGAAGACAAAGTGCAGCGATGGGGGCAGCGTCGACAGGGCGTTGGACACCAAGAATACGGGGATCGATCCGCGCAGGATCGAGAGTTGGGCTTCGGGGATGTCGGCAGCGGCTCGCTGAGTGAAGGTGTTGGGCTTGCAGGACGAGGCGGCAGCGGGCTCCGATGGTCGCGCGGAGCGGCCGTTGGCGTCGGTGTCGACCTCGACGCCCTCCTCCCTCTCGGGCACCTGCGAGAGAAGCACCTTTTCGTTCTCCTCTGCGGCACCTTCGTCCAGGTCCGCCTCGTCCTGGAGCGTCTGTGCGGCAGCAGACACCTCGGGATCGTCGCTCCGTACCTCTGACGACTGCGCATCGTCGCCCTCCCACTGGATCCCGAGCACGATCCACCTCCTCCGCAGCCGCTCGATGAAGACGAGCTCCATGCGGAAGTATTCGACCCAGAGGCGGAGCAGGTCCGTCTCCCGTGCTGAGAGTTTGAGCTTCAGGGGCCCAGATACAGCCGTCGAAGGGGGCGCAGAAGTCGAAGCATCGCCGGTCCTGAGCTTCTTGCCGGTCTCATCCGCCCCATCGGCACTCTTCCGCTTCAGCCCGTCGGCCGCACTGGCCGCTGCATCGCGAGGCTTCCAGGGAAGCGCATTCTGTCGGAGCGCCCGCTGAAGAAGAGAGCGCGCGGCTGTGGTGCTCGAGTTGTTGTTGAGCTCGTGAGAGGCTGCCGAAAGCCAGAGCGGAATCTTGTTGGGGTGGAGCGAGAGGGCGCGGGCGTACAGGCGACCGACGACGACCCGCATCTTGCGCTTGTTGGCCCACTCAATGTAGCGCTGCCAGCTGTCGACGTCCCACTTGAATCGGCGGACGAGCCTCTCCCAGACCGACACAATGTGGCCGGTGTGCAGGGCGTAGTTCTGCTGCGTAAAGTGCCTGCCGAGCTCCATACGCACCGCCTTGGCGACGATGAGGTCGGAGAGGTTCTGCTCAAAGTCGGCATAGCGGAGAAAGTCGACCTTTTGGGGCGCCCTTCGGATCAGCCGCGCCTCGTGCGACTGCCGCTGCGTGGTGATGGAGTGCAGCTGCTCCTTGGTAAAGACGCCGGCCTCGTCGAGCAGCTGCAGCTGCGGGAGCGAGCGCTCCAGGTGATACTGGACGCGCTCCATCGTGATCGGATGCCTTCCGAAGTCGAGGCTGAAGCTGCTCTGGGCTGACTGGCCGTGATGGGTGGAAGAAGAAGTCGAGGTGAGGCGGTGGCTGTCGGAAGACAGCGAAGGCAGAGACAGTCGGACGGCCCTGGCACGAAGAATCTTCGCGGGAAAAAAAGTTGGCCAGCAGCCAGGCCCCCGCTCGAATTTCGGACACCGGCCAACAAGCACAGCTGGGCCAGGGTCTTGCTTTGGCCCAACGAGCGGCAGAGTCTCTCGCGCGGCAAGAATCGGCCAAACCGCCTGACTGACCTCACCGGCCGTCGGAGCTCGTCCTCCACCCCACTACTCGCTCGCCAGCCAACGAGGGTCAGGCCCAGGCCCAGGCAGGCCTAACCCAAAAAGCTGCCCGCGTTCGTCGATCCATTTCCCCCGCGCCCCGATTCGAGGGCCGAGCCGCCCAAACGACCCTGGCCTGCTTGTCGGCCCGCTCCGACGCCCGCCCCAGCTCACAGCGCACCTGCACTTTGAAAGTTGCCCTCATGCCATCATCCCCTCATTATTGCTCGCGTCCGACACTCTACACGAACCAACCTTTCGTCGCCCTATCGCCTTTACGGACCTATCCTCGTGTATAGACCAGCCCTTGGCGACAGCGATCAAAGCCTGCGCCCACGCCACTACTGCCTAAGGAGCAACGTGAGTCGAGCCTTGTCCAGCTGGTCCGCAGCGGTTGGGCCAATTTCGGGTTGGCCGATGCCATGGCGCCCGAACGAAGTGGGTCGCGAAAGGATTTCGACATCGTCGCAGCAACTCGGGACTGCTCCGCCTGGGCCTTCAGAAAGTTGTCCAGGCCGGCTCTTCCGCAGTCGTGACTGGATCGACAGGCTGGCGCGCTGGTTCTTCGGAAGCCAACCTTAGCGGCGGCCTTGCACGGGCAGGTGCTGCGCCGAGGGTTCTGCGGCAACCACGATGGGAGTTGTAACCGGCCTAGATACGCCCTCAGAGAACAATACGCCGTCGTGGTTCCGCTATCGCTGCCGCCGTCGACCTACATAGAGGTCGCCAGCGAGAAGGCTCGCTGCACACGCCCCGCACTGCCACGCGACAAGCCTCGTCCGCTCGCCGTCAGCGTCGCTCACCCGCCTTCCCCCTTCACCTACTCATATCCTTGCTTCTCTTCTTGCCTTGCCTTGCCTTGCCTTGCCTTGCCTCTCCCACCTGCCATTTGCTGCGCTCCTCTGGTCCACTCACCCTCCAACCACTGCAACCCCACATCGACGCCATCACACCGACCATGGTGATGCTCACCGAAACCTACGTCTCGAACCCGACCATCCGTACCGACCCTCCGGTCGCCTCGTTCGTCGACGATATCGACGACGATGCGACCCCGACCTCTGACCGCCATCCGGACACCTTTGACTCTTCTGCCGCCGCTGCTGCTGCTGGTGGTGGCGCCGCAGCCTCGCCTTCGTCCGCGTGCAAACCGGACGTCCCCAAGCGCAGCCAGGATCGCCCGCGTCCTGCCCCCGTGAACGACGGCCCGAAGTCTTCGCCTGCGACGCAGCCTCCGCGCTCGAACGTCTCCGAATACGTGTCCAGGTCTATTGGAACCGTCCGTCACAAGCTCAAGCCCATCACCGCCTCCAACATGCCTAACCCTCACTACGATTTCCTCATCAAGCTGCTCCTCATCGGCGACTCCGGTGAGTGCCAGGCCCAGACGCTGTCATCCCGACTCGTGGTGCTGCCCGCGGCTGATGCTGATCCTGACACCTCACCTCCTTCCTCTTGGCCGCCTTCACACCGCCGACCAGGTGTCGGCAAGTCGTGCCTGCTGCTGCGATTCTGCGACGATGCGTGGACGCCCTCCTTCATCACGACGATCGGCATCGACTTCAAGATCCGCACGATAGAGCTCGACGGCAAGCGGATCAAGCTGCAGATCTGGGACACGGCGGGCCAGGAGCGCTTCCGCACGATTACGACGGCCTACTACCGCGGCGCCATGGGCATCCTGCTCGTGTTTGACGTGACCGACGAAAAGAGCTTCCAGAACGTGCGCACCTGGCACTCGAACATCGAGCAGCACGCGTCCGAGGGCGTGTCCAAGATCCTCGTCGGCAACAAGTCGGACTGGGAGGAGAAGCGCGCCGTCACCACCGAGCAGGGCGAGGAGCTGGCCCGCGAGCTCGGCATCCCCTACATCGAGACGAGCGCCAAGAGCAACGCCAACGTCGAAGAGGCCTTTTTCAACCTCGCCCGCGAGGTCAAGGCCCGCCTGATCGACACGGCCGCCGCCTCGGCACCATCGTCGGGCGCCGGCCTCGGAGACGGCGGTGCGGCCGGCAACGTCAACGTCGCCGGCGGCGGAAACCGCACTGGTCAGGCGGGCGGCTGCTGCTCTTAGACTTCGCAAAGAGGGCCCCTCCCGCGTCGGTCTCAGCTGGCATCATCTCCTGTCGCCACCCCTTGGATGCCGGATCCGCCCTCCTTCATGGCACCGCTTAGCCCCGCGCCCGCCCGTCGGCCCGCCCGCCTGCCTGTCTGTCTGCCTAATCGTCCCTGAGCCGACGGATGCCGTCGTCTACCAGAACATTTCCCAAACCAGCCTCGCCGTGGCCCAGTTTCGGGGGCGGCTGACGAATCTGCGATTCCCGAGCGCACAGCAGAAGCGTGTGCATGTACATACCCCTCTCCGCTTCCTCACCGGTTCCCTAATTCTCGATGCCACGAACATGAGACGTAGCTCACGAAGACAAGCGTCACCGCGCGAGGGCTACAGAGGGAAATAAGAGGAGGAGGGGAAGCCGTCGTCGTCGTCATTGCAGGGTTGAAGCGGGAGCAGTAGGGGAGGGAAGGGGAGGGGAGGAGATCAACGCCAACATTCCACTCTCCTCCTCACCGTCTCCCTAGCTCTGGCGATACCGAGTGACTGTAGATCGACGCCAAGTTGATCCTGGAACGACGTGACCTCGTCCTCCCACGCCGGTCCGCGTTCATCGTCAAAGAGGAGACGCGTGGCTTTGGCCAGTGTCCATACCGTCCCCTCATCCCTCGTTGCTGCCGCTGCCGATGCCGAGGATGGGGAGGATGTGGGGAGGGAGAGGAGCGTGGCGACGTCGCGCAGCTGCTTCCACGGCGCGCTCGGGTTCCGACCGAATTTCGTCGCTCGAGATGCCGAAGAAGACGAAGATGAAGAGACGGCGTGCATCCACCCCGCTTCGAAGTCGGATTTGAATCGCACCGAGGAGGGGTAGATGAAACGGTGGGATCCTCCTGAATGCGAGTGGTGGACCAAGAGGAGGGTCGGTGTCAGTTATCGTCAGATTGATCCCATCGCACTGAGGCGACATTGTGATGCGAGAAAGGGGGTACCCACCGGCCATGACGACCCGCTCGATGACGGCGTTGCTGATCGAAGCGGCTACGTGGCGATAGATGGGAATCGACTGTGGCGCTTCCAGGATCGCAACGAGGTGCGAGAGATGCGTCGACAGGATCGAGAGCGAAGGCACAAGCGACGGCGTAGGCACGCCTTCCTCGTCATCCCCATCCTCGTCCGCCTCGTCATCGTCTCCGCCTTGCGTTGCAACTTCGCCACCTTGATCTCGTCGAGCCTCTCGGCCTGCAGTGTTCCAGTTGCGGTGCGCGTAGGGCCGCAGCTGCTCGAGCACCTCGCTCACAATCAGCTTCTCGACGCCGTTCGTTGCGCGCGCGACCACTTCGCCAAACTTGCGCCGGGGCTCCGCCCATACCCCGAACCGACCTGCATCGTCGAGGGACTGCGAGGGTGCGGCTGTACCGGTCCCCTCCGACCTTGCGGCCAGGGTGCCGGCCGAAGGAGCCGTGGTAGCCGAGTTGGGCGTGGTCGGTCGGGCGTTGGCCGCTCCCCGCTTCAGACCGCGTCTCAGCAGCGTGCCCAGGCTGGCGGCGTCGAGCTCGCGATCTTGCTCCGCCTCGTCGTCCCGCTTGAGGCCCAGCGCGAGCTTCTGCCCTTCCTCGGTGCCCTGCAGGTCCTCGGACAGCTCGACGAAAAAGGCCGTCTCGGCCCATCGGTCCAGCTCCTCGCAGATGAACGAGGCGGACAGCATCGCCTTGATCAGCCGACCGAGCCCGCGCAGTCCACGGACCATGTCCGAGTCGCTCGTCCCTGTCGACACGCCGGCTGCCGCGCCCAGGCCGGCCGAGATCTCGCCAGGCATGGCGCGCGCAAACGCGCTCGAGAGCGACTCGAAGGCGTCGAGGCTCTTGGAGAGTCGTTGGTGGTATGCCCGAAGGATGGGAAGCTGGACCATGGCCAAGAACGAGAGTCGCTGCTCGAGCGAGGGCAGCGGGCGGTAGCGCTCGGTGACGCTCTCTAGAATCTCGACGACGGCTCGCGCCGACTTGGTCGTTTTCGACCCGCCCTCAGCCACATCTCGCGACGCCTGTGCGACGTAGATCTGCTCGTCATCCTCGGCGATCGAGTCAGAGGCACCGATGGCCCATGCGTCCGGAGCATCGACGGCCTCGTCGAACCTGCGCAGCGCAAACTCCTTCTCTCCCTCGAGCCAGCGAACAAACCATTCCCGGTTCGCCAGGATGTCGTCGGCGAGCTTGGCGGTGCCGGCATTGTCGAGCACCGCACGCGAGGCAGGGAACTGCTCGCCAAGGTCGGCATCAAAAGTGAGCGCCTGGAAGACAGTGTGCGCCAGCAGCGAGGGATGCTCGAGCAGCGATGGCATCGACGATGCGAGCTTGCGGCGCAAGGGCGTCAGCAGGCCGTGCAGCATCTCCGCGTAGGTGTCGATGTAGCGGAACGCCCTGCGCTCCTTGCCCTCGAGCTGCGTATTGGCGTAGAAGCGACAGAGCCTGGCGATCGGCCCGCCAGAACCAGGCACGCCGCGGATGGGCGGCTGGAAGAGGGCGGTCTGGGAGCGGATGAGGGAGGCGATGTGGCTGAGGTACCACTCGGGCTTGTCGAGCCGGTTTGTGGGGCGGGTGCCGTCAAAGTGGTAGCGGAAGCGCAGCAGCAAGGGCTCGATGACGACCTGGGTCGCCAAGAGCGGCACATAGTCGTCGGATCCGGCTGCGACCCGCTTGCCCTCGTCTGTCGCCGACCCGTGCCTGCGCTTCGTCCGAGGCTTGGCCGTGGCTCGCGGCATGAGTCCCAGTCGTTCGGCCTGGTCCTGGAGGTGGCAGAGGTCCGACCAGGCCTCGCGCACGCTCTCTGACCTGGCAAAGTCTGCTGCAGGTGGAGCAGCCCCGTCGTCGGTAAAGTCATCGTGGTCGCCTTCTGCCGACTTGCCAGGCCTTCGGTCGGGCCAGTTGCTGGCTGCGAGCGCGCGCTGCAGGCGGGTGATGCGAGCCTTGCGCATCAGGGACAGGGCAGCATCGCGCTGAGCCTGCAGGAAGGGGATGGCTTTGATGGGCGAGGAGTCTGCGCGCAAGAGTCTCTCGCAGCGCTGGACGTGGAGGTGAAGCTCGGCGAGGAGATCGAGAGCGGTGACCTGACCATCGTCTTGAGCCCGGGAGGTGGCAGTGGCAGCAGCCTCCTCCTGCTTTGCAATGGCGAGACGGAGATCCTCTGCCTTTGCGAGGAGGCTGAAGTAGGCCTTTGCCTGTGTGAGCTTCTCGATGGCGTTGTGCAGTTGCTCGAGTCGCTTGAGGAGGGTTTTCGAGGCACCACGGCTGGACTCTGCGGGGGCACCGTGCTGGAGAGCGGAAGAAGATGAACCGACGAGGTTTTCGCATAGGTCGAGCAACTGATCCTCGGTGGCTGCAATTCCGTCTGGGAGGTGCTCGAGGCGTTGCCGGAGGGCCTTTACCGACGAGAGGCTGGCGATGAGCTGCCTTCGGAGGGTGGTCTCTGCGTCGATGGTGTTCTGCTGTGCCTGGCGATGTGCATCTCTGAGGCGGTCGAGGTGCGCTCTGAGGGCGTCGGACGAGGGCAAAGCAGAGTAGGGACGGCTGGGTTGCTGCGCAGCGAGCTTTGGGAGGGTCGAGTTGAGGTGTTCGAGGACATGGTTTTGGCAGTCGTTGGTCGGAGGGGGACGGACGAGGCGTGGTACGTGGTGCGGCTGGGCTATAGTTGGCGCGGGGGCGTCGCCACTGCGAGTTGCCTGCACCAGAGCGGGCATAATCGGAATGGCTGCGGCGAGTGCGACGCGCCGAGGCGAGAGATGGCAAGGGAGAGGAGCGATCGAGGAGGAGGACGAGGATGGTGAGCACCCGAAGACAGGATCGAGCACCCCGTCCAGGCAGGCTGGCTGGCTAGTTGGCTGGCTGACTTGCGTTTGGGCCAGGCCTCGGTCCTCTCCAACACCCGGGTCCTCTCTCTCCCTCTCGAGAGCTGTTATGGCCGAAGTTGGGCCGAATGCAGCTCTGCATGCGGGCCGGACGGCTTGCCAGACCAGAACAGTCGGGCCAGGCCAGGCCCCCGCCAGGCCACGCCATCATCAGGCGGGGCAGTGCAGCCAGGCCAGGCCCGACGCCCGACCAACGCCAAGACCCGTGTTGGGAGGCCAGGAGCAGGCTGTCGTCGTGTGTACGTATGCATGGGCTCCTCGCCACCATCATCAACCCGCCCACCGCTGCTTCCCCCGCCCCTACCCCCTTCATCTTCGACCACCGTCATCCGTCCTTCCGTCAGCACAGCTCATCACAAGCATACCCCCCACCTCGCTCCTTCACTCGAGCTTCAAGTGGATCCGCAACTCGATCGCACCTCGCTACGTGGCACACCCTCCACACTCGGCCGGCCAACTCGTCCCCCCCTCGGGTCGTACTCGGGGGCTCGCCCCCATATCATCTTGTAAACCTCGCTCGCCGCCACCCCTTTCCAGCCCTTCGCATACCGCTCCGTCGCCAAGCTCCTCTCCAGTTCCTGTGAACAGGGCACCGCCGCCCCGCCGGCCCGACATGGCGCCCCCCTCCGCCACCCGGCGCACAAACGAGCTCGACGCCGCTTTCGACGCCGAGAGCTCCCAGGCAAACGACCCAGCCGGCCTCCCCGGGTACAACGAGCTCCCTGCATCGTCCAGGGCATCGCTCTCCAGGCCTGCCCAGTCCACCGTCATCGACATACCATCCAACGACGTCTTCTTTGACGCAGGCGACGCACTCCCTGACGATCCAAGTCGCGCCACCTCCGCCACCGGCGGTATCAACGATCCGCTCGGTGTCACACAGCCCAACCCGGCCCTCTCGCGGCCCTACGACCCGCCGCCGCCAGCTGCCCGCACCACGCCCGGTGGCTCCACCTACGACTTCGAGAGGCCCTCGTCCTACTTCCCCGCACCAACGCGGAGACCTCCCACCGCATCATCGCACCAGGGCCATGGCCCCCGCGTACCCTCTGGCATGTCGGCCGCCGGCGAGACGCAACATGGCAGAGTCGCCTCGCAAGACGACGGGCATGACGATGATGATGACGACGACCACGACCACGATGGCTCCAACGAACTCCACCTCGGGTTCGCGGACGAGGACCGTGGCCGGTCGACGAACGGCCAGTACGGCCTTCTGGGCGGGAATCAGGACCTCTCCCGCCTCGACAGGGCCCGCCTCGCCCTAGGCAGGTTCGGCAGGGTCGTCGGCATGGGCTTCCCGGGCGCGCGCTACGAGGCCGTCTCCCGCAACGGATCCGGACCTGGTGGCGCAGGCGGCCAGTCCAGGCGACCCCGCGTCATGGGCGGCGGCATCGGCCAGGACGGCGTCTTTGCCAACCTCAACGCCAAGCCAGAGAGACCTCGTCGCAACGGCGCCAGCGGCTCCGAAGACCGTGGCGAAGACGACGACCTCGCCGAAGACACGCTGCCACCGACCTACGAGGTCGCCGCCGCCGACGCGACGCCCCCTTACTGGGAGACGACCATCCTCGGCACCGCCTCTGGCCTTCACCCGCTCGCCAACGGCCTCGGATGGGTGCCTGGCGGTGCCCACGTCGGTGCCATCGAGGATCTGATCATCGAGGGCCTGCCCGTCGGCAACGTCTTTGGCTTCGCGTGGAACATGATGGTCAGCATGACGTTCCAGTTTGTCGGCTTCCTCCTCACCTACCTCCTGCACACGTCGCACGCGGCCAGGTGCGGCAGCAGGGCCGGCCTGGGCATCACGCTCATCCAGTACGGCTTTTACCTGCGCGAGCGGGCCACCGAGATCGCCGAGGGCAAGGTCGGCGGCGATGGCTTGCAGGGCGCGTGGTTTGGCGAGGACATGGGCGACCAAGTGGCGCGCCGTTCTGTCCACCTCGTCTCTCGCGCCGTCGGTATCCTGCGTCGCAGCATCGAATTGCCCGGTGCGGCCGCACCCGGGACCGGGGGGACGACGTTAGCCGACGCCTTCGCAGCGCAGAGCGACGCCGTACAGAGCCAACAGGACCTGCAGCAGTCGATGAGCGACTCGACCGAGTGGTTCTCCTACCTGCTCATGGTCATCGGCGGCTTCATCCTGCTGCGGAGCGTGGTGGGCTACTGGCGGATCTATCGGTGGGGCCAGTCGCTCGTTGATGCGGCGCGGCGGGAGCAGGCGGCCGACGACGGCACCGGAGCGGGCGCGGGCGAGGGTGAGACGACGGAGGCCGCGCCTGTCGGATTTGTGCACCGCTTCCGCTCCGCCTTCACGCGCGCTGGGGGCGGTGGAACGTCGGCGGGCAGCGGTCGGGCGCACAGCGCAGAGGACTGGATCATCTTCCCTGGCATGGGGCACCGACTCGGGTCGTCGAGCGGCGGCGGGGGTAGGGGATCGACGAGCCTGCGCGACCTCGAGGACGGTGAGGGCCTCGACGATGAGGGCGCCGAGCTGAACCCGGCGGAGCGAAGGCTGCTGCAGAACATGCGCAGCGCCGGGTTGCTCTCCTGAGCCCCGGTGCCGCTCTTACTCCACGTCCGTGTCGATGGCCTTCTTGTTCGGTCACGGTCGCTCTAGACCCCTGTATATCCCCCTCGTTCTTTGCTTGCTCGCGCCCAGCACCATGGCCCGTCCAATGTCATCAGGATCATGACAAACACGTGTGCGTACGAGAGGGACTGAGCGATTCGACTTGGGCCGCTGCCTCGACATCGACCGCGCTAGTCGGCACTCGCATGATCAGTCGCCCGACGAGAATCGAGCTGGAAGGTAAACGCAAGAAGCTAGGATTGGCAGGGACGTCGTTGGGACTCGATGCCGCGTCTACAAGGCTTGGCAGCTGCGCGATGATGGCGAACGGCAGACATGATGGGACGACTGTGCTCGCCGGTATCCGCGTCCATGCCGAGGTCGACGTAGGACGGAAGGAGGCGGGGGCTCATTGGATCTTTTCCGTGTTCCACACGCTGTTGGTCGCAAACTCTTTTGGTGCTGTCGGGTTGGCCTGGAGAGGTCGATTTGCGAAGAGCGAACGGAGGGTGAGCGTCAGTGTCCGATGGATCCTGTTGTGCCATGGAAAGCAAGGAAGAGAAGAAGGAGACGGTGCAGAGGGGGAAACGTACAGCCTGCCCTCTGAAGCTACCAGTCAACCTCTCGTCGCGCGACATCATCATGCGCTCCCAGTCGTCGAGGCTGTGTCTTGCGGGCTGCAGCGCGTTGTAGGATGCGATACGTTCAGAAAGGAGGCGAGGAGGGGCAGAAGAGGAAGATGCGATCAGCGAGGTGCCCGTGCGTGTGATGCGGGGGCCCGCAACGAGGGATACGAGGCGGACTGGACGGGACGGGACTCGACGTACCTTGCCGTCGTTGACTGTCCTCCTGGCCAGGTTGAAGCCCGTACCAGCGACGCCGAACATGACGACCACCATGCCTGTCGTACCGCATGGCATAGCATCGCAAGCAGAGAGAGGAGGGAGACAGTCAGTCGAATTATCTTTCGCCGAGGACCATTCCGACCGGACCGGACCGCGTGAGACGGTGGGAACACGCACCCATGTGAAGAACGGCCTCGAAAGGAACTGGCATCTTGTCGTTGCTGTGTGTGTGTGTGTGTCTGAGTGTGTGTGGCGGGGAGGGAGTGCGGTGTGGATACGCTGGCGAGGGGAGGATGGTGTGGAGCGATGGTGGGCCCAGTTGAGCGGGTGTGGGCGGCGGCGACTTGGCGGACAGCGGCGAGCGGCGAGCGGCGGGGCCCGTCCGAGGATTGAGATCACGAAGCTCGACATTTCGGTCCCGAGCGGCGCGGCCTGGCCGTGGTGCGGAGGCTGTCCAGTCTCGGAAAACGGAAGCGGAAAGCGCAGGTTGGGCGGGACGCAGCAAGAAGAAGCGAGCGGGACAGGCACAGGCACAGGCACAGCAAAAGTCGAGTCGTGTCCACCTGCCTCTCCTCTTCGACAGCCCTCACCCACCGCCGGGCCCCCTCTCCCATCCTTACAGCACCAGACGCACACTGACATACGAGGCCACGAGGGGACGACTGCTCTTCTCACCCGCCTCCCTGCCTCTGTCGCCGGCATGGACATCCCACTCTCTTCCGACGCGCTCGACCTCTCGTTCCACCCTGGCGCCGACACAAACATCCTGGCCACGGGCCTCATCTCGGGCAAGATACAGCTGGTCAATTACGATCCGCTCGTCGAGTACACCGCCCAGCAGGCACAGCGGAGGAAGCCCAGGCCCGCAAAGAAGAAGCTGCGTCGGTCCGTCTCGGCCAGCTCGGACGAAGAGGGCGAGGGAGACGACGACGACGACGGCGGCGATGGGGCCAGCGCCGGTGCGGGCAGCCGATCGTCGAAGAAGGCCACACGGGCGGGACTGCAGGATGTCAAGTCTAGCCAGCGCGTCGGTGATGACGGCGACGCGGCGGCAGATGCGATGATGGACGAGGACGAGGAGCCCAAGCCAAAGCTCTATCGGAAGCTCTGGAACACGCGGCCGTCGACCAAGAGCTGCCGCGGCCTCACATTCGACACCGACGGCAGCGGCATCCTGTCCATCTCCAAGGACAAGGGCATCTTCCTCCTCGATACGGCGACGGGAAAGCAGAAGCAGGCGTGGATCGGCGCGCACGATGCGGCGCCGTCGCGCGTGCTGCCCATCGACGAGCACCTCTTCGCGACGGGCGACGACGACGGCGTGGTCCGCCTGTGGGATACCCGACGGCCCACAAAGTCGTCGTCATCCTTGTCCTCGTCTTTGTCGACATCGGCAGCGGTGCGGTCGTACGAGCACCATTTCGACTGGATCACCGACCTGCTCTGGTGCCCGTACCTCGAGCCCCCCAAGCAGGAGAAGCAGGATGCGGCCAAGCTGGCGGCGCAGGAGACGAAGCGGGCGAAAAAGATGCGCAAGAAGCGGAGAAAGCAGCTCGAGGCGGGGCTCGACGACGACGAGATCGAGGCCAAGCAGGCGGCGCGGGACGAGGCGGAGCGCGAGACGGGGCGGAGCCGGCTGGTGTGCACGAGCGGCGATGGGAGCCTGAGCGTCGTCGATATCCGGATGGGCGGGAGCAAGGCGGCCGAGGTGTCCGAGGACCAGGAGGACGAGCTGCTCAGCATCGCCCCCGTCAAGGGCGGCTCGAAGCTCGTCGTCGGCACGCAGCTCGGCATGCTCAGCCTCTGGGCCCCCTCGCGCGGCCTGCTCGACCACGTCGACCGCATCCCCGGCCACCCGGCCTCGGTCGATGCCGTCGTCCCGCTCGACTTCGACACGGTCCTCACCGGTTCCAGCGACGGCCTGGTCCGCGTCGTCCAGATCCTGCCGCACAAGCTGCTCGGCATCATTGCCGATCACGGCGGCCTGCCCGTCGAGAGGATGAAGAGAAAGGACCGATGGGTCGCCAGCCTGGGCCACGGCAACGAGTGCAAGATCACAGACGTCGGGCCGCTCCTCGAGGCCGACGACGGCAGCGACGGCAGCGACGACGACGACGACGACGACGACGAGGAAGACGACGACGAGGAACCGCTGGGGCTGCAAGGGTTGAAACAGGTCGGGTCGGGCACAGAGTCGGAGTCGGATGACGAAGACGAGGACGACGAGGACGAGGAACGGCAAGGTGGATCCGTCCAAGAAGATAGCGACGACGACGACGACGACGAAGAAGACGATTCGGACGACTCGGATGACGATCAAGACGAGCGGCCACAGGGGAAACTCAAAAACAAGGCCCAGTGGCACGTCACGCCCTCGTCGGGCAACGAGAAGACGCAAAAGGATCGCGCCGACTTTTTCGCCGACCTCTGAAACCAAAGCCATTTTCCCGCATGCTTGGCCCTGATACCGGATCCTTGCGATGGCGACATGAGAAGCTCGCAGTGCTCTGCAAACGCGATACGGGGGGACTGAAACTGTTCATTGGGCAGACGAGATCATGTGACGGAACGTCGAGGAGCGCTTATGCAACGTGTAGATGGGGAGGCGTCATAAAAGGTCGTCAAATGGGGAATATGGACAATGAACCTGGATCAAGGGGAGGCCACGTCTAGCAGTGGGGCGAGGTGGGACGGGCCGTCATCCTCGGCGCTCCCTCAAATCCTCCTGGCTGCGCAACCTCGCCCTCTTCTGCAGCTCCCTCGTGCTCAGCGACGATGACGTCGGCGCCGTGAGGCTCGGGCCGCTCTGAGCCCACCCGTGCATCTGCCCTCCTCCTCCGCCTACATGGGCCGTGGCGGTGGAAGGGCGGGAAGGGAGCATGTTGCTCGTCGTCGAAGGTCGAGACGGGAACGCCATCGTCATCCTCGTGCCGGCGCCTGCGTGCATACCCGAGAAGGGAGGAGGTGCGGAGGGCTGGATGGGGAGGGACGGGTTCGATGCAGACGCCTGCAGAGGTCGAGGACTGAGTCGCCGGTGGTGTTCGGTGGCTGCCGTCGTGCCGAATTCTCCGCTTCCGACGCCGGGCGAACGCGGAGGCGGGTGCGCGTACTGGTGCGGGTACGACGAGGGAGGCAGGGCTTGGTTCTGTCGCCACTGTTGCTGCAGCGCCTTTGTGCTCGTCGAGCCGCCCGCGTTCGCCATCGGCTTGGGCGTAGACGGCAAAGAATGGGCAGGGGCACAGCTGCCGGCAGCGAGCCCTACGCCTCCGCCGCTGCCTCCTCCCTGCCACGGTCCTGCGGATGGGACAGCAAGGGGCGAAGCAGTGGCAGCAGTCGACGGCCGACCCTGGAAGCTCCTCTTTGCTTCCCGCGCAGAAGGGTAGGCATTCGCGACGCCTTTCTCTTGGGTCTGATCGCGGATAGCGGGCCCGTCAGCCCAGGCGGGGAAAGACGACGCGGGAGCCGCCCGCGCCCGCGATCCGTCGGAGTGCGTTCGAGCTCGCACATGCTCATTTGTGAAGCGCGGCGGATCCTCGAGCTGCATTCCTGGCAGGTCCGAGTCGACGAGCTGTCGGTACGCGCCAGCGGCGACGGGAGCAGCAGGGAAGGCTTCGACCCCCGGCGAAGGCGGCGCGTGGAAAGCGACGGGTGTCGCCGCCGCCTCAGAGGCAAACTGCCTTCCTTCGCGACCCGTGCCGTATCGAGGGCTAGGCGTGCGCAGCACCTCTTCCTGGCTCGCCTCGCCCTGAGGCATAGGGTCGCAGAGCGGTTCGGGGCTCCGGCGCAGAAGCTCTGGGATCGCCTGGCCTAGGTTGTAAGTGGGCGGCGTGGCGTGGGACATGGCGTACTGGTTCACATCGGAACCGCCCCTAGGCGCATTGGCGACTTGTAGAGGCGATGGAACGTTCCGAGAGGCCTGCGCCGACTGTACCGGCACCCTGCTGCTGGCAAACGAGCCCATGCGACCTCGGTCGGTGCTGCCGGGAACAGTCTTGGATTCAGGCGCCAGGCGACGCGATGGAGATCGAGCGGGCAGAAGAGGCTTCGATCCCGCGCCCAGGAACGCAGACAGGCGGTTTTGGGCGTTCTTGAGCGAACCCTGAGACTTGGGCATCGACGAGAAGCGCTGCTTGGTGGGCGATGTATCAGATCGAGGCCTGCACGAGGAGCGAGGATGCAGGATCCAGACGGTCAGCTAGGCCCGGTCGGAAGAGTCAGAGAGAAAGACCAGAATGAGAGGTCGAGACACGAAGCATCCAGAGAAGAGAGGGGAAGAGCGAGGACGAGAACGATGTGTCGTGAGGACGGAGAGGGTGAGAGTGTGAGTGGTAAGGGAGGTGAGCTGAGCAGCATGGGTGAGTAGAAAACGGCGTCGGGTAGAGAGAGAGAAGAGCCGTGGTGACTCAGTGAGCGAAACCCGGGGCGAGAGGGAAGGAGAGGGAAAAAGGGCTGAGGTTGAGAGCAGCAGAGGGCAGAGCGAAGAGGCGAGATCCGGCGACCGGCGACACAGGCTACGTGGCGACAGAGAGCTAGAGAGAGACAATGGATGTGACGGCTATCGCCGTCAACGGCTGAGAAGAGCAGAGATGAGATGATTTGAGAGGCAAAGAGAGGAGAAGGATAGAATGGACAAGAAGGGCAGCGTGAAAAGGGGGCCAGGACATGGCACAGGGTGTGACCCACTGCGTCCGAGACCGGAGGTCTGCTGTGCCGGCCCTGGTGGTCGTCGCTTTCAAAAGAGGAGGCTCCCATAGGACCTCCTGCAAGTGGGTCGTGCGTGTCATGGCATTGCCCGCTCGTAAGCAGGCATCGAGGTCGTACGCCGCGTGGCAGCGTTGGCAGCAGCACCGCGGGCGAGGCTTGGGTATGAGGGGATGCGGTCTCCCCCAGCCTGACATGACCGGCGCAAGCTGGCCAAGTCCGGCTCGAAGGACGGCAGACCTGCTCCATGAGCAAGACAGGAGCGCAAGGCGGCCAGAGGAGAGGCCGAGGAGGGTAGGAGATAATGGAGTCGAGAAGAGAGAGGGGAAGAGAGAGAGAGAGAGAGAGAGAGATGAAAGAAGAGAGTGGAAAATGCTGCACGCTTCCTTACAGTCCTGTTGCATCTGGCGTTGTTGGCTGGCCCCCAGAGAGGTTCATGAGGATGGCGGCATCCCTGGCCGTCAGCTGGTCGGTGTTTTGCCGCGCCTTGGCACGCTGTGTGCGGGCTCGGCTAGTCGGCGACGGCGGCCGCGGCGGCGGGTTCATCCTCTGTGCCTCCTTGAGCGACATCGTGGCGTTGTTGTAGGACGAGATGACGGGGACTGTTTGCCAAAGGACGTGCGCGCGGATGGTGCATATCGGTCAGTATCGTTTCGACGTGACCCTGCGCCAGGCAAGGGGGCGACTGGCCAGCTTGGCCTTCACTCACATGAATGGTCCCTGCCGATGGTCGCCTTCATCAGCCCCTTCATCCACTCGCGCACCAGGATCGGGTCTTCGGAGCTGAAGTAGTGCGGCTTCTCGGTCTCGTGAAGGATCTTGAAGCCGTACTTGCCCGGGTTCGTGTTCTCGTCGGCGATGACCTTGTAGCCCTTCATGCTGACGTAGCCCTTGATCTTCTCGGCCTGCGGATCGCGGAGGATGACGAGGTCCGACCCTTTGAGGGCGAGATACCTGGGCTTCCACGAGTTGTAGCGCTCGCCCTTCTTCCTCATCCATCCCTCGAGGTCGACGGGCCTGATGCGCGCCATCACGGGGCCTTCAGAGTTGGCGGCGGCGTTGTTGGCGGCGCCCGGACCGACGCCAGCCGCGGCGGCGTTCCAGTCGTTGGGCTGTGCGCCAGCTCCGGCGCTGCCGACGCTGGCCGCGCGGCCGTGCTTGGGCTCGGCTGTGCCAGTAGAGGTGCCGCTCTGCGCACTCATCCTGCTGCGTCTGGCCATGTCGCCATTGCCGTCAAAGTTGGGGCTGGTAGTAGGCAGCGAGATGGCGTTCTTCATGTCGCTGTTCGAAGCCGCCTGAGACGGGATAGATCGGCTGCTGCGGGCGAATCCGAGGCGCGAGAGGGTGCCCTTGCCGTGCCGCTCGTCCTCGGCGACACTGCCCGGAGCCATGACCTTCGGCGGCGGCTTCCGGTTCCTCTGGCCGATGCCGAAGAAGCTGGTGCGGTCGCCGCCGCCGCCGCGCGAGTGACTGCTAGATCCGGCCGACTCGCGCTTTCGCGGAGACGCAGGCAGCGCTCCCAGCGTGTCCTCGTTCGACCGGGTCGAACGCCGGTTCTTGGCTCCCAGCTGCCTCTCCGCCAGGGCGGCAAGAGGCTCGTCGTCGTCGTTGCTGTAGCCCTCGGAAGGATTCTGGGACGGCACGCGGCTTCTCTGACTGGCCTGCTGGGCCTGCCACGCCGCGATGCCGCCGGCTCCGGTGTACGCCTGGCCGTTGCTGCTGACACCCTCGCCGATCGAGCTAGCCGGACGGCTGTGGCTGCCGTTGAGCGCGGACGAATCGTAACTGGCGTCGGCGACACGCTGCTTGACGCTCTGGGAGTCGGCCCAGCTTCCTGGACCAGTGGGCCCCGGGGCAGGAGCATGGGGGCTCTGAGGAGGCATGAGGGCATCGGTGGGAGAGAATGGAGCGGCGCTCTGCACGCCCAGCCCTCCAGGACTGCCCGGCATGCCCGAGATGGCCGGCGTGGCGAGCTGCTCGGCGCCAGGCACCATCTTGCGCAGCTCCTTGATCGCATTGGCCACCTGGAAACGCTTGCCGAACGCGATGATGTCGATCTCCTTGAGGATGTTGACGTCCATCTCGAGCAGGACGTCTCCTGTGATCTCGTGCTCCACGAACTTGCTGAGGACGCTGTTCTCGTCCCAGCCCTTGGACCTGCCCCAGTCGACCACCTGCTCGACGGTCCACTCGGTCGGATCGGCAGGTCTCGGGCCGCTCGTGACGCTCTGCGAGGGACTCTGCACGCTCGTCGAGAATGGTACGCCGGTGCTCTTGGGCGTCTCGGGCCCGCCGCCGGCCAGCGAGGTAGCCGCGGTCCCGACGGTGCCGGTTCCGCCCGCAACGCTCTCGTCGGCAAGGGATCCGCGTCCTCGCGAGCTTTCATCGACGCTGCGTTGGTCGGTGGGCTTGCTGTCCGTCGAAGGATCGGCCTTCCTGTGAGCCAGTGGCACTGGCGACGTCGACCGAGAGGTGATGGTGATGGTGCCAGCAGTGGCGCCGAGCGCAACCGCCCCAACACCGGCCGTCATCGCCGCGACTGGACCGGCGCTGCTGTCGGCGTCCGCAGTCGCCGTTGGCGCCGCAGCTGGCGTGGGTGCGGCCTCCGGTTGAGCGGAACTCGGTGGCACGATTTCGGGCTCAGCAGCGTCGGCCGCTGCGGCTGCGACGGCAGGTGCCGCTGGACTCGAGGCCGGTGGCGCTGCTGTCGCATCCTCGGCTGCGGCGGCTTCATCCGGCGTCTCCTCCGGCAGAGGCTCCACGACGTTCTTGAGGCTAGACCCGCCCGCCCTGCCTGCATCTTCGGATGGCTTTTGCGCAGTCGCAGAGGCAAGATTGCCGAAGAGTGGGCTATGGGTCTTGTCGCCGAAGTCGTCGAGGTCACCGGCGCTCCCTTCGCTGTCGCTCTCGTCGCTCATGTCGACTCCGGCGATTGGGGCCACCTTGGGCTTGTCGTCCCTGCTGAAGTCGAGGGTGCCCGCCGCGGCCTGGGCCTGTCGCTCTCTCTCCTTTTCGAGGAGCAGGTCGCGCTGGCGCGCTTCCTCCTTTTCAAACTCCCGCATCGCCTCCTCGCGCCTCCTCTGCTCGTTCTGGCGCTCCTTCTCCTGGGCCGACTGGAGATCCCTCTGGGCATTGACGGCCAGCGCTGCGCGAGCAGCGGCTGAGCGGCTGGCGTAGTCGTCGGACGAGGGGTTGTAGATCTCGGAGGCATCGTCGTTGGTCATGTCGGCCGTGCGCTCGCTCGTGAATGAGGCTCGTGAGCCGTCGGGGGCGTCGATCGACTTCCGTCCGCGCCTCCGGTCGCTCTGGAGTTCCGTCAGCGCATTGTCAATGTCGGCCATCGTGCTGTGCATCACGCCAGGTTTGTTCGAGGCCTGCTGCGGTGTGGTTCCGGGCTCGGCAGAGCTGCTGCCCGTCTGCGCCACCAGTGCTTGGCTCTGATCCAAGGTGGTGTAGGTGAACGGAAACAGGCCAGACTCGCCGCGGATGTTGGTGCCCTAGATCGCGGGAGCGGAGCGTCGGGAGCAGAGAAGAGCACGAATAGAAGCGTCAGCAAGGCCAGCTCCCACATCGCGCTACTGCTGGTACTGTGAACGGCCCTTTTGCGCTCGCCGGACCCGCCACAACAGCAGAGCCACCGCTACTCACCTGCCACCAGCCATCGCCGTAGGCGTCGTCCTTTTCGATCACAATGATGCACTCGCCAGCCTTGAACGAGACCTCGTCCGGGTTCTCCGCCTCAAAGTCGTGGAGAGCCCACACCTTTTCGCCGGCCATCTTGCTAGCTCGCGCGGGGTGAGGTGCTTGACAGCCGTTCAGAGAGGAGAGAAGAGGAGCCCTGTCTCGCGGGATCGACGTAATGAGCGGATCGAGGAATCGAAAGCACGCCAGGCGGAAGACGCAGAGAAGGTCGAAGGAAACACCGAGCTCGTGTAGAGTGCTGTCGCGGGCAGTCGATGGTCGATCCGGGTTGACGCTGGCGCTTTATAGGGGATCGAGGCGTGGGACCGAGTGGCTTTGCAGCGGGGTCAGCCGGGCGTCGGGCGAGCACAATGAAGCTGACCGCCTTGTGTGGACTCGAGCGTGTTGGGCGCGCTGGCGCAAGGGTGAGGTGGGCGTTGCTGAATTTGCAATGCGTTCTCGCTTCCCGGGCGACCGGACGTGGGCGTGGCGCTGCTGCGGAGGCTTGGATGCGTCGGGCAGACCGAAGAGGGCGGGCCGAACGCGCGGCGTCAGGAGAGCGGCACGGAGAAGCCGATAGAGAGTCGTCCCTTCGCAGTACGTAGTGACGAAGCGCGTCCTTCGGAAGTGCCGCAAGTCGTACCAGACTGAACTCTGACTGCGAGAGTCGGCAGGTCCGAAGCGCACGAAGCAATGGCGCAACTCGCGGAGGCTGGAGGGCGTGGTGTAAGCCGGCTGAGCGTTGACTGTTGCTGCCGCCTCCTGCGCCTGTCGAGCTGGCAGGATGAGACCGAGGGTATAAAGGGACGTCGATATCGTTGGATGTGGTAGAAGGGAAGGGGAGGCGAGGGGGGCCAGAAGCAAGCAGGTTGGGCAAGGCCAGGTCAGGTCAGGCGAGACGACGGCAAAGCCGGGCTCCACGGGGCCACGTCGGGACCTGGTCCCACTCCCGCGCGTCGGCAGGCCTGGCCTGGACAGACCTCCAGGGCCAGCGAAGGACAGGCCGGCAGGCTGGCCCGGACTGGCTGGCTGGTTGGCTGGCTGGCTGACCGCCCCGGCCTGGCGGCCCTGCCTGGCTTCGCGACTCGCCTGGCAGGCCGGCGTGCATGGGCCCGTCCGCAAAGAGAGAGCTCGAGGTTAGAGCCTGCCTTTGGCCCAGGCCCAAGCCCAGCCCAAGTCCCCGCCGGTTTCCCGAAGAGGCACAGGCTCAACAGAGCCAGCAGGCGGCGTCATCCGGCGCCAGCACAAACGTGCCCGCTCGAGCCCAAATCGCCTGATTGAGCGTGAGCCTGCCAAATCGAGAGCGACCAACCAGGGGCATCTCTTCCATCATCGAGAGCGGATCGGATCGTCCGTCGCGAAGTGGTCTGCGCGACGAGCGAGCGAGCAAGCAAGCTAAGCGTCGTTGCTCAACCATCGTCCCAAGCCAGCGGGGCGGTGGCCGTCTGATGGAAGCATCGGGCACGCCGACCAGCAGAGCGCGACGCCGGACGGATCTGGTCCGCGGCACGACCGTTCGCCTGGCAGGTCAGGCCAGGCCAGGCCAGGCCAGGCCTCCTCAGCAGGGCGCCTTGCCATCCGGCGACGACCGCGGCCGGCTCGAGCAAGGAGGTGCTCGTCTGTCGTCTGTCCAGAAGCTTCTTGCCAGCCAGCAGGCTAACCATATGCATCTACGACGGGCCACCACCGCTGCAGCTTGCGGACCCTCCGTAGCTACCGTGGCTAGCCCCACTTTCACGCAGGAGACGAGTGCCTTAGCGCGATGCACGCGTAGCCTGGCCTGGCCTGGCCAGGCCAACTCCTTGCAGAAGCGCGCGTGCTCAGCAGTCAGCGACCCCACGCCGAACCGTTTTGGCCGGCTCCTCGGTGCTCCGTCTTTGGAAGGCTTTCCCCACCTCTTCGGTAGGCCCGCACCGGCTCGCTGTTCTCCACGGCGAGCCGTCGACGTCGTACCGGTCCCGCCACACTCCAGCGGCTCCACACAGCGAAAGGTCCTCCCGAACCACCAGAAGAAGAAAAAAACTAGCCATGAAAAAGAAATCTCCCAACGTGGGGCTCGAACCCACGACATTCAGATAAAGGTCTGTGATGATCACAGAGGCTCTTGGGGATAAGAGTCTGACGCTCTACCGACTGAGCTAGCCGGGAAGGAGTTGTAAGCGGCGGAGAAAGTTGCATATATATAGAAGCAAGGTTTTGTCAGACTGCCATCCAGGAACCTTCCGCGCACATTCTAGGCTCGAGACGGAGCGGGCAAGCTGGCAACGCGGCACTCGATGGCCATGTATTCCTCTCCTCCCCGTCCGCCGCTGCCGTCTCGTCGCCACGGAGGAGCTACTCTGGCTACAGCAGATCGTCGTCGTCGGCATCGTCGCCGCCGACCTTTTCCTCGTTCCTCTCTGGGGCAGGGGGAGACGCTTGCTGCTGCTGCTGCTCTCCATCGACCGTCTTGGGCGCAGACACCGACGAGGCGGCCACGAATGCCGGTTGCCGCACGGCGGTGCCGTTGGCCGCGGCCGCCTGGTTCTGCGCCTCCAGGCGCGCCATCGGGTCGGCGGCCATCGGCGAGGCTGCTGCTGCGCCGTCGGCTGAGGCGGCGCCCAGCTTGTTGCGCTGCGCCGCAGACATGGCGGATGCGGCGATGTACGACACGTCCGTGTTGAACTGCGCCTGCACCGATCGCTTGATCCGCACTGGTGCGCAGGGAGGGTAGACAGGGTCGAGGCAGCACGGTTAGCAGGCTGGCTCGCCGTGGCCCGAGGAGGCGGACAGGGGACCAGCGGGCACTCACGCATCTCTCGGAACGTGTCCTCGGATCCCGTCTCGATCTCGAACTTGTTCCACTCCTTCCAGAACTCGGTTTGCGTCTGAACGACGACAGGGAGCGAAAAGCAATTGGTGAAGCGTTGGCGAGAGGAGCGCGGGCGTCAGCGCGGGATTCCGGCCTTCCGAGGCCACGGGCACGAGCGATCCGTCCTCGACTCACCCTCGGGTCGCAGAACTGCGAGGCATGCGCGTAGATGGCGCGCGCCCGGTCGATCTCGCCCAGCTTGCGCTCGAGGTTGGCAAAGCGCAGACACATGTCGGCCGTCTGCCGGTCCGGCAGCGACTCGATCGCCCGCTCGTAGATGGGCCGCGTCGCCGCCAGGCCAAAGTTGGCGGCCGCCTTGGCAATGTAGAAGGCGTACATCTGCTCCGAGAGGGGCATGCAAGGGGAAAAGACAAGCCGGCGGTTAGCAAAGTCGCTTCGGTCGCCACGGTCTCCCAGCATATCCGCGGGGCGGAGGAACTCACGTCGAAGCGGTCGTCGGTCGAGACCATGCGGGTGGCGCGGTCGTAGATGTTCATGGCGCGCTTGGCCAGGCCGTGCTCCTCCTCGAGCTTGCCGTACATGAGCAGGATGGGCTTGCAATACTTGGGCGGGCACTTGTCGAGCGCCTGCTCAAAGAGGTCGCGCGCCCGCTCGAGCTTGCTGCCGCCGTACCGCTTGACAAACTTGCTCAGGTAGACGTTCCACAGCTCAAAGGCGACCGGGTAGGTGAACACTTCAACGCCGCGTTCGTAGACCTTGAAGCTCTCCTCGTAGTACTGGTGGTCCTCGAGGAAGGCCGCGTAGTTGATGATGATCTGGGCGTTGGCGATCTTGAGCTCGAGCATGCGGTCGTAGACGCGCTTGGCGCTCTCGACGTCGCCGAGCGACTCCTCGAGGTCGACGTAGAAGCTCCACAGCTTGAGCGACTTGAACAGGCGCACCTGCGGCGGCAGCGAGTCGTCGTGGTAGGCGACGTTTTTCGTGTTGCGCGGCGTCGCTACGCTGCGCGCCATGACCCGGATCGCCTCGTCGTAGTTCGAGTGGCGCACCTCCATCTCGGCCCACTCGCACCACACCTCGGCCAGGTCGTCGACCTTTTTAAAGGGCACCGTAATGGCGCGCTCAAAGATCTTGCGCGCCGAGGCCAGGTCGGCCTCGACCGACGCCGGGTCCGCGCGCCCCGCCGAGCCGCCCTCCTCGTAGAAGCGCGCAAAGTTGAGAAAGAGCTGGTGGTAGTTGGCCGTCGCCTTGCGCGGGTTGACGGTGTCGATGGCACGGCGGTAGGTCTCGATGACCTGCTCGTCGTCGTCGCCGTGCAGCGCCACGCGCTTCTCCCACTCCTGCACGTCGTCCGGGTTCCTGCGCAGCAGCACGTCGTTGACCAGAAACGGCCGGCGCTCCATGAGCTCCTCGAAATCCTTCATCCTCTGGTCGAGCTCGGCCTCCTTGTCCTCGCGGCTCTCGCCCTCGCCCTCGTCGTCGTCGCCTTCGTCGTCGTCCTGCCCCGCGTCGCCGGCAAGGTCCTCCATCATAAACGAGATGACGTTCTCGCTCGTCTCGGCGTAGGCATCAAAGATCTGGGTAAAGTCGCGCACCGTGACGACGGAGCGGATGCCCTCCTCGAAAGTCTCCTTGGCCGTCTCGAGCTCGCCGCGCTTGATCCAGTAGGTGGCGAGCCCGGTCCAGAGGCGGCCTGCCTGGTCGGGGTACTTGGCGAGCCCGTCGTTGCGGACGATGGCGCCCACGTTGAGACGGCTCCGGTCCATCGGATTCGTCTCGGGCGAGAGCGGTGCCGGCGCTGGTCGAGCAGCGCCCCTGGATGCTCGGCCTTTTGCGGCCTGACCTGGCTTGGTGAGCGCGAGCTGGCTGTCGGAGGCTGTCGCCGACGAGCTGGACGCTCTTGCCGCTTCGGCCTCCTTCTCCTCCTCGGGGCTGATGCCGATCTCTTCCGGGTACTTTTCGGTCAGCTCGAGCCATTCCACGAGCAGTTGGTATGGGCTCTTGCCGTCTGGGCTCGTGTAGCTGCCGTCGGCTGCGCTCCTCGCCAGCCGGAGCAGCAGCTTGGCCGCTTCGAGCGCCTTGGCGCCTGGACCCTTTGTCGTGGCTCCTTGACCTGCCTCGCCGTCGTCGTCGTCGGCGTCCTCGGCCTCGGCTGCCTCGTCTTCGGTCTGGGCGAGGAGAATGGCTACGTATCGTTCGATCAGGCTGGGATCGACGCGCAGGTACCGCCTCCAGACGCGGAGGCAGGTTTCGCCGCCGACGCGCTCGGCCCATCGCAGGTAGACCTTCCAGATGCGCAGGTGGAGCGATCCCGGGAGCGTGCGCAGCGCCCGGTCGAATGTCCTGCGGGCGTGGGTGTGGGAGAGGATGGGAGGACACTGCGGGTGGAGGAAGATGGAGAGGTACTCGAGCCAGACCCTGGGCATCTGATGCGAAGAATCGACGCGCAGCAAGACGGCGTGGCAGAAGAGGAGGGGGGAGAGGGGGTCAGCTTCGGTGCGATGCACGATGGCCTTTGGAACGACCGAGGAGGGGCGCACGCACCTTTGGCAGCCACATGAGGGCGCGCTCGTAGCATGCTGCGAGGCTGCGCCACTCGATCCAGCCCGCGATGCCGTCGAGGCCGGCGGTGTAGGCGGGGCCATAGTCCTGGTGTTCGTTCGCTTCGAGCAGGGTGGGACCAAAGTCGACGCCCTCCTTTGATGCCCGTAGGTCGCGCTTCCGCTTTGCCTCAAAGCCGCCCTTTGGCTCTCCGAGGACGAAGCGGGAGCGGAGCTGGAGGTAGTCGGTCCAGAGCGAGTAGCGGGTGGGGAACTGGGCGAGTGCACGCTCGTAGATGCTGGTGATGCGCTGCAGGGCGAGGCGCTGGGAGGCGCTGGCGAGCGGGCCTAGCAGGGCGATCTGTGCCGAGGAGAGGTTGGAGTCGGGAGTTGCGCGCTTCTGCACGTTTGTGTCGACGATGTGGTTGATGTAGGAGGCCCAGGAGCGAAGGTTGTCGGGATTGCGCAGCAGCTCCTGCTCGAGGGCAATGTCGGACGCGGGCACGATGTCGAGATTGGCCGACGGGTCAGGGAAGGGGACCGTGAGCGGAAACAGGGCGGCAATCTGCTCAAAGGGACCGTCGGCAGCTTGCCGCTCGCCGTTGCCGGCTGTGGCTACTCTGGATGGCATCCTCGGTCCTGTTCCGACGAGACGGCGAGGTCGAGTCGGGGCTGCCCGTCGGCACGGTCCGGCCGGTGGATCCGGGCAAGGGTGAGTGAGTGGGCGCGATGGCTGGGCTGGCTTCGGCAGATGCCGATGCAGTTGTCGTGGAGGTGAGGCGATAGGTAGGCCGTAAATGGGGTTGCTTGGCTGCGACTGGACGTGGTGGAAAGAGGCGAGCAGGGGTCGAGGCTGCGACAAGGCCTGCAACCACGGCTGCCTTTCGCGTCTTCCGAAAAGCCGCTGCCTGGCCAGGCCAGGCCCGGGCTAGACCTCCACTCGTCTACCGGCCGGGTTGATGAGGGCCTGGCCCAAGCTAGACCCTGGAACCGCCTGCCCACCACCGACGGGAAAAAGCCTCCGAGCGCCGTCGGGAGGGTTGGGCCAGCCAGCGCAAGGCCAGCAGGGCCAAAGGGCTCCTCAGCTTGCATGTGGCCAGGCCTCGCCCTCCGACGAGGTGTCTTTGACAGCCGCCCACCATCCCGCCACCGTTGCAGCGACGACGATTACGACGCCGCCTCTTTTCGGTTCGCCATGGTCCCACAGCAAGCCGGCCTTGCTCAAGCCTAGTCTCGCTCACCACCGCCGGCCTCCTACCACGAGGGTGCCGCCAAGCTCAAGCAGAGGCCTCAGGCACTAACGACACCTCGGGCGACATATCACCTAAAAAAAAAAGGCTCCGAGGCAGTCGGACGGCGCCGCAATATCCTTCCCTGCTTGCTACGCTAGCTTACCACGTTGCTCTCGACGCCTCCAGCCCACATCGACTGCCGCTTTCCTCGACTTCCGCTGCCTAGCCTGCCCTTCGACCTTCGCTGCGCCATTATCGCCCCCCGCCCTTGCCATGCTGGCCCAGATGCCGCCAGCGTTGCCGGCGCATGGCAACTCGGTCGCACCAGGGACAGCATCGTTTTCCCCGTCATCGCCCTCGCCCTCGCCCTCGCTATCACCGTCAGCATCGCCGGTCTCGTCGTTTGTTAGCGCCGGACCGACGCCTCGACGCAACCCTTCCGATACGCTGCGTTCCTCTGGCATGTCTAGCACCACAACTGCCGCCGCCGCCTCAGCTGACACCACGCGGACCGCGTCGCCAGCTCGCACATCGGTCACACCTGCCTCGTCTCACGCCCCATCAGCATCGCCTTCCGCGTCATCGCCCGGATCCGCATGTGCTTCGACCAACGGCACCCGCTCGAACGTAAAGCTGGCGCACGATGCTGCCGCCGTCCGACCTCCATCGTCCCACCCCTCGCCTTCCAGGCCCAATCGGGCCATCCTGGGTCCAGACGGCCAATACTACACGCCTGGAGAAGCCGCTAAGCTTGGCCTCACCATCAGAACTGCCTGCGAGGCCTGCCGCACCCGCAAGCTCCGTTGCAGTGGCACGCCGCCGGAGCAGGGCGGCTGCCAGCGCTGCAGCAGCGACGCCATCCCCTGCATCTACACCGCTCGGGCTCCCATCGGCAGGCCAAAGAAGCGCAAGGTCGAACAGGGCGACGAAGATGCAGACAAGCCCGCATCGGCCGAGGTCCGCCAGGCCAGGCCGAGCAGCAAATTGTCCTCCGTCAAGTCGTCGACCGACCCATCGAGCCGCGTAGGCAAGGCCCGCCCGCAGAAGAAGCAGGCGAAGGCTGTGCAGCATTCCGCGAGGGAACGGCAGCCTGCCGCGCTGCACGAGATCAAGGGCGAAGCAAGTGCTTCCTTACGGCATGGTTCTATGCCAGACTCAGTTCCCTCCGACTTCGCCCAGCTCCTGTCTGCTGCGGCTGCCGTCCATGGGCAGGCCGACGCGGCAGAAGACTCGCAGCACTCGAGCGCCAGCCAGGCCCCACGACCTGGTCTGCTGCCCCCAGAACGACACCATCTTTCGCACGCGCCTTCCTATCTGCCCTCTCATCCGACTCCTTCTCACGCAGGGAATGCGCCATCCCACTCCCCTTCGACTGGACCCGTCGAAACTGCTCTTAGTCACGCGGATTACCTCGGGAATTCCCCTTTCAGGCCAGCTACCGCCTCATTCGCCCAGCCTTCCAGCATGTCGCCACACGACCCCAGCGTTCCGTCACTCGACGACCTCTCCATTGCCGCGTTCCTCCAGTCGCTCGACACGCTCGAGATCGAACCATCCGAGCTTCTCAATCGACACGTCGGTGCCGCGGGCAATAGCGTTGACCGCTCGCGCTCGACCCTGAAAGCTCCTGATAGTGGCGGCGGCATGGTCATGGGCTCGGCTGGATCATCCTGGGCGAACGGCCACCAGCCTTCCTTTCCCACGTCGACGCGCCAGTCGGCGTTTACGAGTTCCCGGGAGCAGACAGCAGATCATACCCTCGCACTGCCTCCATCTGCGACGGCGACTCCCGGAGTCGACGCGATATCCGCAGAGGACCTAGAGGCGCAGTTCAACGAGTGGTCCTCGAGCAGTGCCATCCTGCAAGATGGCCTCAGCTTCGCCGTCCCCGCCGACTTCTCCTGGTGGGATCTCGGCCCGAGCCTCGATCCAGACCTGTCTAGCACCGCGGCGACGCCAGCGAACGAGTTGGCTCAGGCTGGACCCTGGGGCCCTGTCTCGCGGCCCCCCTCGCGCTACCTGGTGAAGGACCCGCCATCGCATCGCCGCAACGACCCGGCTGCGCGACATGGGCAGGATTGGAGCAACAGGGCGGCGCATGCGGGCCTACAGCTGTCGACGAGGTGGCCTCGGGGTGCAGAGAACGGCATGGGCCAGGGGCAGATTCAAACCACTGGCAATGCATCGGCAACCGGCCTGTCCTGGGCGTCGATACCCCTGAGCCCTGTAGGGCCCAGCACCGCCCAACCTGCAGCGTCGGGACCCGCAACGAGCGACTGCGGCAGTCCCTCAGCAAGATCTTCCACCGCCGCCGCCGTCGAGGCGCAGCAGTCTGCTGGCCCGAGCGTCGATGCCGGAACGGTCAAGCCTTGCTGCTCTTCAAAGAAGGCGGCTGCCGACGGATCCGGCCCGATGGCAGCTCACCAAGAAACGGCCGTGTCGCAGGACAGCGTTCTGGATCCATCTGACTCTTGCTGCAGCAAGGACAGGAGCAGCGTCGCCTCGACAACGACGCCGACAACAGGTCGGCCGGTGCCAAGCTGCTGCTCAAAGAAGAAGGACGCCACCCCAGATCACGTCACGTCGGCTTCGACGACGAAGGCGCCAGGCACACAATCCGACGCAGGCGCGCACGCCGCGGATGGCAAGCCGCTCTCGTCCTCGTCTTCGTCGTCGCCCAAGTCCCAGCCGAGCAAGGTGCACTGCGTGCCCAACCCGAGCGGCAAGGGCTGCACCTGCCTGTGCGACATGAGTGTCGCGCTGCTGAGCGTCAAGCGCACGCTTCGGGAGACTGCGAGCCCGCACGTCGCCGCCAGCGGCGGGTCCTCGCAGGTCAAGCAAGAGGACGATGGCGACTCGGGCGAGGCTGGCTCGTCGACCGACAGCGCACCGCGCAGGAGAGCGGCGGCGGCGCGCGCCGCCAGCACGACAATCCAGCTGACCCTGAGCGCGAGCCAGGCGATCGCAGCGCAGTGCGCCTGTTCGGCGGACTGCCCCACGTGCCGTTCGGATCCCAGCACCGAGATCAGCGCGAGCCTGCTGGTCTCTACGGCGCTGCAGATCTACGCGCGGGCGGTGCGCACGCTGAGGGAGGGCTTCGCGGCGGGCGGCGCCTTTGCCGTCGTCGGCGGAAGCGGGGCGGCGGGCCCGGGCGGGCTGGACGTGCGGATCGGCGAGTACAAGCCGGCGCCGGCCAATGCGCGGCGGATCGCGCTGTTTGCCATGAAGCTCGAGCTCAAGGATCTGAGCGCGGCGCTGGGCAAGATTTCGAGGATGGCGCAAAAGACCCGACAGCGCACCGACCCCAGTGCGCGGGGCGAGGAGGAGGCGAGGTCGCAAGGAGGCGAGGGGGCGCCGAAGTCCAACGACGGTGCCTCTGGCGGGGCGACAACTACCACGGCGACGGCGACGGCGACGGCGCCGGACGCCAGCTGGATGAATCCGATCGACCAGCTCGTCATCCTCAAGCTGCACCAGCAGCTGGGCGAGCTGCTCGCCACCGTCGAGAACCTCGAGGCGCAGTCGAGCGTTCAGCCCGCGAGCGGTCACAGTCACCACCACCATGACCAGGACCACCATCAGCAGTCGCACGTCCAGCCGCGCTCCGTCCTCATGCAGTGATAGCCGTTGTTGGTTTCGGTCTCTTGCTCGCCTTGCCTGCTCGCTGTAACATCATGTACGACCATCTGCTGAGCCTTGATGGCATCTCTCACCGTTCGACTTGGATTGCACGTCTGTATGCTCAACGAGAAGGAGAGGAGAAGGGACGGCATCACTCGCAGATGAGAGCGACTGCTGGACCGATTGCAGAGGATGGAGATCTATCGACGGCACACAGGCAGGCCGTTGCAGTGGAGGGCTCGGCCGAGGCCTCGACATAGAAAACCACAGCATGGCTGCTACCGCATCGGAAGCATCAGCAACGAGCTTGATGTAGCAAGGGAGGGTCGAGGAAGCAACCAAGCAAGCAAGCGAGTACCACTTTAGGCAGGACGCATGCTACCCGTTGATCCTGTCACCCTGCAGGTCTTCATCGCCTTGTCCAGCAGAGCAAGCGTAGATAAGACGTTGTCAGGTCAGTACGTTGAGCAACGTGAGATGCGGAGGGGGTGAGGGGGATCGACGCCAAATATACCGCCGAGCGTATAGCCGGGGAAGGGGGAGGGGGGCGCGGTGACCTGAACAAGATAATGCGTTGCAAAGCCAGGCAGGCCTGGAATCGCGTTGCGGCGTTGCGTTGATCTGCGGTGGCGGTTGCGACACTCTGTTACGGCGGCGGCTTACCCCTTCCGTCATGCCGCGGCGTTCGTATGGATGGCTGAACGCCTTGTGGCAGAGTGCGCGGGCGGGCGAGCGGGCAAGCGGGAATACGCAGCCAAGCGTTCCAGCAAGCAAGCAAGGCGGGCAGGTGGGCAGCGACGACGTCTTGCTGGTTGCCGCCCATGCCGCGCTGCTGCTACCGGTATCCTCGTTGTCGGTTGCCGCCGCTGCTGGTCCCGAAGTGGCCTTGTGGGCGTGTACGTTGAGCGCCTACCACGGGCCCACACCGCCCTCCTGTGAAGACGTTCGAGGGGAGAAGGCGTGCACCAAGCTCGCACGTTGGTTGTGTTCCTGGCTTGCACGCGATTGGTCGTACGTCTTGGGCCTCGACTACCGTTCTTCGAACGCGGCGCACGTCTGCTTGCTGCTTGCTTGCTTGCTTGCTTCTTGCTTCTGATCGTCGCTGCGAGGTCAGAGTACGGTGTGGCTCTGAATCTCGCTCGTTCCGCCTCGTGTTGGCCTGCCGCCTAGCCGAGACAAACACGTAAAGCCCGAGCGAGTGTCGAGACGTCGCCAAAAGCAAGCAAGCAAGCAGCGGCGAGCAAGCAGCAAGCAAGCAAGCACGAGGAGCAAGAAAGAGGCAGGCAGAGCTCCCGTCCGGCGAGCAAGGCAAGCAAATGGACAGCGCAGCGCTGAGTGCGGCGTGCGGTGCGCGCTTCTTCTGCTGCTGGTCGGCGTCGTTCGCATGTGCGGCGTGCAGGCAGAATCTCCTTCGGAAGTCCACCGCAGACAGAAGGCGACACCAGGCGCACGTCCGCCGGCGCCGCCTGGTCTGCCGTCGTCGTCGTCGTCGTCGTCGTCGTCGTTGCCGCTTGCCACCTCCTCTCGGCACTTTGCTGAGCTGGCACCAAGCCATGTCGACCATCGCGGCTCCGTGCCGTTGCATCTCACGGGTATCGGTTCTCTTGTCGCTGCTGCAGGGCGTGCACCGCGAGGTGGGCCGGCTTTGCCGCCTCTCATCGGCTGCCCCGACAGACGCGGGCCGCTCGCTCTGCAGAAATTGCCTCGCCCGCCTGTAGCCTGTTGTTGCCGCACGCAGAGAGGGGGTCCCTACCCCGTCAGAAAGTCGCGCAAGACAGCGACGGGGGTCAAGGCGGTCGGAAGGGCACACGAGTCCAAGCCAAGGCGCCATCAGCGGCAAAAGCGCACCTTGAGGAGCGAGAGAGAGAGAGAGAGCGCGGGCGAGATTGAGGCCGGCCTCACTGCCCTGGCCTTCCGACGAGGCGGCAAAACAGAGCGGCTTGCCATGCGGGTGGCCTCGCGGAGTCGGCACGGCCTTCTCGAAGCCATAGTCAAGGGGCAACGTGAGAATAGAGAGACGTAGAGCCCGACCATATCGATGGCCCAGAGGCGGAATTCGTCGCCCAGACGGGAATGCCAAGATGGCGAAATCCCCGCCGCGATGCCCTGCCCGCGCCGCACCGCATCACCGGTGCAGCGACTCTGGCGACGAACGCGAGAGAAACGGCGAGCCCCGAGGACGAGGCGAGAGAGAGGTGACGGCGGCGATGGAGGCAACAAAGAGGTTGGGCCGGCGAGGGGGGTTTGCTGCCGCTGTTGGTGGGCGTGCCGTTGTCGGCCCTTTTCTCCCTCGTTGCCTTGGCTGGCGCGGCAGTCTGGCCTGCCTGCCTCTTCTGGCGGGCCGGGGTTTTTCTTCTCAACTACCAGCCAGCCAGCAGCGCAGCTTGGCCGGACGTGCCATGCGAGCCTCAGGCCAAGGCCAAATGGCCCAGCCTGCCCGCCTGCCTGCCAGGCAAAAGGGGGTTTGGTGGGGTTCCAGCCACACACACACACGCCAGCCAGACAGCCAGCCAGCCAGACAGGCCAGGCCTGCCGTGTGGCTTCGAAGGTCGCTGCTGCTGGGGCGGCTGCTGCGTGCACGCGCCCCTCACAAACCAGCGAGCGGCAGGCGGGCAGGCGGGCAGCAGGCACCAGCGCACCTCCTCGAACCACGCACCTCCCGACCAAAGCGGCGGCAGCACACAAGCAAGCGCATCATCGTCCTCTACGCTCTCGAAGCTGAGCCTGCCTGCCTGGCAACTGTGTCTCGTCGTCCACTCCTCCGGCCCATCCTGGCTTGGCAGCGCAGCCCGCACGTACGCATCAACGCACCCCACCATCACCACCAGCCCCAGGTTCCTCTGGCTCGTGCAGCGCTCTCGGTCCCCGCTTTCGACAGCGATCGACCGACCAAGCCGAACGAACAACGACGGCACGACGGCGACGACGACGACGACGACGGCCACGGCGACACCACGACCATCGCGACGACCACCGCCACCTGCTACCGACCGCCATCTGCTTCCTCGCCTCGCACCTGTTGCTTGCTCGAAGGGTTATCCTGACCCACCCCAGCCAACGCTTCGGCAGTGCCGCCGACCGACGAATCGCCCCGGCCTCGCTTCCTCTATTAGCAACGCTGTCCTGGCGTTCGGAACGGTGCCGCTCCAATCGTGAAGCGCTCCATCACCGCTTCGGGACGTCCCTAGGCCGAGCAGGCAACGCCAGCAAGAGGCTGCCCGGCTTGCGATTTGCACCCCTCTCCCGGACCGGCAAAGGTCTGGATCCCTGTCGGCTTGGCTCCGAGGCGAAGACTCAGACGGTCATCGACAGCGTACCTTGGCCAGCTTGCCCGCGCCCGCCGAGTCCGGCATCCTGATCATTGCCCGGTCGCCTGGCTCGGACACTCCGAGACGCTGCCCATTGTTGCCTCTGCCTGCGACCGAGGCACGCTGCGGGCGTCCGACGACCAGTCGAGCCACCCATACGCCTGCATCGCTCCCCTGTCGTTGAACCGACGTCGTCTCACGCCCGCCGTTCTGCGATCTGTCCCTCCGGTGCCTCAACCCTCCAGGGCCACTCCTCACGTTCGCTGCCGCCGCCGCTCCGAGCCCAGCTAGCCGGCCTGGCGGTTCTCCAACATGATGGTCGTCAGCAACAGCTTCCACGATGCTTCGCCGAACCTCGCCCTCGACGATCCCGGCGCCTTGGGGCTTGAAAAGGAAGGCGAGCTAGAAGAAGTCTACTGCGGCGGCTGCAACCGGCTACTCGGAGAAGACTCGGTCGAGGAGGGCGTCATCCAGTTTGCGTGAGTTGCGCCGTAGCGTGGCAGCCTTGTTCTACGCCCAGCCCAGCCCAGCTCGGCCCAGCTCGGCGTATGGAGCACGGCGTCCATCGGTTGGCGGCGGCGACGGCGGCAACGGGGCTGGACCCTTCCGCCGAGGACCAGCTCCGGTCATGAGGGCCTAGAGAGAAGAAGGCAGCTCGCTGACCTGCCACCTTTCGAACCTGCCGCCCGACCTGACAGCACCAAGCTGTGGCATGTCGACTGCTTTCGGTGCGCAAAGTGCAAGAACAAGGTCAGCACGGATCGCGACGACATCCTCCTGCTCTCGGACGGCCACCCAATCTGCGGAGAGTGCAACTACAGCTGCAACATCTGCAACCTGCCCATCATGGAAGAGGCCATCATGACGGGCGATGAGTCCTACCACGCATCGTGCTTCACCTGTCGCGCCTGCCACTCGCGGATCGAGGAGCTCGTCTTTGCCAAGACGAATCAGGGCATCTACTGCATGCCCTGCCACAACCAGCGCGTCGCCCGCAGCCGCAAGCACGCCGAGCAGAGGAGAGCCAACAAGCTCAAGGAGAAGCAGAGGCTGGAAGCCGAGGTGAGCAGTCTAGCCTCGATGGTCCCCCGGGGCGACCACCAGCGTCAATCAGCGGTACGTCGAGCAGAAAGCTGACCGTCTTTCGTTCTCCTCTCCGTCCCGTTTTCCCCTCACAGGAGGCACGCCGACAAGCAGGCTCGCAGGACAGCGCATCGGCGCGCATGCCCGGCTTCATGCCCTCGGGAGAGCCATCGCCTGCCATGCCGACGATCTCGGTCGATGACGGTTCCGTTCGCCAACCCACCAACACTCGGCCACCCAGCCCACCGGAAAAGGAGGCGGCTCTACCAGCAAGGACACCCGGGGCCGCCGTGCAGCCGCTCGCTTCCCAGCCGGCCAACGCCTTTGGCAGCGCATCGTCGCTGTCGCCGTATCCTGGCAGTGCCGGTGCCCATGACCGCAGTCCTCGTCCCGGCTCAGCCAACGGCAAGCGACCGATGCAGGCACCTCCGCCTCCTGTGAGGGAAGGGCGGGGCTCTCCGAGTCCTGCTCCCGGTCAAACGCCGGATCGACGCGGATCGCCCGTCTCGCCTACACCTGTACCCAGCCGTTCGACGGACAGTTTGGCGGACGGCGTCACGCCCTCGGGGTCCGCCTCGTCCCTCAGCACCGCGGTCCAAGGTCATCGGGCCCAGCCTGACTCGCCTTCAGGGGGCAAATCCGGCGCTCGCAGGGCCGAAGATGGCAGCGTCGCCTCGGCAACGGCACCGCAACAAAACCCACGGTCAGCCCTTGGCGATGCGTCTGGCAAGCCCAGCTCGGCCGGCGCGAGCCCGGGCGTCAACGGTTTCAGCGTCGACTCGGCGACCAAGAGCGTCTTTTCCTCGAGCTCCGAATACAGCCAGGACACCGACGGCACACAGAGTGCCACGCGGGCCAACGTGCATGCCTCTCCCGGGAAGGGCCGCAAAACGGGGCTCCCCGCCTCGGGTTCCTCTTCGAGGCTCTCCAAGACCTACTCGTTCTACGATTCCGACTTCATCCAGCTTATGGACTCGTTCGGGCGCTTCGACACCAACGACAACTTCCAGCTGAGCTCGCCGATGCTCGAGGAAGAGGCCGAGGCGGCAGGCTCCTCGTCGCTTGCTCTGCCTGGCGCGGGCAAGACGTCGAGGGCGGCCAAGCGCATGTCGATCCGGCCACCGATCAAGGCTGACGAAGACGTCGTCCGGGGCTCGATGTCGTCCGATGATCGGCCGCACGAGCGCGGGGCGCCATCGTCGCCGACGAATGGCCTCTCGGACAACGACGAGGAGGTCCTCCAGGATGAAGCAGCAGCGCCAAAGACGGGAGCGGAGACCCCGTCCAAGCACGACCGCGACGGCTCTGGCCTGTCGAACCTATCGGCCAAGATGCGCGAGTCGATGCAGGCGGCGACCGACGGCCACGTCAGCATGGACATCTCGTTTGTCGAGATGGTGCTCAAGGACCTCGACGAGACGCGCGACAAGATGCAGAGCCTGCAGAGCAAATACGACCGCATCAAGCGGGCCAGCCAGCAGGCCGCTCAGGGCTTCTCGATGGCCAAAGAGGAGTTTGCCAACGAGGTCAACGCGCGCCACGAGGCCGAGATGGAGATGGCCAGGCTGCGGAGGCAGCTCGTCGACCAGGCCTACAAGCTCGCCACGATGTCGAGCGAAAAGCGGCAGCAAGAGAAGCTGGAGAAGCGCTCCGAGGATGTACGGGCGTCGCTCAAGGGCATGGAAGCGGACCTGACCAAGCTCACCGTGGAGCGCGACGTCACCGTGGCCGAAGTGGCCGAGCTGCTCGCGCTGCAGGACGGCAGCGGCGGCAACAGCGGCGCCTCTGCCTCGCGCGAGGCCAAGGAGGCGGGCGTCACCGAGAACCTTGCCAAGCGGCTCGACGCCGTCAAGGCGCGATACCGCCAGGAGATTGACGATCTTTCCCTCGAGCGCGACTCGCTGCTGATTGAGATCGAGGAGCTGAAGCAGTCGCGCGAGCTCTTCCTCGAGGAGGCGCAGAGCCTCAACGCCAAGAACGAGGAGCTCAATCTGCTCTACAGCCAGATGACGCGGAGGGTCGAGCAGGCCGGCCAGGCTCGCGACCAGCTGCCAGCGCTGCCGCCATTGCCGCGGGCGAGCAAGGACCTGCCCCCGAGCCAACTGCAGGGTGGCGCGTCGAACAAGGCCGGTACGGGCTTCGGCTTCGGCTTCGGCAAGCCCTCGCGGCACCACCCCGCCGGCTCGGGCTCGATTGCGTCGACCAACGAGAGCTTCGGCACGACGCCAGCGCCGCCGCCTCAGTCCAGCGAGAACCTGGCCTCGATCGACTCGGCCGTGCACCGGGTCATCAAGCCGGAGAAGGTGGAGCCGCCGACGATGGCCAAGAAGTTCAAGCTGTTCAAGCCCAAGCTGGCCGATGCCTCGAAGCTAGCGGGCGGCATGGGCTCGTCGTCGTCGTCGTCCAACGGCCATTCGAACGGCGCGCAGCCCCCAGTGCCGCCGAAGCACGCCCAGGCCCCCGCCGCGGCGCACGTCATTGCGCCGGGCAAGGCGTCGCACGACATGGTGGTGCGCGAGCACCTCTTCCAGCCGTTCAACGTGCTGCGGCCGACGCGGTGCATCGCGTGCCAGAAGAACATGTGGGGCCAGTCGGAGATGCGGTGCGCCATCTGCTCGCAGATCTGCCACTCCAAGTGCCTGCACAACCTGTCGCTGTCGTGCAGCCAGCCCTACACGCGGCCCGAGGATGCGGCTGCCGCCGAGGCGGCCGCTGGGCCGTCGATGTTTGGGCGGGACCTGGCCGAGCAGGCGGGCATCGAGGGGCGCGAGGTGCCGCTGGTGGTGGAAAAATGCATCCAGGCGGTCGAGGCGTTTGGCATGGACTACGAGGGCATCTACCGCAAGTCGGGCGGCTCGTCGCAGCTCAAGGTCATCACGCAGCTGTTTGAGCGCGGCGCGGCGTTTGACCTCGAGGACGTGGACCGCTTCAACGACGTCTCGGCGATTACGAGCGTGCTCAAGAACTACTTCCGCGAGCTGCCGGTGCCGCTCCTCACGTTTGAGCTGCACGAGGACTTTATCCGGCTCGCCGAGGCCAAGCTCGAGGCGGGCGCCAAGGCGCAGCAGATGGTCGAGCTCATCGCCAAGCTTCCGGCGCCGCACCACGCCACGCTGCGCAAGCTGGTGCGCCACCTGCACCGCGTCCAGCAGAGGAGCGAGGAGAACCGCATGAACGCGCGCAACCTCGGCGTCGTGTTCGGACGTGAGTCGCCGCGCCTCCCAGCATTCTCGGATGCTTGCCGTCGCCGTCGGACTGCCGTTTCGCTGACATCCCATCCGGGCGCCTTCCTCCCCTCCCTGCTGCAGCCACGCTGATGAAGTCGGGCGATCCGACACAGGAATTCGCGCATATGGGCGGCAAGGCCATGACGATTGAATGTGAGTCCCTCTTCCCTCGTCTTCCTGTCCTTCCCTTCCTCTCGTCCCCTTCACCTTTTTCACACGCACTCGCAGTCTTGACCTGACCTGAGCTGACCTGACTTGGCCTGACATCTGGACCCCGACACTGGAATCGACACGCACCACCACCGCAGACTTTATCGAGCACGCAGAGGACCTGTTTGCTTGACCCGCGCCCCCGCCCGTCTTCGCCCCCATCCTGCATTGCATCGTCAACACGCACGTCCTGCTCCTTCTGATGTCCCCCCTCCCCCCTCCCCCTACTCGACACGGCACGGCACGGCGTCTCGACCCACTCTTCGCATCGGCCCCTCCTCCCCCCCAATGTCCCCCGGTTCGATCTATCGCAAACTTGATATCCCCCCACCCCGCCTTTTTTTTTTTTTACTCGGGCACCGATCCCCGCGTCCCGTCCGCAGTCTGACGTGTGGATCGAAATAAAGGTCCGAATGCCATGCCATGCGGTTCACGTGCTCATCTTTCCTCGCGAATCGTCTGACCGCGCACGGATGTGGATGTCTGTCGATTCCGATGTGGATGAGGAGGTCGGTTCGGTTCGTCGTGGTGTTCGAACTGGTCACGCCCCTCGTCATGTCATGGTATGGCGTAGCGTAGCGGGACGGGACGGGATGCGGTGAGTGAGCAAACGAGCGCGGACGAAACGTAATGGTACAACGAGGCAAGGCACGGGGGGTGCGTGGTCCCGTGGTTGGAAGCATGCATGGTCAGACCAGCGAGAGGTCGGACGAGGATCCGGACGTCGTCGCTCCGGCCAGCTTAGGCGCGGGCGGATCTGGCCCTCTGCGACGTGGAAGGGGCGCCGTTGGCCGTCGTGCCCGTGACAATGTCGGCGGCCTTGCGCGTGGGTATAATGCAGGATTCAATGGAAAAGAGCCGGATGATGTCCTGTTCGTCCCGTGCCGTGCCGTGCCGTGCCGTGGGGGAGATGAGAGGAAAAAGAAAAAGGGATGTCAGGATACCGCCGCGTCTCTCATTCTTCATCGACCGGCGAGGAGCGAGGGGACGCAACGCACGTGGTAGACGTCCATGTCCAGTTCCCAGACGAACTGGCTCTTTTTCACGCCTCGCTCGGCGTCTTCGTCGGTCGCCGGTGTCGCCGGTGCTATCGGGGTTGCGGGGAAGGGGAGAGGGAGAGGGAGAGGAGGGGTCAATAGCGCAGTCCAGCGTCGACCGCGTCTCGAGGCTGCGGGCATCCTCACCAAGCCGCGGAAAGCCGTCTGCGCCGTCGTACAGCCGCGCCTTGCCCTCCTTGATGAGGAAGCTGATGTAGAACAGGTTCTCGACCGTGTTGCTGAAACTCTCCGGGTTGATGGCAAAGTGGAACAGGCTGACGCCGCCGTCGTCGCCCTTGCCGTGCTCGGTGAGGAGCTTGGCGACGCGGCGCACCTGGATCGACGTGTCGTTTTCGCGACTCTGCTGGATGTCGGTTTGTCGCAGCTGGTCATCGAAACCGACGGGAGGGGAAGGAAGGGTGGGGGAGTCTCAGCGATCGGCCCACACGAGATGGCCCGGACGGTCGTGACAACCCACCTGAGCTGGAGCGGCCCTGACGCCCGTCGTGGGCTCGACCGGCTTCCGCTGCGTGGCCTTGCGGGTCTTTTGCTGGATCAGGAGTGGGCCGAGTCTGCGCAGCATGTGCAACGTTGGCGAGTCGACAAGCATGCGGATGGAGCGAGGGTCAGCGCCTGTGCTGTCATCGCTGCAGTCACGCCAGCCCGCGGACGCCGAGGTCCAGCCGCGCACTCACAGAAAATCGAGCGCTGGCGCTCTCCGCGAGTATTTCGCCGCCGTCCTGCCGAGCTTGTCCCAGTCCCATCTCTCCACGTCGTCGGCATCGCCGCTCTCGCCTGCTCCGTCGTCGTCGTCGTCGTCGCTGCTGGCATGCCCATTGGCACCTCTGTTGCGTGCAGACGGCCCCGGTCGCAGCGGCGCGGCGGAGCCGCCCATGAAACGCGCCAGGCGTCCGAGGTAGTCGTCGACGTCAAAGGCGCCGCCGTCGAGCTTGACCGTCTTCATCATCTGCGTGCCGATCTCGCTCATGTTGAGCAGAAACTTTGAATCGAGTAGCGCATCATTCGGCTCTTTGACTGAGGGGCGAGAAAGCATTCAGCACGACGGCGTCAGAGGGGCGGCACGTACAGGCGGGAGAGCAAGACCGCCAGGCGGGGAGCGTACCTTTGTTGTAGAGCTCTTCGGACGCGCTGAGCAGGCGGACGAGGTGTTCGGGTCCGTATGCGGCCAGGTTCTTCTTGGTGTCTGTGAGGAGGGGGAGGGGTGCGATCGATGCCAGTCAGCGCCAGCCTGATCTTGCGAGGGCATGCCATCTTTTACTCGGGGCTGACAAGGGCTGCGCATGGCGAGCGACTCACCTTCTGCCTGTGCCTGTAGGTCTCTGTAGCCGCTCCGGACGCGCTTGCTCTCCTCCTCGTTGGCCGCCTTGTCGGCTGCCGAGGGTGTGCGAGTCTCTCGCTCCCTTCTCCTCTTTCTCGCCTCCCTGCCCGAAGATTCCGCGGTCGGGTTGGAGGGGTCTGCGCCGTCGGCCGAGTCCCTGCGGCGACGCTGCCGGGATGGGCCGGCCTCGGATGCGGTGGGCATGGTGGCTGAATCTTGATCCAAGGGCGGGTGAGGTGTTGGGTGGGTGTGGTGTTGAGGATGTAGAGCAGCTCCTCAAGGCTGCTGCCAGATCGGAAAGCAGGTCAGATGGTAGAGCTGAGTGGGAAGCAGGTGAAAGGTGGGGGTGGCAGGTGGTGAGGGCGAGAAGGAAAGGAACAGGCCGCCCCACGCCGCCTGACTTGGCCCAGGCTTTCCTTCTCCACACGCGGCGCACGCGTCCGCCGACAGACGGCAAAGGACCCTCTCTGAGCCTGCTTGGGCGGGCTGCAGGCAGGCCAGCCCGCGCCGCGCCACGCCACGCCACGCCACGCTGCGCCAACAATTTGCCCCAACCACGCTGGCGCCTCAACCCCCGCTGCATGCTTTCTATCGCCGCACCATCCCTCTCTCAGACTAGCGTGCACCGTCATGGCGACACACCGAGACGCACACGGCTGCAAGGGAAACAAAGAGGGCCCCTCGCATTTCTCGGGAATACAGACGAGTCTATGGACAACGACCTCGTTGGCAAGGGCTCTGCCACCGGCGCAGCGCGGGCCCAATCGGATCACAGCCGGCTCCTCCTTCGACCGCGCTTCGTCTGGCATCGCCTGCGCACGACGGACGGTCCTCGTCCGACGGCGCAGTGGCGGCAGCAGTCATGCCTCGTTGGCCGTACCGCTGCCCGGGCCAGCGCAGCAGCGGTCGGAGCGACCTGCGAGGCACCCCTCTCGAGCAACGGCTGCGTCCGACGTCGACAGGCGCGCAGCTTAGCAGCATCCGCCCTGGCTCTGTTGCTGCACATTCTGGCCCTGGCCCACCTTGAGCGTCGACTTGCCGCCCTGCTGGTTGTTGACCGTCGACGATCCCATGCGGTCCTTGATCTGCTTGGCCATCGTCAAGAACGCCTGCTCGACGTTGGTCGCGCTCTTGGCAGACGTCTCGAGGAACGGAATGTTGAGCTGGTCGGCGAACTCCTGCAAAGAGGGGGGCAAGCCACACACGAGAGAGTGAACGAACCGACGGATCGCGGCGTCAGTAGGGCATCTAGACCAGCCAGAATGGGCCGAGTGGATCTTTAGTCCAGCGACTCGGCTCGCTCGTCGGCACGCACCTTGGCGACGTTGTACTCGACCACCTTCTTGTTGGTCAGATCCGACTTGTTGCCGACCAGCAGCTTGTTGACACCCTCGCAGGCGTATCGGTCAATCTCCTGCAGCCACTGCTTGACGTTCGAGAATGTGTCTGCGGACATTTGCGCGCAGCAAGAAATGGGTGTGCGGAGGCAGGCGAATGGCGCGAATCGTCAGCGGGCTGTCGGGAGGGCGGCGCTTGTCATGCAAGTCCGTTGCTCACCCTGGTCAGTCACGTCGTAGACGACAATGATGCCGTGTGCTCCGCGGTAGTATGACGACGTGATGGTGCGGAAACGCTCCTGTCCAGCAGTGTCCCACTGAGAGCGGAGAAGGTGACGGGAGGGAGTTGGATGAGGAGTCAAAGGGTTATGGCGTCAGCATTCCGCCGGCTTGACAGGTCGAGGGGTCTGAGCGGCGAAGGACGAGTCGCAGCCTTGATCCCAAGAGCCGCTTTTGCGCAGCGCCGGGGGCCATCTCGTCCCTCGCGCTATGGCAAGCCGGCAGACAGACAAAGGACCGATCGACGAGACCAGGCAAGCGACTAGCAAGGTCGACGTCGAAGCTGGGACACACGAGGCGGGGCGCATCGGGGCAATCCCGGGCGAGTGCAGGTGCGGAAAGCTGCGTGGCTGCGTGATCCGTCGGACCGCGATATGCGCTGCGAGCCTGTCCAGACGACGCTGAATGCGAGTCCTGGGGATACCCACGATCTGGAGCTTGACGGTCTTGCCCTCTAGCTCGATGGTGCGAATCTTGAAGTCGACGCCGATGGCTGTGGATAGGAGCGGTAGGCACAGGGAGCAAGGGGAGTGGTGAGCATGCTGAGTGGCGACGAGACGCGACGAAGCGACCAAGAGTGCCGAGCGGCGGCGTCCGGGCAACATATCGATGATGATGATGATGATGGCGGCGGTGGCGGGGGGGCCGACGGGCTGCGAGTGGAGCACGCACTGGAAATATAAGACTCGGTGTAGGTGTCGTCTGCGAAACGAAGGAGAAGGCAGGACTTTCCGACGCCCGAGTCTCCGATGAGGAGGAGCTTGAAGAGGTAGTCGTAGTCGGCAGAGAGGCCGGCCATTGTGGAGATGAGGGGGTTGGGGTGGAAGAGAGGAGGTGTGGTCTAGTTGCTAGGCTGATATGGCCGAGGATGGTTTGTGGTGCTGGTGATGTCTGTCCGAGCTGGGGCGGCGATGGCGAGCGGCGCTTGTGGTGTTGCCTGTTGCGAGTTGAGTCGGCAGCAAAGCGTGTGAGGGCGTGAATGTGGTCGTGATGGTGGTGGTGGTGGTGGTGGTGGTGGTGGTGGTGACGGGGGTGGCTGGTGCTGCCAAGGTTGAAAGGGCCGCTGCACGGGTCGGGCGTCACGCCCGCCCGCTCGCCCGCTCGCCTGCCAGCCCCGCCAGAGAGGGCAGCGAGCGGCGAGCGTTGAGGCCGGGCCTGGTGGCTGTGTGGCCCTGGCCTGGCCTCTCTGCCTGCGTTGCGGCCCTAAGCCTGCCTGCCCCTCGAATTTGGGCTGCGCCTGGCCAGGG